ATATAATTTGCTCACGTTTCAAAACTCTTGCGCATGCTCGGGGGTTGTATGACCCCACGCTCTCAACCCACGGTGTCTCTGGCGCCACTTGCGGGGGTTCTGTGACCCTACCATCTCATCACACGGGGTCTCTGGCGCCTCTTGCGGGGGTTCTGTGACCCCACGTTTTCACCACAACATCTAATTAAATATAATAGGTGCGATGGGAGTAATTTTAAATTCGGAGGGACCAAATTTGATACAATTTTTTAAGATAAAAATTGTTAAGAAATACTAATATTCCGCGCCAACTATTTTTCGGTCCTCGAAGCATATGACAGAAAATTACATTGCATGTTAGGCCTATTCTGTATCTCGTCTGTGCTAATAGATATAAAACTTCAAATATCTACATAATTGAAAATTTATGTATTTTAGTCTTAATATAAATGAAACACGTTCGACATTTTTAATCAAATATTTCAAATGCAACAGAATATCTAATCGTACAGTGTTTTATTGCTATAGTACACTTAAAATAAATTACATTATAACATCAGCAACATCTAACATTTTACTGTATACTTACTTAGTAATCATTGTTCGACTTACAAGACTTTTAATGTCCCAATCACACTTTCAACAATAACATGCCCGAAGGATCAACGTTCGGGCGTGACAACATAATTTAAGGGTAACTATCGCATTCTACTGTGTTCGTCCCGCTTCTACATATTGTCTCATGAATTACACAGTAAAATGACTGGGGCTGCGCGTTTACGACGTAGACTTGCCGGCTATGTGTAAACGATTTGTGTAAGTATATATAAAAAAGAGTGAGGTCAGAAAAACAGTGTACGGTTTTTCTAACGAGTACGCATTCATCACAATCCCCAAACATACACACCGGATGGTTATGTTTCTCGATTTGTGTTTGACTATTATCACGGACTTAGGACGCCGAGTCCCCTAGTCTGCGCTATTATCGATACAAAAGTTCATGCACTGCTGCAAAAACGTATGATCAAAAAAGAAATGCCTCTGCCTGCAATCATTTACACAGATATTCCTGAGATATTAAAATATTATTGTACTGAAAATTGATCTTAACAATATTGACTCTACATGCTGCAAGTTACATAACATTATTCTCGTCTAATGGTAGCGAATAATAAGGTGGGCTTGCGTTGCAGCTTCGAAAGTGGTTCACAGGTAATGTTTGTCTTATGACATCAACCTAAGTAACTTGATCATTGACCGAATAAAAGAATTAATTGGTACATATAAATACCAATCATTGAATGCTCTGTTTGTGTAAATCGACTGTGTTCATCGTCAGTGACCAAGTGTACAAGCATTTTGTTTTATAGTTTATATTCCTACAAAGCGCGAATCACTTGCATCACGAGTGCAAATAGCGCCACTTATACACGGATTCGGCGAATCCATGTAAAAGAAAATGCATAGAATAATGCATCGATTGTATTAATTATCTATGAACAGTATTTTTTTCAGCTTGTGATAGAGGATACTGCTGCACAGTACGTATGTACATATCCAATTCATTACTGTTAACACACATTCTGTTAACTTACACCTAAGATTTCATGTACGGATAATCGTGTCCACGTAATGGAACGAATGTTTCTTTAATCGACTGCGGCGATGCCCAGCGAAGAACATAGTGAGGACCGCCAGCTTTGTCGTTTGTACCAGACATTCGACTACCACCAAACGGTTGTTGGCCGACAACCGATCCCGTCGATTTGTCATTAACATAAAAATTACCAGCTGTATACTTGAACTCTTCGAGTGCCTTTCTCGCCCAATGTCTGCAAAACGATAAGATACAATCAAACAGGTTATAATAGGACATTTTAAGGTATATAGATTGGAATGCTTACTCGTCTTGTGCAAATATCGAGCCGGTTAAAGCATACGGTGTCGATGATTCTACAAGTTTCATCGTTTCATCTAGAGCTGAGTCTTTGTAAACGTAGATTGTCAGCACGGGGCCAAATATTTCCTCCGTCATAATCTTATCTTTTGGATTCTTGGTCACCACTATTGTGGGGTCAATGAAATAGCCACGCCTACAAGAGCGAACACGTTCAGTTAAAGTTCAAACACGTGCATTATGTAAAGATAAGTGAAACATACGAATCGTCGTATTTTCCACCGCCAATGATTTCTAAATTCGATGACTTCTTCGCGTGTTCAATATAACCTGAAATCCTCTTAAATGCAGTAGCATCTATGACGGCTCCGGTGAACATAGTAAAATCTCTGACATCACCGATTTTCAGTTTGTCACGAATAGATAAAAGTTCTTCTTTTATCTACAATTTAATGAAAAAGTCAATAAATGCTTGAAAATGAAGAAAACTTTCCTATTATCTTATGAAAAATTATAATATGAAAATACACATTAAAATGTACCTTAGGCCATAAAGATTCTGGCACGTACATTCGACTGCAAGCAGAACACTTTTGACCATTGAATTCAAAAGCACTCTTTATGGACCCGTTAACGACTGATTCCCAATCAGCGCTTGGGTGTACAAAATGGTAATTTTTCCCGCCACATTCACCTATTAATTTGGGATAATTTTTATACTTTCCCAAATTCTGACCGACTTGCATCCATAAACGATTAAACGTTGGCACTGATCCAGTGAAATTAATTCCAGACAAATAGGGCGAGGCAGTTATAGTGTCACCAAAAACAGGACCTTCACATGGTACAAAATTGACTACACCGGGTGGTACACCAGCTTCTCTACATATCTTGAATATCCACCAATTAGAGAGTAAAGCTGTATCGGATGGTTTCCAGAGAACTGCATTTCCCTGGAAAAATGCATAAAATTTTATTCACATTAGTTTCACAGTGCCTTAAGTTCATTTATCTGACAGAAACTACACAAGGGAAATAATTAAAAAAAAAAATGCTAACCATTAGAGCAGGTGTGTAGCTAAGATTACCACCAATGGCAGTGAAGTTGAACGGTGATACAGCTGCAATAAAACCGTCCATTCCACGGTACCTCATCGAATTCAAAGTTTCCTTACAATTCGGGGAAATTGGTTTGTACTTAAGAGAATCTTTAGCAAAGTATGCATGCATTTTAAAGAAATCAATTAATTCCGCCGCACTATCAATCTCTGCTTGAATAACTGTTTTACTCTGGCCAAGCATAGTGGCAGCATTCAATTGTTGTCTGTATTTCTTTGCCATGAGATCAGCTGCCCTCAACCAAATCTCTAAACGTTTCTCGATTGGGCACTTTTCCCATTCACGTTGTGCTTTCACAGCAACGTCTATTGCCTTCTTGACTAGATCTTGTGTTGCCCAATAATATTTAGCTATTTTCGCTTTGTGATTATGTGGCTGAAAACCAGATAGTTAATTATTATAGACATGTACTCAATTGTTACATTAGTGCTTGGTCTCTAGTATTGTTTCTCTGTAACTTACCATAACTTGGTATCTACATAAATCAGTTTTAATTTCTTCATTTCCAATGACTAATGGTATTTCTTCGCATTCGTTAGCCATTTTGTCCAAGACCTTTTCCAATTCAGCCCTCTCAGGGCTACCCTTCGTGTAACTAAGAATAGGTTCATTTTCCAATGAGAATTCAGGGGGATTGGATACTGGTACAATTGTTCCCAGACACCTTGTACTAACTCTATTAAAACAAAGAAATATTAAATACATAAATAAAACATCAAATTTGTATATATTCAATACTTCTTCTCAAATACTAGTTTTATTGAAATATTTGTAAGTACATTTGACTCAATGGTGAGGTGACAATTTGTATTTGCTAGTGCTACAGATAATGAGATCAGAAGCATGAACAAATATTAGCTCTTCATACCCGTCTTGAAATCATCTCTAAATATTTGTCTGTGTACTTGGGAGACAGAGTTAAATCTATAATGTTATCTGCATCTTCAGATTTCAGGAATTCAAAATTTCATTTCCATACTTAATTTTTTACACAAGTGTAACATTCGTAATACAATTAATATAAAAGAAACAATAAATACAACAAAGTACAGTTTATTGTAATAAATAAAATTATTTAATATTTAATTTACAGAAAATTATACAATTATATATTTTTTTAAATATTTACAATAATGTATTGAAATTAGTATGTACATTTATCTTAGTCAAATTCTCACAAAAAAAAAAAAATGCGACGCGCTGTTACATAAACGAAAATGAATACTTATTTTGAGGGGAGAAAGACGTTATTTTAAACTTGCTTGCATATGTCAAACCAAGACCATGGTCATACTATTATGTAACGGAATTTCAGTGACCCGTATAATTGCAGTTATCGCTATGTTACTAATTACACAAAATACAATTCGATAACGAGAACGCTTGATAATTGAATTAAATAAATGATGACACTGATTCGTCACAGATGAACCCGTAATATTAACGGAATCGAAGTGAACGGATACGCTTGGTTCAATTATAGAACGATGACCGAGGTCAAGGCAAGAAAACACATTCTCTATGGTAATCATTTGTTTTTTCATTAACTATAAATCGTGTACCATTCTAGTTTTTATCGTTGATCGATAAAAACAAAAACTGGAAGATGTTTCACGCTTAGCAATTGTGACGGAAAAAATATCGTATATCGATTAACTAATTTCGGGACCATCCCGCAAAAAATTCCGCTGTGTAATTTACATATTTTCGGATAGACGGTAAAATACATAAGGCACGGCATGATACTTCGTGACGCGTGTAGATTGTAATAGTTATTCAGAAATATCACGTTTCAAGGACACGCATGTGTACGCAAATAAAAGTATCAATTTAAAATAAAGCTTCCAACGTGGGATGTGATATGAAATACGCTTACATATAACTTTATAACAAGTAAACACTAAGCCGACTGGTATGAATATACAAGGTGTCCAAAAAAATTAATGAAAAAACACATTTGTCAAGATGTGAAAACATATTTCTGTGTATTACTTTAACGTAAATTTTCTTCTCCAGTTTTATGTAGTATATGTTACGCGAACATGTTTTTTACAGTGACAGAAAAAAATTCCGACAAACAATTACATACATCTCGGTCTACAAACAAAGTACATAATTCACGAATAAACTTAAATGACGAAGGGTATACTTCGCAATGCAGCTAATTGATTTGAGACTGCAGACGTTAGTGGCACACATATGTAACTTGTTAATTGAAGTTTGTAAATCTTCTATCTATTTCATAAATGTATTTATTGTTCAATATGAAACTTGTGCTTTACACAAAAATATATAAACTCTTACTAGAAACGTATTGTTTCATCGAAACAGAATCCGTTGCAACGGCCTACGTATATAAACACGAGTGACATAATATACTGCCGGTAAAATAAACAATCTAGAAGCTGCAGATTTGTGCATCTCAGCAAACCCATTTGCACACCTGCAATAAGCAATATTTCGACTACGGATTTTATCAATTTAAACCATGCAAGATTGTCTGAAACCTAGTATAGAAAATAATTTAATGTTATTTAAGAAGGTTTTCGTTTTATTTGCAATCTCGTAAAATCCTTACTAGAATGAAGAAATTTCTGTGTGACTTCAGTGTCCGTAAATTGCGACTATAAAAGCTGCTGTAACATAAACATCCGCAATCTAATAATATTATAAATAGGGCAACCACTGTATCTATCGCACACCTGACAAAACATACATCAAAGATATTTCTTTTTAAAGAAATGTCTATGCCGTGCGGAACATGGCACAATAAACTACTTGGAGAGTAAGTGAAAGGGTATGTTAGGAAAAAAAAGCGTTACGTCGCCAAAATGACTGATGGACGGAACTGTCAAACAACACCTTTCATACCCGTTGTACAGTGGAAAATTCCGTGCGACCAGCAAAGTAGCTATTCTATCCTTTGCCTAGACAAGGAAGAACAATGTAAGGGCAAAGGAAATAAGACGAGGAAAAAGAACCGGGAGGACCAATAACACACCAATAAGCTGATGTCTACATACATGCGCGCCCCTTGTTTTATGCTCGGACGGTTGTTATACAGTGCTTGTGTCAATGCGCGAAAATAATCAATATACGCTACTAGGACTCGGTACGTCCGGTAGTGGAACAGAACACAAACTAGTGAAACTTCCTTTTACTAATACATCGTACTTCGCTAACGGTTTCATGTTTTTAATACTCACTTTTGAGTGTTAGCTATTAACGCTTGACGGCAAAGGCTCAACATTGTTTTTCTGTTTTTTTTTTCACTGTCCTTCGTAAATTTTTACATGAACACCTCTTTCCTTCGTTGTCAAAGCTTTGCAGAGCTAACAAGGTGTTTAGCTCACAATAATCACCGTAAAGACCGATCGAGGTACCGAATTGTTGAAGTTGAAACTACGACGATCGCGGCTACCATGGAACAAATAGTGAGCCAAACCTCCCCCCACATGATCCCCACCTTCCATCAATTCGACTATGAAACAGGGCCGTAATGAGGAACCAAAAAGTAGGGCGTTTACTGATCAGAAAAAAAGGGAGAAGAATAACACTAAACATGTTTGAGATGTTATGTTTTATGATCAATACCAGAAAGAATAGAAATTAAATACTATTTCGAATGCTACAATAAAATCTAAAATAAATTTATTGAAGTAATTAAAACGTGGAACAAAAATATTTCGAATTTGATTTTCAAAGTATGCAAATTAGATCTATTTTTTTTATTTGATTTTCGCGAGTTATTCATTCATAATTATGTCATAACACTTAACGAATTATCTTGAGGTGTAAGAAATAATTATACAAACATATATTTCTATAATACTGGTTCATGATTTCTGGTTTCAAAACAGATATGTTTATTGTATAACAAGCGTACTTCAGCATTAAACAAAGATACACAGGACTGTATAAAAATAGTTGATAATTATCTGTTATCAAATTGTTGTATATACATGTATAAAATTTAAAGTATTCTAGAACTTTGAAAACTCACATACAAAAAAAAAAGGATTTCAAAAACATCCTGAAACATCGTAAGTCGATGATGTTATTTTTAGAAAAAGAGTATATTTCAGACGCAAACTTCAGGTATATTACATAAGAATAGTTAGCAGGTTTATGATTTATCATATTGTAAAATCATCTAGGAGCCTTCAATTTTTCCTTGACTAGAATCGAAATTTAAAGTAACTATTTCAATATATTAGTGAAATCAAGAAAAATTCAGTTTATACAAATTAAGTTTAATTTAATATTGCAATAATCTAAAGTTACACAAAGTATCATTAGGAAACGAATTGTTTTTAATTGTCTTCTTGTTGCATCTGTAGCTCGCGCAATAATTGCGCTCTTTGTTTCTCTAACTCATCCTCGGAGAGTTCATGATGTTCCGCATTCTCTGTAACAGAGCCTTCGCTATGAGCGGAAGGTCTTCTATGCTTTTCTTCTTTCCGTTTCCTTTCTGGTGATTCTTCGGAAGATGGAAGCCTTGAATGTGATCGCTACACGAAAATATTACGTACTTAAATTAATACATCTGTTGCAGATAAATTATTTGCAAAAAAAAATTGTTTAAAAATATAATCAACGCAATCGCACTTACAGAATGACTGCGTCCTCTTTTCTTTTTGTTCTTCTTTCTTTTCGACTTTCTAGTATCAGATTCAGAACTGTCCGATTTACTAGGAATACTTGGTGAACGTGATTTATGCCTTTTTTTCTTTAAACCTTTTTCACTACCTTCAGACTCCTAACAATATATAATTATTGGTTAAACATAGTTTTATTTTAAAATTATATGATACACTTACACTGTGTGATCGCGACCGTGATTTCCGCTTCACTTTCTTCGTCTTTTTCTTTTTACTTCTTATATGGTGATGACTACAACTTTCCTCAAGTTCATGCTGGTATTCTTTAAAGATTCTAGCTCTTTCACTTTCTAATGTGATTGCTTTAAAGTCAGGTTCCTCTTCAATTTTACTTCGTACATCTTCCCACGTCATTTGATAGTCAACATTAAGAGTCTTCAGTAAATTCTTGAAACCTGTTTCCAATTTTTTGAACTTTCTAGTTTCTTCCTTTACACGTTCTTTCTCCCTCGCTTCAGCTTTTTCAAGTAATAAATTGTACGTCAGTTTTACATTGCCTGCATCCAACGTCGCAGACTTTCTGTCTTCACATACAACAGTAGCAAACTCTTCAAAGGTAGTGTTGACTTGTACTTCAAAGTTTTTGTCTTTCAAGATTTCTCTTATAATTTTTTTCTCATCATGGAATCTGGATTTCAGATCCTCTACGTAAAATTTAAAAAGATCTAAAGGCGTTGATCCAGATTGTCCGAGCATAGCAGAAAATCTTAAATCAGCAGATAACATTGGATAAAGTTCTACCCATAGCGACATTGATGTTAATTTTCCTTGCTCGTGCAGTTCATCGAGTAAACTCTGAAAATTTATAGAAAAATCATTATATATGGTGGCTGGAAAAGATTTAGTAGATTTAATAAAATCCATAATAAACGTGCAGAACTTACTATGAACGCATCCCTATTTTTCCTTTCTTGTCGTTTTCTACGTTTTTTCTCGTGTTCTTTCTCTTCTTCTTCGTCTTTTTCTAGCTGACGTATATGATTTTCAAAGACGAGTAAAGCGTCTTCTTTGTCCATTTCCAATAAATCTGCATCTTCTGCAAAAGCTGCATGTTGCAAAAGCAGAGCCTGTGCTTCTTGCCAAGTAGTTCTATATGTAACGTCAGTCATAGTATCCAAAACTTGAGCTAATCTCTTCGTATTTCTTTTTTTCAGTTGCTTTGCTTCCTCTTTTTCACGTTTGGCCAAATTAAAAATAACATCTTCGTAAATGTCCCGGCGATCTGAATCACCTACAGCTCTCCACACTTCTAAGGTACCAAACATTTCTTCGCATTTGTAGTATTTCGTGATACTAGTCATTCTATCATTTTCTAACAAAAATTGCTCCAAGTCTTCCTTAGCTTTTTTCAATCTGTTTAACACAACGTATTATTTTCTCCTTTGCATAAATGGTGATCATTCCACAAGTTTATCTATTACTTACCTCAGTCTTTCCTGTTCACGCTCCTCTTTAAGCTTTTGTGTTTTATACGCATTAAACGCTTGTTTACGTTCATTTAATTTCTTCATTTGTGGATATCTGAGATCACTTTGAATTAATTTCACTGCCTGTTCCCATGTAGCATTAGATGGTACATCCCTTTCTCTTAATAATTCTTTAAACGCCTCAATAGCCTCTTTTTTATCTTTAAATTGCATTTTTGGTTCGGGTGTACTTGTACGGCTATCATTTGCTGATCCTTTAGCAGAATTGCTATCGTCATCTGGTTTTGTGGGTGGAGTAGGAATGTTTATCGCTGCAAGTGTTGCAGCCATAGCTTGCTCAATTGCAGATTTGCCCCCTGGTTCTGGTGTACTAGTTTGAGATGCATTTGTAATTGGAACATTTGGAGACAAATGCTGCATGGCTACAGGAACTATACTGAAAGATCAGGGAACATTGATAGTTACATTTAAACATTGTACTTAACTCTTTATATTCTGGTAGCTTGTAACATTTAATTATTACTAACGTGTTTGTAGCACTTGCAACAGCTGCTGCTGCAGCTGCTGCAGCTTCTTCAGCCGTAATTCTTGTTTTCAGTTCTTCCAATTCTGTGGGTATGGTCCACCTTGATTCCTTAGTTGTTACATTATGATAATATACTTTCCCATTCTCTGATTTGTATTCCTTCCAAGGGCACTGCGATAAAAGCAATTCACTAGGTGTTTTTAGCTCATCGGGTTTTTCCCATAATGATTGCTTTGTAACACTATTATAATAATACGTTCTGCCATCTGGAGCTTTGTGCTCAGTCCAATCAGTCTTCTTGTCAGCTGTTGATGATTGAACATTGGATGTACCATCACTTGTTATAGGTGCTGGCGGAGGAATACCTGGTGCTGTTATTTGAGGAGGTGCAGCTAAAATATAAGAAACATGTAAATGAAATAAACTTTCAAAAATGAATGGATGTTTTTTAAATAAAAGTATTGACCTATAACTCCAGCATCGGGTGGAGGAGCAGCAGTAATTGGAAAACTAAAACCAGGAGGAGGTATGGAGAATTGTGGTGGCATTATGCCTGGTGGGCCAGGCGGTAGACTTGGAGGAGGTATAAAAGGTGCAGTAGGCATAATGGGTTGTACAAAACTAGAAGCAATATTTGGAGTTGCTGGTGGAAATCCAGGTACCGCAGCAGGTGGTGGTATACCATCATTTGAAGCCTATAACATATCGTAAAATAAAAATAAAAGTTACAACATTTTAAATTATATACTTTATGTAGTTCGAAACTTGTTTCACTTAGAAAACATTCAGAAGCAGAAATTTATTAATTTTTCTTACAAATTATCTGTCAGATACAATAAGCAAACAATTATAACACAAAACCATGATATAAAAAGCAGTAACTAATTATAAATCAATCGGATTGTTTAAATTTTAAATTATATCACAGAAATTATTGAAATTTTAAAAAACTCAGTGTCTACAATATCGAGGAGTAAGGTTATTAATCGTTATACATTAATTTTAATGCTTAATAGTACTGTACCATTTTCTTGAAAATATAGGAATCTTCTTTTTAAATTAAACCATTGAAAATAAACGTTATTTTTTAAAAATCAGTAGGTTGAATTCTTTGCAGATCAAAGAATGAAAGCGCCGACACAAAACTGCACACTAAACTATACCAAGTTGTGTTTGATTATATCTGTAACTATAGCAAACCATGCTTATGATACTTATATACTAGGTGTTCCGTAACTGATGATAATTCTGTATTCAAAAGTAAAGAGTAACTATACATAAAATAAACGATTCTTCATATAGGGTTTTCTTTCCGATTAAATCAATGTTGAAAGTTTATTTTTTTCCAACACTGATCATTTTTGCTTATGTTGAATTTTACGAATATTGCCAGTAGTACAGTAGTTTTTCGCAATCATTTTATGTAAACAGATAGAGGCATACTCAAATTAATAGGATACAAACAATATCGTATCCTCACGTATCATAATCAATGCTTTTAAGTAGAAATAGTAAATAATAATCAGCCGTAGTAGCACATACGATATTACATAAAGTACAACCGTTCAATAAATTTGCAAACTTAATTTGTTCTGAAATAAAGCTCTTATAAGAAAAAGTTGTTCTATAAAAGTTATTCATACAAAATCGATCCCTTTCAAGTTATACCATCAGTTACAAAACATCCGAGATATATATTTAATGACCAGAAAATTTTCATTTGCTTTTCTTTTCGTTTTCCAAGTGAAAAATATGGAATATCGTTGAGGTAGAATAAATATATTATAGAAATGAAATTATAGAAAAAATTTAACTTTGCTGTTAAATTATTATAACGTACGTTTGAACAAAGTAAAATATTCTAGCCACCCTATAGACAATATACTTGCACTTATACCGACTGAATGTTACGTACGATTACTTAATGTAATATGTCATTTTCTCATAATCAAGTATTTAATTAAAAAAATATATTTACAGAAAGTAAAATTGTATACAATTATAATAAGGAACATACAATAATTAGCAGATTAAGTACAATAGAGGTTTTTAAAAACAAATGTATATCTGACAGTTCAGTAAAATCATGCGTGAAAACGATCTACTGACAACGATGTCAATGGCAATAATTGTACCTACGCATATATGTATGTGGTTTCACGGCAAATTTTTAATATTACATTAGAATCGTGTTCTTCTCATAAAATTAAAGTATTACGTATGATTATCGATGATCTGCACAATTTTTGACAATGCCTTCTTGAACATCGTAGAATAATGTTTCTGGCCACCTTTGAACCTAGACATTTAGTGCCTTGGATTCCAACCTAATTCCACGTAAACACATTTATGAAAGATCCAATAATTTAATTGAAGAGACACAGAATCGTAATATTTCGCAAAAATGTTTAAAAAGTTTAAGGATAAGCTTGCGGAGGAAATGAAACAATCACCCGCCAGGCTGCAAGCGAGCATGCAGCAATTGGCTCAGGTTTGACATTTCATTCAAAATTAAACAATTGTATCGCATACTGAAATTTTATTTTTGTGTCGTTATATACATATTATTGTTATTTGAACTCAAACTAATGTATGATTTTTACTTTGATTTCAAGGATTACTTATAATTCTTTAAGTTGTTTCTGTAGACATGCACAGCTGGCATCATTTTAATTTTCACACTATTTAACATGAACTGTTTATTAACAAAATTGTTCTCTTATTCAGGCTGTCGTATCTCCTTCCCTATCCAATAGTTCAATTCAAGAATTGTCCATTTCAAATGACAATTTCAGTTTGACTGAAGAAGGAGACGGTGAGTTCTATTTTATGCAACAATTTCTTCCTGATAAAAATATTCGTAGATAAGGATAACTACAACTGGTTTCAATTCCATGCATATGATTATAGTTGTATTGTATAGGAAGTGAAAGAAAAAATTGTTTCTGACATATTTGACTCATATATAATTTATATAATTTATGTTTGATAAATAATTTTTGAAAGCATGAATTTTCAGTTGTAGTATATTAAGATTCAAAAAGTACAATAAATGTCAAATTGCAGAAACTCCAAAGAATAGTCCTGGCAAGCACGGCTTTCAAAATGTGGATTTAATATCACCTGCATCAAATTCTATGGGTATTTCAAGAAGATCATCAATTAGCAGTGTTACTAGCGACTCATCATCCCTCTTTCCAATTTATGAAGGCTCTGCTAATTTGTATCACTTACAGGTAGAAACCTTTAATGATATTAAACACATAAAATTATTTGAAACGCAATTAAATGCTCGTGTTTATTTTCTTCGTAGTCTGATATAGATCAATCTGCTAGCGAAATAGACGAGAATATAAGTCCACAATTAGATAAAGTTACAAAAGATCAAATATATTCGGCTTATCGAAAAATACAAACAAAGTATCATAAATATCGAGGGAGGTATACTGATTTAGCAACGCACTATCGCGAATTAGAAAGAGACAAAGAAAAATTTAAATCAGTTTTAGTTGAATGCCAGGACAAGGCATTAAGACGGATAACTGATTTGAAGGAACAATGTCAGTTGGAACAGCAAGCGAAAGCTCACTTGGAGGAAGCATTGAGAAATGATATTGAAGAGAAAGATCACATAATAAATACATTAAACACAAAGGTAATAGTCATTAAGGACTTCTGTGTTACTATGTATAGTGTAATCACCATTAGATCCTTACATTATTCTTATTACAGATAAAACTTCTGCAGACCAGTGGACCAAATATAGAAGGTGCAGCTTCAGATGTTAACGAACAGAAAGAAAATTTAAAAGATAATCTGATTGATTTAAGCATTGAATCACCTAGTAATTTGAATGAAAACGCATTGTCAGTGGAAAATGCACAACTAAAAGATAAGTTAAAGAAATTAGAAAATGTTGTTTTAAAGTATAAAGATTCTTTAAAACGGAATAAAGAGAAGTTTACCGAAGTATTGACAGAGAAAAATACATTGGATTCTAATTATGAAATACTGAAAAATACTTATGCAGAAAAGGAGAAGGAATTAAGTAATGTATCCATAGAGATTAAAAATCTAAGAGACCAAATGAACAGTTTGAAGAAACGGGAAGAAGAATCTGCATTATCGTTAGCTGAGAATAAACTTTCCATTCATAGAGAATTGGAGGATAAAGAAGAACAAATTAAACAACTCAGATTGGATTTGAAACACATGACTGAATCGAAGGACAGTCTAAGTGAAACTATAAATAAATATAAAACCGAGGTAGAGAAATTAAAATTACTACATTCTTCTCAAAATTTAGACCCAGAAAAGAAGGAAATTGTATCAGATATTACAAGAGGAAAATCGGAAGCACTAAAACTTATGCAGCAGGAAATGCAGCAAAAGTTAATTGATCTAGAAGAAAAGATGGGATTAAAATATCATGAAGAAGTAGATCGTAATAAGGAACTTCTAAAGAGATTAGAAAATATGCCAGAAAGAACATTGAAAGCAGATGACAATGAAGTACTTAAAGATTTAAGGTCTAAATTAGATGGAAAAGAAGATGAATTACAGGAAATAAAGCAGAAGCTAGAAGAGTTACAAAAACAGACCAGAGAATATAAAAATGAGAAAGATAAATTATTTACAGAACTTTCAAATTGTAAAGTTCATTATAACGAATTAAAAAATGAACAAGATGCACAGAAAATTATTGTAGAAGAAAAAAAGAAAGAGGCACAAACGACGATTGAAAAATTGCAAGCGACAATTCAGAGTCTTGATAAGGAGTTGGAAAATATGAGAGGTGCCTTAAACGACAGAGACAAAGTGTGTGAAAATTATAACATTAAAATTCATGAGTATGCAACATTATTGGAAAAGGCTAAAGAAAAATTATATGCTCAAGATCAAGAAATAAAAGCTCTTAAAGAAAAAGTGCAGGATAATTCAGAGGTAAATCGATTAAATGACGAGTTAGAAAATAAAAACACTGAATTACTTGGAGTATACAGTGAACTTAAATCTTGTAAATCTAGTATCTCTGATCTTAGAACTAAACTTCAAGCACATAGTTCAAATACTGAATTACTTCGTAAGGAAAAGAATATTTTGATGAAGAACATTTTAAACTATAAAAATGCTTTTCAAGCATTAAAAGAAGACGGCATGTATATAAAAAATAATGTAAGAGAACGTTTCTTTCACTTTAATAATGAAATTGCTGTTCTGAAAAATATACTTACCACGTACCTAGAACAAAATGGTATTCGGAATGATGAAGCACGATATGTACAAATTGAAATCAAGGAATTAGAAGAACTCAAACAAAATCATGATACATTGCAAACGGAATTAAGGGACATTTTATGTCTTAAATGTAATTTGGAAGCAGATTTGGAAAAATATAAGGAACAACTTAAGGAAATGTCATTAAAGCTTGAACAGCAGAATGAACTCGACTTAAAAAATTGTAAACTCATAGCTGAAATTGATAACCTTAATTTTAAATTACACGATTTACGAAACTTGTCTAAGGAATTAAAGTCACTGAAAATTGAATATAAATCTTTAAAAGAAGAATTCAATAATGTTAAGACCACAAATCAATTACTTTCTAATGAAGTTGCAGATTTAAAAATACAACTTGAAGAAGCAAACAACACTGCAAGAGAATTCGAAGAGTTGAAACAATGTTATATGGAAGCAACAGAAACCATTGCAACATTGAAATTGAAAAATTCTAAATGTAACGAGTTAAACAAAGAAACAAAATCATTACAGGCAATAATACAATTTTTGAAAAATACTTTAGCCGAAAAAGATGAGGAAATAAACACTTTTAGTGAAGCATTAAGCACTAAAGTAACTTCTATACAAAATTTAAAAATTGAGAGTGAACATAATATAAAGTTAATAGAAGAACAAAAGAAACAAATTACTGATCTTACAGATTCAAATATAACATTACAAAATATGGTACAAGGAAAAACAGCTCAACTAAAGAAGTTAAAAATCATTAAGAAGCAACAGGATGAAACAGTACAGCATTTAAATGATGAAATTAACGAATTGAGGACTAAAAATACCGAATTACTTGACCAGTTACGAACGTTAGAGAAAATAAGGAATGAATTAAAATCTGAAAACGGTCAAATTATAGAATTGAAAAATAATAACTCAACAATAGCCTTAGAATTAGAACAGTTGAGAATAATTCAAAGTGAAGTTAACTTAGAAAATAAAAACTTAAAAGATAAACAAAATGAATTTCAAAAACATATTCAAGAATTAAATGAATTTAATGAGAAGATGAAGAAAAAAATTTCAGATTATAAAGAACACAATCAACAATTAGTGGATGAATGTGCACAATTACATAAAGAAATTGAATTGAATAAAAATAATTTAAGTGGACAAAATAAAGAGATAGAAAACATGAAAATGCAAATAACAGCATTAAATACAGAACTGCAGACTAAAATTGAAGAACTATCTTGGCACAAAAAAGAAATTGAAGAAACCAAGGAACGTTTTACTGTGGAAAATAAGAAATTACATAATGAAATATCTAGGTTAAATTTTACTTTAAGTGATAACAATAATTTAGCAGAAAAAAATAAAGAATTGTTAATAAGCCTAGAATCGTTCAATGAAAAGCTTGCACTACTAGCATCTGTTGAAGAAGAAAATGGTAAATTAAAATTCCAATTAGATTGTTTACGTGAGCAAATAAGTAGTTTGGAAGAAGTTCAGTTAAAAAATAACGAATTAATTAATGAACGGTTGTGTTTAAAAGATAAGATAATAGAATTGGAAAATGTAAACTCTGTGAAGATGAAACTTCAATCTTATGTAAATAATTTAGAATCTAAGATTTCTAGTTTGCAGCAAATAGAGTCTAGAAATGTAGACTTGAGAAATGAACTGGATGGATTAAATGTTACGAATTTGGAATTGCTGTCTGAAATAAAAAACTTGAATGTAGATAAAGAAAAATATATAACAGAAGTAAATGAATTAAAGTTTATAGTAGATGAAAAAGTAGCAGAATTGAAGTTGCTAGACATTAAAAACACGGATTTGTTAAGCGAAATTGAAAGATTAAAATCTTCAACAACAGAAGAAGAAGTAGCAACAGAATTGGAACTATCAAAAAGTACGATTGAACGTTTAAAACAAAAAATTACGGAACTACAAGCAGAAATAAAAATTTGTAAAGAATCAAATTCTGCATTAGAAAAAGATGTACAAAATGCTCATAGTTTTAAGGTTGTGGATGAATCTATTATTGACAAAAGTAGCAAATTACAAGAAGAAAATAAGAAGTTAGAAGCACAGTTAGATGAAGCACTAATAACGTTCCAAGCAAAAGAATCACAAATGCAAGTTATGAATAATGAACTAAAGAACGAAACAGATAAACTGCGAGAAGAATTGAAAACAAATGAAGAAGAACAGACCATGAGATTAAAACAATTAGTTAAAGAATTTCAGGCTCAATTACACGATAAAGAAGAAGAGTTACACGCTGCATTGGAAAAGCGATTTGGTAAACAAATATATTGTATTTCGTTTTTTTTTGTAAACTCATTTAAGCAAATAAGTATTATAACATATACATTGTTGTACGTTGTTTTATTTAGATCGCCAACAAAATTATGAATCAAATTTAATCCAACAATATAAAGAGCAATTAAAAGATTTTCAAGTGGAATTAACTACGAAATCTGAACAAATTGAGGCCCTAATTTTAGAAAATAAAGATCTGATGTCCCAAAAATCAAAGGACATAAATCAACTAATGGAGAAGATTACATTAATACAGAAAGAACACACTGATGAAACTAGAGAAATTGAAAAGAAATGGAAGGCAATTGTACAACAGAAAACTGATAGGTTGGAAGCAAAACATGAAGAAGAAATTAATGAATTAACAAAAGAATGGCGAAACGAGAGGAGGGTTAGTTAATATAAAGTTGCTCTATTTAATCTTTTGATACATTTATATTTTTATTTATATTTTATTTCATGTTTTTGTATTATTATTTACACATTTTTTTATCTAGTAATTGAATATTTTATTTCTTTTTTATATTTTTTTAATTTTATTTGCATTTACATTTCTTTCAGCCTGATGCACAAACTGGTTTAGCTTCAAAGGTAAAAATTTCATTTTATTTCATTTTATTTCATTCAATTTAATGTTGTTTTGCTTTCTATTTGTATTATTTCTTATTGCATGCATAGCCAAGGTAATGTATCTGAATAGAAAATCATAATTAATCGGGAGTATAAATTTCTTTAGGAACTAGAGAGCACTTCACGAGTTGCAATGGCAGCAGTACAATCAAATACTGGTTCCTTCCATACTCTTCAACAAACATTAACAACTCAAAGGCGAGAATTAGCTGAACTTAGAAAATTAGTAAAATTAAGACATGATACGTTAGAAGATTCAACAGAAATCGAGTATCTTAGAAATATTTTGTTCGAATACATGATGGGAAGAGAAACAATGGTACTTGCTAGAGTAATTGCTGCAGTTGTTAAATTTGATCAAGAACAGACAGCGAAAATACTTAAAAAAGAAGAAGATAAGATGACACTGGTAAAGAAACTCAGGAATCATATATTACACACTTTTAAGATGCCTTAAATCAAAATAATTTATCGTTTCAGCTTGGTTCTCTGGGTCTTACATAGTGCAAATAATGTATATAATTTAACAATGTGTAAGTACTTTTGTATATTAGACTGTAAGTAACTTATCTCTGAAATATGTAGGACATACACAATGTAAAAAGTTTTACACAATTTACTAATAGATACATGATAATTATGTGTTATACTATAGATAAAGAATAATGGTTTTGCTTTTTAGTATATCTTCTACTATAAAAGGACAAATATGAACTGTTCATCTATAGACATGGTATGCTCTTATTAACTTTTATAAGTATTTATAAATTTATTATAAAATAAACATTTACTGTTACAAGAGCTGCCTGCAGTTGATGAATATGCTTTTTCTTGAACTTCTTTATATTATAAAATGTACAAGATATCAAAACTGGCTCATATTTTATAAGAAAATTTTGTTTGTAACCATCAAAAATAACCTAGGGTTAATATGTACAGAAATTATGTAATTATTATATGTTAATGAATAAAATCTTTATTGATGAAATATTACTAACAACTTTTACTACTTACAGTTTGAACTGTATTTATACAAAATGTTCGTGTAATGGTACAATATGATAATTATAGTTGATGGACAACCTTCTTATATTAATTGTTCAATATTTTGTAGTTTTGAATCAAAATAACTTTTCCTATAGAAAAGTGGTACACCTCTGTGCCTTATTAAATAATTGTCATTTCCATTTACTGTAAATAATTTCTTGCCATCATCCCCTAAAAGACTTCTCAAGGCAATATTTCTATTTAATAATTTATTATAAAATTCATTACCACCTTGAATATACTTGGGACCAAGTTTAGACAACAATTCATCAACTTTAATTTCAGATTCATAAACTGATAAATCTCTTATTGCAATCCAAACCGCAATCCCAACAATAAAAAAAATAGAACCAAACACATAACGAATTAGGTTTTTTCTTGGACTCAATTTTGAAGGTCGACAAACTATCATATCATATAATCCATATACTATTGTAATGTGCATGAAAAGCTGAAGTAGGCACAGCCGTTGATCTGATTGTTTTGTCATTAATATTTCTCGAGCAATTGAAAATTTTTGAGCATTTTCTGAGAATATTAGTGACTTTAAGAAATCTTTTGCAATTTTTGAGTTCCAATCAACAAATTTATTTTCTAAAAACCTCATGTCTTTATCTATTGAATCTATATTTTCGTATTCAAAATTCATTGGAATTCCAATTACAAGACCATGATGTTTATGAAGAGTACCAGCAGAAAATACATTGTTACCATAAACATGAAAGAGTTTTATACGCTCTTTCAGTTCCTCTGAAAGTTTTAGATCATCCAGAACTTCTTGAAATCTTTTTTGACACTTTTCCGACACTGTAATTTCTGTTTGATCTATGCTATTTTTAAAATATGTTATTGTAAATAAATGTTATATAGCATTTCAAAAACTTAATATCTGCAATTACTTACCGATACTTAGCTCTGATTTGTCTATATTTTTCTAAAAAGTAAGTATTTGGTAAGGCTATTGCACAAGAAGCACCCACTGTTGAACCCAGCAGTACAAAGTGTCTTAGACTCATTGTAATACAATGTGTTCTTTAATATTCAACCTCTCAAATGAAAAAATTTATATATATATTCAGTGATAATCTGAAAAACAAAAACATTATTTATAAAATTTAATTCAGAAATATTGACAAATACAAATAATTCCACATTTAAAAAAAGTTGAAAGACATTTTATATGTATATATACCTTATTTACATATATATTATAATGTATCTAGATTAACCTAAAAAGGTTTAACGTAAAGTCTACATACATATACATATACTTATATGTATATATTTTTTTATCGAATGTTATGCAGTAATCTAATACTATATAATAATTAAAATATTGTTAATATAGTTGGATATTTATTAAAAATAGTATATATTTCCAACCTTTAGTCCAAAAAAATATTAGTATATACATACTCTTGAATGAACTGTTTGAAGTTGTGATAATGAGAATAATCATCAAAACCTTTTGATCTCTTGAAAAATAATTCCAAATTTTCTATCACATGTACTCACAATGTTGAATATTTAAGACACCGCCGTCATTTATGAGGGCGTTAGTACACGTGTGCACACGTGTGTATAACACATACATACATATATATATAAATTAGGTAACGATATATATATACTGCTTGACATATATATATATACATAAATAGCATGTAAACAGTATGTATACTCGAATATTATATATAGAATTGTACCTATTAATGTGTTTTGTACTATTCCATACATGTTTACGTTTACATGATGAACATTTTAATATTTTTATTCATATAAAATTCACATATGTATTGACTAATTTATATCATTGTTTTCAAATGTCGTATTATCGAATAATTAGAAAATATGAAACAGCAAAATCGAACAAGTAGAAATAAATATACTAACCGGCGCATGATTAAATTTAAGCAGGGTCACGATAATACATATTAGATACTTAATCACAAACCTTAGTCAGTCGTCTTACTTTTAATATTTACTGCGTCATGATAAAAACTGTTGTACGTTTGGTGTCGATATATTTATGTTCCTTAGTTAGGTCACCGAACGGAAAAAAAAATTTGAACACAAATCTGGGAGCAGTTCCTTTCTGTTTCCCTCAGTTTATATCTCCCCAGGATGGATACCAGCACGTGTTCTTTTACTAGTCAAAGTGCTCCCCAATCTACTGCACAACGAAAATTTTATCAGTGGGTACTTAAATGGATAAGCGGAATACATCTGCATACTGAATCAAACGAGGAATTACGAGACGTTCGAAATCCATCGAGAGTGGATGTACCAACTCTGGCCAGTTTTCTACAAGCGATTGGTTTTAAGCTGCTCTCGTTTGAAAAAAACAATGATGTTCAAAAAAAGGACGAGACTGATAGTTCGACACCTAAGCCAGGCATTCTTAAAATCGCCATCGAATGCGGCTCTTCTAAATTGAGAGCAATTTTAGAATTAGGGGATGTGACATGTCGATGTCCTAATCCTGATCATGTCAAGGACGCGTCCTTCTGGAGTGTTAGTGGCACCGGACCAGTCGGAAGCACTGTATGTAAAAATTAATTCTAATATGGCTTTCTTTTTATTTCAAATCACGTCTTGAAACATTTGTTGGTGCCAAAGCTTTAGTAAAACAGTTCATCGTGTACGTAATATATTTATTGCAGGACAATATTGTGCACAAAGTAGAGGAAACTGGTAGTAATTTATTGCCTCCTCTATCGAAGGATATTACACGAGTTTTGCGCGATGTATCGAACAAACTTTTCGAAACGATCGTCGGTGAACCGGATGTCAATCGTAACACAGACATAAGTTTAAATATTTCCCGTTCGAGTAACGCGTCTTACGAGCCAAAGGTTGCGCAGGAGGGTTTGAGGAAAGAGATCGGCGTTGTGCGAAGCTATACGCAACCAGAAATGCGTTTACATACAAACGATTTAAATACTAAGGTATGTTATTTGTGTATAAATAATTTCACGTACAGTATACATTTGACGATCAATTCAAAAGAAAGAAAAACATTTTAACGTATTCTTCGAAAGGACACTCAGATGTCTATAAGCCGAAATACATCTCCACTACACTCAAGGAAACCCATTTTACGTCAAAAGACATGGGATATTGACATGGAAACAGGAAATTTGGATGCGGAGCCACGACCGTCGCCACCAAAACGTACGAGTTCTCCAACTATGGTTGCTGAACTATCTAATTCATTAGGACAGATTTCACTGCAAGGGGAAATCGAAAATTCTAAAAATTTAGCAGAGTACATAATAGGAGCTAAACAAAATTTAGAAAAGGCTCTTAAAATGTTAGTCGAGAAACCGATTATTTCAGTTGATGTATCTCTCAATCAAGGTAAAATTCTCCACATAATAGAGAAAAATAAGTTTACTGTCATTGTCATTCTTTATTATTTCATACTGTTTTATTAGATGACAGTGTATCCGTAAAATCGGCACCTGCGAACATATCGCCGACTGCGGTTACCAGTCCATACAAACCAACACGATCGCACACAATCAGTGGTGTTAGACCGTTAATAAAATTAACAAACGAAAAACAATTGTTGACAAAACCAATGTTGGGAAATGGACAACAAACGCCAAAAACGCGGCGTACTCTCGAGCCAGTAATATCTCATTCTGCGAGGAGAAAAAGCACGCACTTTGAACAAGAGAACACAAAACCAACAGTTCGTCGCAGGAGTTTTTATATGCCTTCGTCTAATTCGAACCTCTCGTTGCTTTCAAAACCCTCTGATGCGGGACAAAAATGGTCGAATACTGGAAAGTACAGTATGGCAAAACCTAATCTTACAGCTGAATCTAATTTGTCGAATCGGTATGGCGTCATCTATCACTATTTTACATCAGATGCTCAAACTAACCTTTACATAATTTCGTTTATATGAATTGTTCTTTTATCAGTTAAGTTTATCGCTTCTCATTTCAGATCTTATATAACATCAAAAACGGTTGCCTCATCTGAACCTCGTATTGGTGCTTCTAAAAATTTGGAATCGTTTAATGCATCGAACAGCCGTACATCGATGCTGAAGACACCCACGAAAATTTCAAAAGCGATACCCATTAAAATAAAACCAATACAACCGTCAAAAATAAGCACAGGGATTACTAAAAATTCGAGAATTAGTATTTCGAAAGAATGAATCATAGTAATTTTAATTTTAGAAACATAATTTTAAGTAATAATTATCACTTTATATTTAATGTAATTTTAAACGAAGGGTTATTCAAAATTTTTAGTGCTAGAATATTTAAATGCTTTGTGACGCTTAATAATATATACGAATAGATACAAACAATTAAAAGATTTCATTATTGCGAAGGAAAGTGATTTTTTGTGTTACACATTTTATTCTCATTTGCATGTGTACAATTCTATAGTTTGAAAATCGCGGGCTTAGCGTGCCATCTTGAAGCATTTTAGATCAGTTATAGAACTTCACACGGATCTATTTGATGCAGAAGCCCTGTGATTCGGTGTCGAAATGCGTATACATATACACTTCGCGTGTCGTACTTGAGATGGCTGTGGCTTAATAAACTGTAAATTAACATTTAGTAGCACAGAGAAAATGTGCAAAGAAATCGTGGTCTATTCGATCGTGGTGAATTCTTTCTCGAAGCGCTAGCTCTTGACTGTTGCATTCTCTGTATTCTGTTTGTTCACGACACTTATTCGGTATACATTTCCATGTCAGCAGCACTGTGTAGTTGGACAATCGTGATTGGAGCATGCGCTGATATTCGTTTCTTTAGCCATTCTGACTTCGGGTCGGCGGTAATCATTGCCCTGCATTGCCCGTGATTAGTTACTTTACTGTGTTTGGTTATAGTGGTATACTTTTTTGAAGGACTGCGCGATATGTGCTTCATGTGCGTTTGTTAATATTATATTTGGAATGCACGGGACATCGAAGCGGACTCAACACATTTCTACGCTTCACCGATTGATCGATCGAAATACTTGCTAACCGAGGTTTTTACTTGTTCACGAGAGACTACGAAATTACATTTGTGTATATATCTATCTGTGTGTACCTCTATGTATGTGTACGTATATATGGTGTCGCGTTTCATCGGTTTACGGCGTACCGAACATTGGATGCAAACATTTTTCAGTGGAATGATAGGCGTGCCACTAGATCAGGTATGTGAAATTAGCAAAATTCTATATTGCCAGTATATAATAACTCTTACTATAATCTACATTAGAAAATCAAACATCTGGATACCCGCATAAACATCAGTACATTTTATGAACAGATTTTCAAATTTCATGAATTATCCGTATACATAAGTGATTTTAACGATGCTCATAAGAGGACAAACTAGAATTTTAGTGTTATACCGCGAAATTGTCTTTCACGGCAGACATGTCGACATAATGGCGTCAATGTTCCCTTCGACTATAGATAACTGGATCCTACATTCCCTACCCATTCCCTGCATGTCGCAATAAAACATTAAACGAGCCACGTGACCCGCTTGAATCACGTGGTGCGCTCCAAAAGCCGGGTCCAAACCTGCGCTCTAAAAAACGTTTCATTCCATTTAATGAGAAATGATAGTGTTAACTATGAGAGCGAAGTTAATCATATTTTACCGCAATACTTTTAATGATAACAATCTTTGTATGTCTCGCTCATGAAACTTGTAGTTTCTACAACAAAACATTAAACATAAGAGCCCGTTTACATTTACAAATATTGTTTACAGCCATCTGTCCGCGTATATCCTGACATGTCTGTACTGTCCGCGTATAGTCCGTACAGAGATATAACATGGTCGTAAAATCGGTCAAGCGGTAAATATGTTTCCGATATTAGGACATGCGAATTGATAAAAATATGAAACAAGGACTTGAAACCTCAAATAGTACATGTAGTAATACTTGCAGTTTTTCTGCTTGTAAATGAAATATGAATTGTACGAAACCCTACAACAGAATGCAGGATACGGGCCTGAGTGCCGCGGCATCAATTGGTGCCTCCGCTCGATGTAGTAATTTACGACCGCGTTATATCCCTGCAAGGATTATACTGTTTGCGTACTGTCTTCGGATATCTACAGACTGTACGCGGACAGATCTGTGCAGACAATGTCCGTCAGTGTGGACAGGTATTAACATACCAATTAGGATCAAATAAAAGATTCTAACATAGTTAAATTTTCAAGGGAAATATGTTTCTCTATTGTTGAACAAGATAGGTATTTGTTAAGTTTCAATGTATTCACAGTGTAGAAAGATATACTGTTTATTTTACTCATTTATTTTATTATTGATATTGTTTTGTATCGCATCATCACAATTAATGTAATAACAAAATTGTATTATTTAAATGGATTGTATATTACCTTTTCAGACAAATGTGCGCTAGCACTGACAGCATATCATCAGCACACTCATCGCAGCTAAACTACTAAAGAAGAAGAAGCAGCCCTTAAAATTTTCTTAAGGCCTAGGTGTGGTTATAATAACATCAGTCACAAAATGGCAGAGGAATGCAACGATGTTAAGTCGGCAGGTCCGTCTTCACCACGAAGTCCACAGAACAGCATTGCAGGGGGGAAACCAAGCAGTCCACAGTCCCCTAGACAACCAAGACGTGTGAAGCTAACACAGCAACAATTGGATGCCATGACAAAGGACGAGCTAGCAGCCAAGTGGCATGAACAGGACTTGTATGTGGAGTGTCTAGAGGCCCAGGCGGCAGCCCAGGAAGGTACTGAGATCACATGAGTGAGACCATCTCACTCACCACATTTCTTAAGCGAATTTACGAATACCAGAACACAACGATCTCTTGTATGAAACAAGACTCTATAGGGACGCTAAGATTAGGGACCAAGCGTTTCATTTGTAAAGTGTTTAGGATAATAATGACACTAAGTTTTCTATAAGTCTTAAGATTGGAACAATCTTGAGTAAGTAAATAGCGTAAGAATATAGGTAAAATCTTTAAGAACAATTTTTTATGGCATTGATAAGCGAACCGCAATTGTAGAAAATTTATGTATCCGTTTGAAGTACAGTAAATTCTCGATAAATGCTTGGAAAGATCTCTATGTTAAATGCTTCTACATCAACCCCAGTACTTGGGGCTTCTCTCTTGGAACCAGTCAAGTGAGTAATGTAACACGCCAGCGGCTTTCCTTTCACGACTGAAAGTTTGTTAGCCAAAAGATTAAAAGCCTGTGTATCAGTGAGACAACCCTAATGCAACAATAAATCTTCTTTATTTTTGGTTATTTTGTTATGAAAATTTTATTAAAATACTGGTGAAATTTTTCTGATTAAAATGTGATCGAATATGATATAATTTGAGTCATTCGTAGTTTATCGGAACCGATAATGAAAGAAAATGAGAAAACATAAAATACGTAAATATGATCCCAATTATGTCGTTTTTGATATCATTTTAATACGAAAAGTTTCACCAATATGTTAATAAAATTGCCTCGACTGCCGGCAAAATACAAAGGCGAGGTGCTGAAGCTCGGTTCAAAATTTGTGAGGTGCGAAAATTGTGCCCCTCTACGGTAACTGTTCCAAAGCAGTTCCGAGCTTTGAGCATTAATCGAAGATTTACTGTATTGGATAGATCGATTTGGTAATATATTTCTTAGATACAGGGTAGTGATATATTAATATTGTATTAACTTCCAAAACTACATTTGTGATGTGTAGTGCGGGTAATTAAATTAACTCCAATATGTACAGTGTTTGAAATTTGATTGGTGAGCAGAAGTGGTGTGATGGTCATGTATACTGCATATATGAGAGAGCCTAATACAATATTATGCAAATAGCGCAGAATTTCATCATCTAGTGTTAAATTGCGCTACTATTCATATTGAAAAATTACTGAATACTAAAAGCAAAGTGTACATTGAAAGAAAACAGTGATATTGTGTGACAAGAAGAGATGATGGGCTTTCTTTGAACGTGTTCACTATGAGTAATTTTTTTTCACCGTAACAAACACACACAGCTTACTTTTAACATGATCTCGTAAGTGACTGTGCAGTGTGCGCGTATTTTTCTACAGTGTAGTAAACCACACTGCCAGAAGCAGAACAGTGCGTGTGCGTGTATGTGTGTACATTGGATATCGAGTTTCCACTTTGCGGGGATTAAATGAAATGCAACATCCTTGCTGGCTCTGAATATACAGCTCAGGAGAGTAAAAACAGAGGCTCTATGTCATCCTTTGGCCTACAAAACACTGTGCCAGGGGTGCGTGAACCTAAATCTCTTGGTGAAGTACGAAACCTTTAATTGATGCAGTTACCATCTGAAATTCCAGCTGCTTTCTCCAATCCTAACAATTCTTATCCCATTCTCCAGAGTGTTAATAAAAATGTGGGACATTTTCACAGGATGGATTCTACATGTCAAACTAAGATGACAATCAAGAATGACGAAGTCAGGTTCGAGACTTCGTTTCCGCATTATTAATCGTTGAAAAAAAAAAGTGAAATTGGTCTGGCACTATCGATCAGACTACTGTGAGTGCGCGTTGACCAGCTGATTCACAGCCTTGGCCGATGACCATCAGTACCGTAGCCATCTAGCGTCGTATATCACCATGTCGGCTACGAGGTAAGCGTATGTTTCTAGATGGCTACGGCACTGACGGACATCGACCCAGCCCGTGGATCCGCTGACCAACACGCGCTCACAGTAGTTTAAAGACCGATATCCACTTGTTGCGTATCTCGTATCATATCATCCAGTGAGATGATACGGTGCAACGATGTATGATTGTTTCCCGTATCGTCCCTGCGCATCCATATCCACATTGATTCAGCAGAATACCATGTTCTCCTTTTGGTGTGAAAACCCGACAAATGACGAATCGCGCCCGTTGCGTAACTTTATATCAAATTTCGATACGTAACGGTGCAACGTTTCCCCGTCCACGCTGATACGCAACAGCGATACGATACGAGGATATGCAACAAATGGAGACGGTCCCTAACCCGTCGCGTCAGATGTTTTCCACTCGTATTTTCAGTAATTAAAAACCTTTAATGCAATCGCATTATTTGTGATTTTCGTCTTAGTTTGGCATGTAGAGTCCACCCTGTGAAAATGGTCCACATTTTTATTAACACCCTGTATACATATATATTCAATATTACCTTATATTTAGATGTCTGATAAAACTGAACAACTTTAATTATGTTCCTAGACCGTCCGTCCCTGTCTATTCCCATTAAGAACGCAATTCATGCATGCATTTGTACCTGCACCATAATTTCCCGATGTCCAAATACCAATCTGAAAAATACAAACCTGATTGAATAAGGCCGGGAGGTCATCTTGTGACAACATCTGTGTCTGCAACAAGTAGTCTGTCAATTTTCATGGAAGAAAAGTAACGTCCACTCTTGGTCTCGGTGGAAGCACAGAGAATCTCACAAATGGCACGATGCAACGACTCCAAAACTCAAAGTATGCGCTAATTAAAAATGTCAGTTGACGGGCAGTCAATGTCACATACCTATGAAAACATATTTTGTTTATGCGCACTTAGGGCAAAACAGTATGTAGTAGATTTTCACCACTATGCTTTCTTTCACCAAAAACATACAGTTACGAAATATGAAAGAAGTGTACAGAGTATTCTGTACCATTATATTATATATGTACATATATTTTAAGGTTTCAAGCTCTCTATGTGTTTCGTGAATTTGTATGATGGCCTTTTATACTATATAATTTGTTCAGTATGAAAGAAGTGAGTAGTTTCATTGAACAGCATATGCACAAATCGTTTAAGAAAAAAAGGAAAATAAATAGTTACAAACCTGTATCGTTGATGAGGATGATGTTACAGCAAAGTTATATTTTTTTAAACATGGATCAATGTTATTAATAGGAACAGGTTGTCAAGTTTGTTTTGCTTAATTAGTTTAATACATATAAAATAGAAAGAATATTCATATAAAAATTTGTTATCACAACATAATACATTATGTAACACATCGCTGTAAAATATTCTTTAATAAGTTTTGTAAGGAAGTTTCTATACATGCATTTTATTTGTATTGCATATCTACTCTTAAATGTAAATGTATTTTATAACAATAGTGATCGTATTAAATGTATACAGAATTAGTGAAGCACATAGACAGCTTCAAACAGCAAAGTTTCAATTAAAAGAAAAAAATAATTAATACTGCTTTATAGGTGAACTAACTTCGTTGAGAGAATCTGAAAGCAAATACAGGCAGCAACATGCAGAAGCATCTCATAGAGAGAAAATCTTAGTGAGGAGACTTGCTTCTAAAGAACAGGAATTACAGGAATATATTGTATGTGAATAATTGATTTCATTGTGGAGAAAATGTAAATATTAAGCAGTTTGTTGTATAAGTATTTAATTCGTATTTATTTTAGAATCAAATCGCTGAAATGAAAGCTGCTCATGCTCCGTCCGCTGCTGCATTGAGATCTGCTTTGCTAGATCCAGCTGTAAACATTCTTATTCAGAAATTAAGGCAAGAACTTGTTACAACCAAGGCGAAATTAGAAGATACCCAAAACGAACTGAGTGCGTGGAAATTTACACCAGATAGGTAGATAATATTTATCATGTCATAGCTACTGAATATAAGTAAATTATGAATATTCTACATATAAGTCATTTTATGCATTATTCTTGTTTCTAGCAATACGGGAAAACGGTTAATGGCAAAATGCAGATTACTATATCAAGAAAATGAAGAATTGGGTCGTATGATTGCTAGTGGTCGAATTGCTAAGTTGGAAGGTGATCTTGCACTTCAGAGAAGCTTCAGTGAAGAAATGAAGAAATCACAGTCAGGTATTATTTCTTTTCGTTTTTATCAATGTGTGCAGTTATGAAACAGGATAATTCATATTTTTTGCATATCTGTTCTTTCAGAGTTGGACGAATTCTTACAAGATTTGGACGAGGATGTAGAAGGAATGCAAAGCACAATTTATTTCTTACAACAGGAACTACGTAAAGCTCGTGAATCGGTAACGTTGTTACAACAAGAGAATGCAGCGCTAAAGGTGAATTCCAGTGAAAATAACTTGACAAACGGTTTGTCTCCACATACTCCACCAATTAAGAAAGAAGAGTTAGAAGAGAATTCAGTTTCGGAAACAAAAACTTCGAAGTCAGCGGAGGATAGTGATGTGTGCAAAGGTGCTAGGACTCCACTGTTATCATCCGGACGGTCGCCTCAGTGTGAGTTTTCTAGTACTGAAAGAACAGAGCGAGTAGAAAGGAAGCCTAATCAAGCGGACCATAATGACGAGAGCTCGAGTGATTCAGCTGCATTGATTATTAAAGTTGAGAATGAGGAATTGAGTGATAGGGAGGAGGAACACGAAGAAAATCGAAATACCAAAAGGATATTAAGGAGCAAAAGTCATAATAGAAGTAATAATAAAACTAATGGGGAAGAGGTGCTAACTAGAACAACGAGGGGTAGGGATAGGACCAAAAGGGACAAAAGTGCTCCAGGTAGTGACGATGAAAGGACACACAAGAAAAAGAGGAGGGAAAGTATCCTTTCTCTCGATTATAACGAAGCTGACGATGACGCATTGGTTTTAACTAATGGTGAGACGCTTCAGAGCGACCCAGAATGAACTGTTTTCTAGAATGATTTTATACACATAACATTTGTTACATATGAATCGGGCTTAGCGTGACTTAGTATACAGTACAAGTTAAATTTAATATCCTATATTTCTTTGGTTACTTGAAAATCATAATGTGGCGTCACCTAAAGTATAGATCCCATTGACAGCAATTTTGTCTTATTTTACACAATGTATCTGTAAATATGTTTCTTATTTGAATATTCATAAGTCACGTTAATGTCAAGAAAATTACACATTATTACATATAGTTGTATGTACACAACATAACGCGGCGATGGAATAAAGGGGTAGATAGTTAAAACTATTTTTTTTTTTTGCAATCGAGTCGCATTGAAATTTCTAATAATTATTCATTATTATGTAAACAGATGCATCGATGTTTTTAAAGAGCGCATTGTAAATTCGTTGAAACATTGATAACCCTTGTTAGATTTTTTGGAAGAATCACAAAGTATATAAACAGTAAAACAATAATTAAGGCTATGCCTTTTCCATTATGTAAATACACAAATGTTAATAATATCTGATATGCGACGGACGCACATACGTAGACTTATACATGATTATGTGCGCAATAATTTGTATGTATGTATTGTTTTTTCCATTGTGAGAGACCCGTACCAAGGTATGCGTTACTCGTACATAAAATGTGCTTTGAATTGTGTATAATAAAATTGAGGTCTATTTGTTAGATTTATTAAATATCTGTAAATTATATGAAATACAAGACAACGTTAATTTCAGTATACCGTGCGGACTGACATCGTACGTAACGAAACATCACTCTTGTATTTCTTTTCTTTCATCAACAAATGTAGAAAATATTCGTACCACTATTTTGTATTATCTTTAGATAAAAATACGTAATTTCCATGCTTTTTTCATAAAGGTTGTTTTCTTTTCAACTATTTTATAATTTTGATATACATATAATTATGGTAAATAATTCAGTACGAATGTACATATATTTCGTGCTAAAAGTATCTTTTTTTAAATATATTAATGATTAAAATATAATTAGTACATAATTCAATTCAAATACAAGTTTCGTATAGAATGACCGTTATTGTTGTACAGTATTGACTTATTAAAAGTCTATAGAATCTGATTTGAATTATTTAAAATAATTACAAAGTATTATTTGTTTTAACTAACATTGCAGCTATGAGGTTTATATATTAACAAGTCCATGATACAATGTTTAATTCCAAAAATATATAATACTCATTAAAATGTACAAAATCATATGAATATTTGAAAACCATGTTTATAAATTGTGATACGTTTGTTCTAAAATGATTTAACGTTTTTTTCACGATTTCTTTGAACGTTCCTTCAAATTTATATGAATTGATGAAGAATTATTCATGCGCGCAAAGTAAAGTATACATAAAAAAAAATGTTTCGAACATAATTACCGCCAACAGTGCGATTGTGACGTAATAAGTAACACCGGCGCATTCGGTGCACGAGACATTTTCCGGCATTCTCAGGGATTGATATATTTGCAGCGGTTCGCGATAGGTGGGTGATCGAAGTTTGGTGCTTGTACTTCACATCTTGTCATACATTATTTCGTGAAAGAACAGTTCTATTTATTCAGATTACAACTATGTTCGCGGCAAGACGTGCTTTGTTATGCAGTACAATGTAAGTTCACATATTTTAATTCACGAACACTATAGAATTGATATTATATAATTTCTAACCTATAATTCCTTGGATCTCTTGTCATTAGTATTAACTTTTTTACTTATAATGAAAGTATATTAGTATTTGTATGTCTACTCTATCGTATAAAAATTTGACAGTTTTATTGTGAGGAAAGATTAGAAAGAAAAAAGTATTGAAATATAGAATCTCCAACAGTTGATCTAACATAACGTCAGGTTTCTATATACTGTTGTTAATTCAATATATAATTCCAGTCGTACAATCGTTTATGTTTATATAATTCGATTGCAACTTTTCTGCAGAATTACGATTACATGACTTTAATAATAGGTTTTATTAAAAATTGGTAAATAATATTTTGTTTTCTACATTTATGTATCTGTCAAATCCGAAGATGTTAAAGAGTGATGAAAAAACGTCACTCATTAAAAAAATCTGATGCTGTACGTGATATAAATTTGTAACCATTTAAATTTAGTTTGACCTTTGGCATACAGATACATGTTAGATAAGTATTTTGTCAATATGATATTCAATTATCAATGTTTGCGTAAATAAAATTCATAATAAAATCATTTTTTAATCATTACACTAAGTATATCCCCAAAAAAATATTTTACATTGTAAATAAGATAATATATGTATTATCATTAAAAACAAATGTTCTTTTAATAAAAATTAATATACAATGCAAGTTTAAATGTGGTCATTATTTTTCTGTTAGATATAATTTCATTTTTGTAGAAAAAATTCTTTTCAATTATCACGTTGACTTCAAAATATTACGTGTAAAATACGCAATTAAAACGGATCTTATTTATTGTAATTATTGTATTTATTGTTTATAAAATGGCATTTATAAACATCAATTCGCTGTAAAATTATTATTAACATGTTATAAATTTTGAGCGAATGTTATACATAAAGAATATTTCTGCATATTTTGTAGCAAAGACATGTGTACGAGAGCGAAGCACACGCTTCCTGAATTACCTTATGATTACAAGGCTCTGGAGCCAATCATATGTGCCGAAATCATGGAGCTACACCATTCGAAGCATCACGCAACATACGTAAACAATTTAAATGTTGCCGAGGAAAAGTTGAAGGAAGCAGTTGCTAAATGTGACGTCAATACAGAGATCGCGCTAGGGCCCGCACTGAAATTCAATGGGGGTGGTCATTTAAATCACTCGATTTTTTGGTGCAATTTGTCGCCAAGTGGCGGTAAACCAGATGGTAAATATATGAAAAAATATATACACTGCTCATGATAAAACACTGAAAGTAATAAACAATTTTACTTTACAGGTGCTCTTCTTAAGCAGATCGAAAAGGATTTTTGTAGCATGGAAGAGATGAAAAAACGTTTATCTGAAAGTACTATCGCTGTTCAGGGTTCTGGTTGGGGTTGGCTTGGTTACGATAAACAATCAAAATCATTAAGGATAGCTGCATGTGCTAATCAAGATCCATTGCAAGCCACAACCGGCTTGATACCGCTTTTCGGTATCGATGTTTGGGAGCATGCCTATTATTTGCAATACAAAAACGTACGGCCTGATTACGTGAAGGCAATCTTCGACATTATTAACTGGAACGACGTTAATGCCCGTTTTAAGAATGCTGCTGGATGTTAGACTACATGACCTCTTTTAGTGATCGAGTTCGAGAGTATAATAGCATCGAACGCGTTTTGTTATGTAATACGAATTTTTTTCTGAAAGACAATTTCGTACTTTCGCCGTTCCATTCGTCTTAGAGAGGCGTTTGTGCTTTTCTATACACACATTTCATATAAAATGTACCATGTAAGATGAAAAAAAATCAACAGTAAAGTCTATGAAAAATGTTCATTGTTCAGATTTTTCTTACAATACATACTTAGACTGCGAATGTTTTTTAAATTTATGTTTGTATGGATTGATGTATTAAAACTAGAATCAAGCAATAATGCTTTGATATAAAAAGCATAAAACTCTCTGAACTTTAGTAAACTTTTCACTACATATATTCATTTTTAGACTGTCATGTATACTATAATTGTATAAAATCCATAGTCTATAGATACTACAAAACAATATATAATGTATAACATTTTGTAGAAAACATTTAACTATATCGCCTCCTTCATTTTAATACACCTAGAGAATTAATTCTGATCTCATGTTAAAATATAACGGTTAAAAATAATAAATCCTACTCAGTCCATAACAAGAATGATATGCACTAGAATACTTATAAAATATGAATGAAAATTCGATTAAAACATTACGAAATTATTAAAGATCATGAACAAATATCACCTAAGGGATACTAAAATTTCAAACAATTAAAAACTGAATTTCAAATGCTTCCCGCCCACTTGAAGCGCGGAATTCGAATTATCATACCCCGATAAGCATCACGCATTGTTCTCCAGTCCCTTTCGCATTTGGCGCGATCGAATATCACGTAAAGTATCAGGAAACTGCAAGGAACAGATATCAGCGCCACGCGGGTAGTAAGCAGCACGAGCGAGCGCCGAGAAACAAGAAAAAGACGCCTAAACGCGCGGCTTTGATAATCGATCGGTTAGAGCCAAGTGGCCTCGCATCGGGACGCGTACACACCGTGTCTGGAGGAACGTCGCGGAACCAGAACCAGTATGGCCGGAGTACCTCAGCTGTTTTCACGTCACTGCCTACGTATCTGGTGAGTCAAAGCATTCTTATCACTTTAAATACTTGCATTAAACAGCACGTTCATTATTACCGCACAAATGAGCCAGTATCTCCGTGGCCATTACAGGTTCATTTACTCGTCACTTATCGCAGGTCTCCGACCGTCAGGTTTGCGTCACAAAGTATTTATTCCTCTGTTTCATCATTTTAAATGCATAGTAAGATACGTGTAGCTCTGGTCGGACTCTTTTTAAACCTCGTTAACATTGAGTTGGACTATTTCGAGCTGTGTTCCATTGTCACTGCGATTAATTTTGTAAAATGAACATTTCAGAAAGTACCCACGCATAGATGGTTGCTTAACTTTAGCAATTTTAAATGACGTTTCGTACAGAATCAAAGTTTCCTTTGGACACGAGACACTCTATCCAGTAACGAAAATATATGAACGATAAGCTTCTATATTTATGTCATTATGATACATTTTCTATAATTTTGTGTACGTATTGATTCATTTCTTTCATCCTCAAATTTGTACATATTTAATATATATCTGTCAATACATGCACAATTTTCTTCAGTGTAATGTAATGTTTATACAAGTTTGATATACGTAACAACGAACCTTTGACTTTCCTACCATTCGAACACATTCGTTACCTACTATATCTGTCTCGTTTTTCGAATCAAATTATCTCATAGATATTTCATTACTATTCTGCCGAGTGATTCTTATTAAAGGTTTATTTCAAGATTCTGTCTGAAATTTACTGATACTTTTTTTCAATATTTACAATATTATATTTAAAAAAAAAATTTTTTTTAAATTTTACAATATTATTTCGTGTGCATTCGTGCCAGTATCGAGCACACATAGTTGACAAATGTCATCTTGTGCAACGAATCTGGAAGTAGTTAATAGGGAGCTATGTCCGCAGAATGGTTCGAATGATTTACAACGCTAGTGCATCACCAGAAGTGTTAATTACGATCGAAGGTGGCGCTTTCGCCCTAGTCAACACGCGTTGAATCGACTCCTTTTTGCCCCAAGGTACTTGCGGTATCTTTTTTCCCTAGTAAAACACGAAGCTGCCTCGTGATATACATTTACACGAACACGTTCAGCCTGTGGATCGTTACAGGGAACTGTAACACACTTTCAGGGGAGAGTTTCGAAAATTAGAGTGTACAGGTGCAACCTCACGGAAGGCTGGTACTGAAAAGATCGCCTCGCGGGTCGTAAATTAAACCTTCTCGTCGAACTAAGTTCGTTAAGAACATATATTGTGGGATCGAACGTTAAATGTCTGAACAGAACCGTTAGAAAAATCATAAGTTTTTCTGTATAAAAATAAACTATTTTTAACCTAGAAATTTTGAAAAATCAAAAGTAAAAGACAAATTATTACAAATTAACTATACGATTTCAGTTTGAAATGTAATTCTGTCCTTTCAGTCAGCGCAATGAGTCGAATAAGGCCAATAGGAATTATTGTTGTGAATCTTATACAGATTATAGTACTCTAGTGGTGATAATATGTCGAGTATTTGCTGATTGGTTCAGCATCGCAATATTAGTTTCAGCCGCGTGAAAACACATTTTGTTTGCCTCTCTACTTTTCCTTCGTAATTAATTAACTTCTCTGAATCCTGCATCGAAACGCATGCGTATATACATATAGGAAGATATATTCACATACGTAGTCGAAGTTTAATAAAATGTAAATAACATACATTATTAAGAGGCATTCGGAGTATTAATTTAAAATAAGAATTTTCTACGATTCGAAGTACTAAATTATATACGCCATCTTTCATGGTAATACCTTGATGGCACTCGTTTAAATAAATTACGCGTAATTTTTTGAATTTTGTGTGTCAGAAAATCATAAACTATGGAATAGTAGAATTTACTATTCTTTTATGATGGCCAACGGATGATACCCCAGTCACGTCTGCGAAACGGTGCATCATAAAATATCAACATATGTCAATGGTATTGGATGTATTATTGTGTTATAGTTCAAAAATACGAAGAAGTCATTCTATATTGCATTTTAACAATAATACTAATACTTTATTTTAAATTAACCCGTATATTAATAGTAATGAAAGAAACCTTTTTAAAATAAGAACCTTCTGAACATGGTTAATCGCTCACAAAAAATACGCTTCTGTTAAAAATTATTGCATAAAATTTATTTTCTTTTTATAAAATTTATTTACAAACTTATGTAGCACGAAGAATAACTAAAAGATAATCGTGTTCGAGTTACATTAACCCAAACATGGTACATACTACTGTTAATTATGCTGCTGATTTGTATTTTTGTCAACTTTCGCAGCTATCTACTAATAATGGCGACAGATTTGTAAACTAACAACATCGTCAATAGTACCCGTCATCTTAAGGGTGATGTTACAAGTTTCGACAAGGATTCTGAATTGAAGAATTTTCAAAGTGTTCTTATATTCCCTATAAAGAATGTATCTTTGAATTCCTAATCTGTCAGTTAGATTATATTATAGCGAAGTTCTCACGACCATTTTAACAATAATGGCGGCAAGTGTCCCAACTATCGCGCCGTCGGTAGTACCCGATATCGTAAGGGATCGTTTACAAGATTCGACTGAGGATTCACAATTGAGAAATAGTTCGAAGTCATCTCGTATGGTTGGAATAAAGATACGAAAAGGTGCTATTTGCCGACATCGTGGTGGATATCTTTACTTATTGATTGCTCTGTTGAAATTGGCCGGCGCCGCCCGCGTCGCATCGGTCGATCGTCGGGTTGCAGGCTGACGTCATCCATGCCTCTACGCCTATTGATTTTCTCTAGGCGCGATGCGATTGGTCCATAAACTGAGAAAGCGGGCATGCACGACCCTGGACCACGATGTCGATCGGCGCGCGCACCCAACACCGCCAACCACCGGCCGCCATATTGCTTTTCGACCACCTACCACCGTCGTGCACTACCGGTTTCGATTCTACTCCACTTTTGAGGACGAGAGTTCTTTGTGTGCGCATATCTTGGCGACTTCAGATCGATCATCGGAATAGTTTTTTACATTGAAAATGAGGATATATTTTCTTTCAAATTTAAAAGTAATTTTGTTTTATATACATTCCGTATTCTTTACGCCAGAGGCTATTTTGCACGAATGTTTCCCAGAATTTGCAATAATGATGATGAAAGTGAATAATACGGTCCCACGACAATTTCTTATAACGGGTTTCAATTTTTCGCTATTACTGAGTTACCTGAATTATAATTATAATTAAAAGTTGACATAAGAATAAAAAAACCAGCCTAGAAGACCAGGCGGATGAATTTTCAGAATGATATCGAAGTTTTTAGTTCTCTTCACAAAACGATCATGTCGTAAATATTGTAGTAATTTACAAATATTAGGTGTTTTTATTCAATATTATGCGTAGAATATACTGTATATTCTCTCAACCGAATGCAAGGGCAAGTAGGGCAAAGAAATCTGATTCCACGTTTGAGCGTGTATGCTTTACTCTAATCACTTAAAAAGTCATATAAACGAATGGCACGCTGCCACGGTGATTCCTCGAAACCGAGCCCTACGCGACAGTGATAATCAGGGCTGATGCTTTTGCGATCAATTAATCATAATTATACCCGAGCCGCCGTCACCTGTAAGAGCAACCTGAATAACACGGCATGAAATTAGGGCAATTGCAGTGGAAAAATTCCGCCGTCGAGGACGCATTTTTTTTTATTTCGATATTATTTTGCATCAACGTAACGTTACGAAAAGCAATTAATTTCAACGTACCCAAGGTTCTGCCTTGAAGACAAATTATAGCAAATTATCCAGCGTACCTACAATTACGCCCGTATAAATTGCAGCGCGACACTAGAATTTGTATCCACAGACAGACGATGCAATAACGGATATTCTATACAAAGTTAAAAATCGAATAGTCTAAAATTACAGTCAGCTTCGTTAACCGAATTCGAGGTGTCGGTAGTATTATCTTATATAAAAAATTCATATTCAATCAAATACTCGATATACATATATCGTTAATGATATTTTTTTTGGTAGTCGTTCATTACATCGTTAGAAGTGAAAATGGGAACAGCTATTTTATAATTGAACGTACCGAATGATTGAGTGATTGGTAAAGTTATTTCAGCGGACAGTTCTCTCCAAAATCAGTTACTGCCTTGAAATAGCTAGAATCAAAAGTAACAAAAATCGAAGTAACACGAACGGTTCCTTCTGAATAGAACGTAATATTGGTCTCAGGAATCAAATCTAATCTCTGTCGAATATCAAATTGGGCTTATAATCGGCAGAAATGCCTGTTATCGTTTATCTTGTTCCAAAATAAAACCTGGCTTTCTGTCCCCGCCCGCCAGCCTCAATGTCAAATATCGCTTTTCCAGACATTGTTCTCAAGGTTGAAGCGTAGGAATGGTGGACACGTCACCCCTAAAATCCTTTCTCGTTGTTGAGGCGGCCAATCTGAAGGATAATGGTTGCCAAGCGTAATTTCTGCGTCGAACGGAGTAGAAATTTAATACTTGGCTCGTAAAAGCGTGGGATTGGGGTGTTGACTACGTTCTGAACTGACGTCATCGATACGCGTAGCTTCTTTTTATGTATACATATATTTCTGTCTGATCGACAGATTTCTATGCGTATCATAAACTGAACGTTCGAAAATAATTTTCAGGCATTGTTAACACTAAACCTGCCACGATCGGTTAAATAATCGGTTTGCCGTTCTAATTTCTACCACTCTGAAGGGTTCAGTAGGTTTAGTGTTAACTGTCCCTCATTTTCCCAACTTAATTTGTCCCTCGGTGTCAAATTGACCCAATGGTAAAAAGTAATACAATGAAGTGATAAATAATTAAATTTGAAAATTCTTCAAAGTAAAAATCACGAAGCCTCAGCTAAAACCTACACATGACAGAATAACATCATTTCTTAGGATAAAACTGTATAAAAGTGACACAAGGGAGGGATGAGGGTTAATAAAAAATGATATAGAAAATTCAGCATTAGAGTTTTCAGTAAATTTTACGAAATTGTAATCGGTGCTGAGAATATCAGTGATTTCAGTGGAATAGGACCAGTTTACGGTCGTTCTGAGGTATCGGTTGCAAGAGCAAACATTAACACTAGAACTTATGATGACGGTTAAAATGTTATGACAATACATTTTCTCAGATCTTTTGCACCCTTTATTACGATATGAAAGTGAAGAAATTAGTCAATTTCTAAATTTCTAAATTGTCAAAAGTTTTTCACGTTTATCCACTGATCGAAACAAATATGCGTTTATCGTCGGTAGTTCTAGTGTTAAGCCGAGAGCTGACTGACGAAGAATAGGTTTACAATCTTTGTTCTTCTCGCCAACCCCTACATCCACCTCATCTTTAGGGTCGATTTCGACGCAGTAAATGCTCGGACAGAAACCTTCCACCCACACTGGAGAGAATGAACATATTTAACCGTATCGAACAGCTACCTTGTAAACACGTCACGTCACGTGGAATGTGTGTTGCTATTGGACCCGTCGTGAGTCGGTAATTTATACACACAGATTACAAGCTTTCTACAAAATTTCTCTTGTATCTTACACAAACAGTTCTTATTAATCATATTTAATACAGTCTTCCGTTAGAAATTTCAAGACTATTCTCTCGATGAAAGAATTAATTTCACCAAAATATGTTAAATCATTTGACACGATTTTAAATATAGAACTACAAACGCAATGGAGATTAAACGTTTTATAGCCAGCGCAGAGCAATTTGAAAATTTTATCGCCCGACTGGTTAGATTTACAGGGGTGCATGTTATATCCTCGGATAATTGATCGGATCCTTCCGTCGAGACGTGCAAAAATACAAGTTACAAGTGATACGTTATCAAAGAAACGTACGCATCCGTAGCGGGAAAAGAAAAAAAAATTCCGTTCACGTACCGCGACGTTTTACGCTTACGACCAGTGTCTGCCTCGGGATACTTTTTACGGTCGCACTCGATGAACCGGACGAATAAAAAATTCCCGCGAGGACAGCCAGAGAACGTTCTCGAGAAAATGGCCAATGGCGTTCTTCCGACGGTTGTTCGAGACGACCGTGAGATCCATATTTTAGTTATTTGATTGAGTTAGACTCGGTTGACATCAACATTCAATGGAATAAAAATTCTCTTTCTAGACGAGGACAGGCTCTGTGTGTGGTGTTCACCGTAAACCCCAGTAGTGTTGATCAACGATTAGGTCTCCACCTGAGTTTATTTGACCAACCGGTTGCCACGGGTGGTTTAGCAGCGGACGAGAACGTTTAATGGCGAAAGCAAGTCAGAGGAGTCGAGTTTAATGAGTCGCCATAAAACGATTACTGAAGCTCAATCGGTCGGTGCGTGGGAATGGCGATGTAATGGTATTCTTGCTGGGATCCCCTGGTAATTTTCACGGCAACCGATCGAAAAGCGGATCCGTTAATCCGTAGGTCTGGCTCGGTCAACAAACCGTTATTCTCGATTACACATTGAGAGAGCGAGATTACGATTTTACGTCATTGCGTCTCCGGTTGCACACACCCACGAGAATGGTAAGCCCTCCAACCCTTTTTCGTTGCGACAGGGGAGCCGCGTGGAAAAAAGTATCACTGCGCCGGCGAAACCAGGTTGCACGTACCGCTGTAAACGCCGAGGAAATTCGCCGAATAAATAGCTGCTTGATGCCGTAGACCTCGGGAGCTCTTTGTAAATTGGGTAAATGGTCTACAATACCCGTGAATGTTGTTCCAAATAGAGCCGTTCGGGTTTGGCTGCTACTTATATTCTTGTGTCAATGACGTCATTATTGTTTAACTCTTCGAAGCATAGTGGTATGACAAATGTCGAACTTTTTTAGTGCTTCGTGGTAAAAATTTAAATCGTGAAATTACAAAAAATTAAAAATAATTAAGATAAAACTATTCTGTCACATTTTATAAAAATAAAATTTCTGTGCAACAAGACATTCTCTTGTTGTAAAATCTTGTGCTTCAAGGACTTAAAACAGATTCGTGGAATAAGTGGTAACTCTTATGAATGGTGGAAAGATTTAACCATGGATGATGGAAATACATCGGCCGGCGAAAAGTTTTAAATGAGCTGTGTATTACCAGTGAAATAATATTATGCAACAAAGTTTCCCCAGATTCGAAGTTAGTATATACTTGTATTCTAATTATTTCACGGACTTATTTACATTACAAATCTCCTGAATCCCTAGTTTGCTACGAATAGTTTAAAGTCTTCACGAATTGTCTGTATCACCTTTATGATTAATCAATTGACCCGATTATCTATCTATTTTATTTATACCGTTTTAGCAAAAATCAATATCCCCTGAACTTTTCAATCCTTTTCGTACATCGTCCTGTTTATCTATCTGTAAAATTGATTCCAGAATTTTCTCCTCGAAACTCCATACACGAGAGTTTCTGTTATAGGTCAAAATGACCTTCTCCCTCGTGCCCAACGTCAACGTCGTAATGATCGTCTTCCAGTTAATCATTGTAACGTAATAAGAAGCTAGCTTGCGTGAATGCTTTTTTTTCCTTTACCACGTAAAATACACTATATTCACCACCCCACTGATCCCCGGAAATGGAGCAGGATTCGAAGAAGCTGGTAGAGAGAAGCATCAGGATGCATTAGAGATCGTGGGGACCCGTGGGGGCTCAAAGGACACATTCGGTCTCGGTGGTGTGGTGCGAGCGTAGTAATTACCAGGTGACCGGCAGATGGCGCATGCGCGGTATCTCGGGCATCGGGTGGTAATGGTCGACCGCCGCGCGGGGTAACTGCGCAAGCGCTTCGCTGCTGCTCGTTACTCGACGACCGACCGCCGAACGGAGGTGTCGCAGTGACTCGCGTTCTTGGGCAGGGTGGTTCGTCGTTGTCCGTCGTCGCGGTAGCATAAGTGCGTGACGTGCGTGTGTGTGTGTATATGTGTATGACAGTGCGCGCGCGTACACGCTCGATCGTGAGCGATACGTGGCCAAATGCACTATAATGTCCACGTACAAGTCCCATAAAAGTTTCGAGGACCGTCAAAGAATTGCCAGTGCACCGACATAGTGAATCGTCGCGTGTGTGTTTTCGACGGCCCGAGTGTCGCGTCCGCCATCTACACAACACAGTCACCCTGTTCTTCCGACCGCCGGAGCCGACAGCGGAACACATCAGAGACCAGGGGCTCATTCTCGAGAACCGCCGAGCGAAATTAGCCCGGTACAGAGATCATTCCCGAAGGTAAGGGCCGTAGAAACGTTTCCCAAGACCGTGCCCGGATCGATGGTGAAAATCCCACGTACAATCTTTACCTACGCCCGCTTCTCGCGATACTCTCGAATCCCGTACCGTATTGATTATACAGTGTCAGTGATGTTTTCAACTTCTACACCGAGGAACACGGTTATACATCGATGGTATTTTATTGCAGCTGTTTCGCGACACTTCTCGCGAAGTGCGTTTGAATGTCGAGTAGAAAAACGTTGTTGCTTTAGCGTCGAGCCAGTCGCGACGACATTTTGTACGCGCATCGTATGCATGTATTCGAAGAAACGTTTGACAGGGAAAGTTTGGCAATTAGTTTCAGTGATTTCGAGTGTTAGTAAGACTAATGGAAATCATATTCGACAACAGACGTTTGTGGCTCTGAGTGAGTTCCCAGTATCTTAATATGTATTCTAGAATCCTCTCGAAATGTGAACATCGCTCCTGTCATTACCCAAGAGATTAGTATGAACTCGCTACATTTTATACATATATGCTCAGTGGAGCAAATATAGTGACCTTCTTAGGGTCATCTCAAGGATTAGTGAGAATTCAGTGGGGTCATAGAAAGAGGTTTGGGTCCGGCGGTCAACAAAGACTATCATATCGGCAGGGCATCGACACCTCGCCCAGTGCTGTACGAAACAACCTCCTGAAGTATTTTTTTTTGTAGACCAGTTCAGACAATTCTAGAAATACAGTAGACTGTCTAGTCCCATGAACCCTACCTGGAGCAGATCCACAAAAGGATTTCTATTTATTACCCTAGTAGCTTTATTACCACTCTATATCGTAACCTTCAAACATAAAGGACCTTCTCGTTTGATGTAAACCACCAACGTTATATTTCGCTACTGAAAAATCAGCCAACAGAACCGTAATAATTAAATATCTTGACAGTCACTTTGTTATCTCTACAGGAAATCCTCGATTAGTGTTCGAAGGCTCCTCGACACTGAACATTAAATATTTCATAAACTATTGGCCGTATGCAATTGAAACAAATATCATTGGCTTCGGAATTCCGAGCTCTATTACTTTGCTAAACCTTATTAAAAATTCAGCGTTACACTTAAGGACCTTTCTCTGTCAATGCCGAGGAGCCTTCGAACACTTATCGAGGATTTACTGCATTACTTGTTAGTTGTACATATATGGCCGAATCTAATTGTTAAGGCCGTAAACAGATCGGTCCAGTTGTTGAACCGTTGGTATCAGTGTTGTATTCAAACGTGTGTTTAAATCTGCCGCCAAATAAGGCCAACTTAAGATGTCCGATAAGCGGTCGATGTGAGAATCGATAAGGGTCGATATCTCGTCGAGTCATCGATCTCGTCCAACGAGGAAAACTGGTATTGGGGAAAACCGCGGTATTCAAATTTGAATCGTGACACCTTTGGCACAGCCCAGTCGGGGAACAGAACGTTAATCTGATTGGACTGAAACGCGTTGCTACGTCAATTGTATGCAAATCGATTGCTGATGATTGAATTATGGATGATTCGAGCGACGACTAATCGGAAATTGGAATTTCGTTGACCGGGGTTGCCGCGAACGTCGAACCTTCTTCACCGCGTCGTTATCGATTGCACGCCACTGATGTTTTATGTTCATTTCTGTAACGCGCAACGGTCGAATTGAAATTCGTTTGAAATTATATACACTGTCGACTTTCGTCGACAGTGTGGAAACACATTTTCAACTTTTATTCATTTTTAATAATGTTTTAGGTCTGGGGAGTGAATTGTTTCCTACCTGAAATTGTAACTTCTTCGTGGAATTGTAGATAAAGCAGTTCATGCAACACTTCCGGGTTTGCGAAGGCGTACTCGCGCGATCTCGAATCTGAGTCATTTAAATTTCATGTGTACCTTACGCGTTATGTTTTGTTCTGTCGTTGGGAAATGGAATTTGTATTATTCGAGTTACAAAACATACTATGTTCTTGTTAAAAACATCTCTTCCAATAACGTGAAACTGAAGAATTAATAAAAATGTACAATCATTTAAATGTTAAAAGAGAAATTATTAACCACAACGATAATAATTATTGTTAGATACACAAAGTATCTGTTTCTTACCGTAGGTAAATAAATATTACAAAAATAAAGTTTTTTTTTGTTTCATAATGATTATATTTAACACAAAGTAGGATTTAGTTTATCACGAAGTGCAACGATTAGTAGGGTATAAGGTAATGAGAAGTGGCTTTAAATATCAACTCGGCCGTCACATTTTCCCATACAAACAGATCCATAATCTTCCGTTAGCTACTTCCTAGTAATTCTTCGAGGTATATAGAGCGTTACAATACGTTTCCGCCGAGATTACATATTTAGAATGATATATGTATAGCCTTTCCATCTGACGTTCTCGGTGGGTTCGCTCTATATTCTTCAGAGTCTATTGATATTTTAAAAAGAAACTCGTATAATACGATTCGATATCCGCGAGTCAGTACTGAAACTGCAACGTGACGAATATTGAACATACAACGAACCTTCTGTATTTGAGTAATACTTAAAATAATTCGAGGATCGTTCAATCAAAGGCCTTACCGATCGAAACGATGTCTAATGTTTTAAAAGCTACGCAGTGGAAATGAAACATTAGTCTGAAGGTGTAAATGGTAGTAGAACCATTTTTAATCGAAAACTAGTTACTTCGATTTCATTTGAAAGTCTTTAATATACAATGAAACTAATGTTATCCTAAACAGAGTAACAATTTGCAACAAAAGTAAGAGTATCTCAATAAATATTAAGGGATAAGAATCAATATATTGCTTGTAGTTAAATAGATTTAATATAAAAATAATTTTGTATTACCTAATAAGATTCTTTTTAATAATAAATTAACGATTTAGTAAATGTACACGAAATCGATGCGTCTTCCTGGAGTATTACACTGATTTCAAATACAGCGCGTATAATTAAGTAGATTAGCTCCGTGCTAGGGGAAACTCTCGAAGTGATACGTGTCGGTACATGGCCGGACGTCAGCCGCCTTACAGTTTTCGCAACTCTTTTAGTTGAGATTATCGATTTCAGGATGGAAATGAAATCGTTATTCTCGTACCAAGGATATGTATGTCGACTATTACGTGTTTTTTTCTACTAGATTACAGTATCATGATTAATCACTATTGTTTGAACTGCTGGGTTCTCCTTGGGAACAACTTGTGAGAAAATAAATCTAAGTACTACGACTTTTCTAGATTATTTTTCACATTTTTAAAAAGACGATGAAATTATTAAACTTTTACTCTGAACTATCGATTCAGTGAACGTTTTACTAGAAAATTTTCGAGTATATCTACTCACCGGAGAAATTGTTTTTCTGCGGAACGTCGTTGACGTAGATTAATACCTTGAACAGTGTTGCGTCATGTTGCCAGGTTTTTTTCTTCGATTGAAATGTCAGTTTCGTTTACCTTTCGCGTGAGATAATATCTGGACGACTTCCACCGAGGAGACAGTTCCTAGACTGTCTTGACTGGTTTAAAGAAACGCATCGTCGTGACATTTTTTATTTAAATAAACCTCGAAGAGAGATACAAAACCTCATTATGTGATTACACTGTGCAATCAGCAACGTTCAGTACAAGTAGAAACAGTAAGTGATAACCAGACAGGTTAGCCAGGTTAGTAGCACATTTTCAAATTTAATTTACTTGAAAATGATATCATATACAGAAAACCTTTTATTCTATACTTTTCACTTATTTTCGTGTATACAATCACCTTCCTCAAGATACTATAATTGTTTATAAAATGTTCTGTATAATTCTTTTATTTTCCACCACATTCAATTAGAATATGCAAATACGACCCACAGAAACACGGTACTCTAAAAACAGAGAAAAAAAGGAAAGGCAATAAAGACTCCGAACGACATTATGAAGAGTGTTCTACTGTGTACAATGGTGAACAGAAGTAGATCAAGAGTTTGGAGAGCCAGATCGCGAAAGACTGTCTCTGCTTATGCGGATTTCAAAAGGCCAAACCCTCGGTTAATTTGAATCAATTATAAAGGGAAAGTATTCTAAAAATGGATCAAGTTATTCCGTATAAATACGGTTATCTTGTCCTCTTTCATCGGCTCGTTTCGTTCTCCTCGATCGTCAAGTAGGGACCATTAATCGAGGGAACTTTAGTGTTCAGAGGTAATCGTAAGTTCGTTGTCTTCATCAGTTGTAGTCTTTGTGAGTACTTAAGAACTTACTTGCGTTTTTCAAGATCTTTTGCGGTTTTGAAGGTTCCCTGTATTTTTAAAGGTTTCCTACGATTTCAGAAGTTTTAGGATCTTGCATTTCAGAATTCTTGTTTTTCGGACGGTTCCTTCGATTTCTGAGGTTTCTTGCGTTTTCGAAGGTTATTTTTGTTCTCCGAGCTTTCCTAGGGGACTTCTCAGCTTTGAACTTTGTAAGATCAATGGTCGACAGCTTGTTCTGTTTGTATAGACTTAATGCATCACGTACTAAACTTGCACCTATTGCCTCTCCGAAATACATCGCATTACCTACCAGAGAAGCATGTGTCAGGATTGGCTTTCTAGAATCTCCCTTGTTCCGAATGCAACTTATCGATCCTTCAACAGGGCGATACGGAGCTGCACCTCGGAACTTCCAAAAAGTAAGTTTCCAGGAACACGGAAGTGTTTTTACGCGAATATACCGTGCGGTGTTCAGGGACGTGAAACTTTGAAAGGATGAAATGTAGAAGTTCGAAGGTTCTTGATAGAGCATCTCGCACACGTTTGTTTCAGTTTTGTGTATTCTTAAAGAAGGTTCAAGCTTCGATGCATTTATTTTTAAACAAGAACCTATTTTTATTTATCGGAAGAATGCAGCTTCTGGCTGAAGTGAGAAGGTCCTACGCACAGCGAGAGAAGTGTAAAAGTCGGATAAAAATAAGGATTAATCACTTATTAATAATTAATAGACTAGTACATACTTATGCAAAAATAGAAATATATTTAAATTGGATATATCTTTGTTATAGTTTTAATTTCCCTCTGTTTTATGTTGTTCCAACATTTAAATAATATTCTTGTATTTATTTCATATTCAGATCAAATTCTCCCATGTTTCCAAGTTCACTATAATTTGAAAGACGTGTCACATTGGGTTAATGTTAAATTTTCTGTAGTTTTCGAATAATTATGACCAATGTCAAAAAAAAAACATCGTTAACCATAATTTGATGGAACATTAAAAAATGGCGAACATTTGGCGCGATAGTCACCTACCCCAAATTACATAAATAATGTATTACACACCATATTTCACAAATAATTTATCGCATATCATATTGCACAAATAATTTATTGCATTCCATATTGCACAAATAATTTATTGCACACCATATTGCACACTATAAATTTCGTTTTCTCTCTGTAAACCGTCATCATTGAAATGTCCCGTTTCCAACGACCGCGAAAATTAATCGCGGACTCGCCGATAATCCCCCCATGCACCTTTTGTTTCACGCGTTGATTCGTCGGATGTTTATTGGCCCGTTTGCCGACTGTCCCCGAGAGTAGACGGATAATTATCCCCCTCGATCGGCGAACCTTTTGTCGGTGATATTGATTCTCGACGCTGTTGTCCATGCACCAGTTACTCTCCCATTGCCGGGATAATTGACGACGCCATGAAACTTGCCGTGATTCGATCAGAATCTAATGAAATATGCCATGAAACTCGATAGAACACCACGGTCCCATCGTGCACGTTCTTCTCCGGATATGGAAACTTCGGTGGTACCGTCGTTTAAATTATTCTCAAAATAGGACGAACTAGAACAAATTAGTCGGGAGACTTCGGTAAAATTTTAGAGACTAATAATAATAAAGAAACAAATAAAGATGATGATAAATAGAAACATAGATAGCAAATAGAATTAAATAATAAAAAGATAACAAATAGAAATATTGTACAGAGATTCTATTCTCATATTAACGAAGGTGTGTTAATTACGTATTAATGTTCAATAGTTCGAAAAATGTAATCTAATTGCAAAATCTCACTTGCAATTACAATGTAATTGCCGGACAATTTTTTTATTGTAAATTTAGTAGTTAATTACAATGTATTTGTAATTGTAGTTGTCTTGCAATTACATTGTAATTGTGTTTTGGATTTTGTAATTAGATTATATTTTGCTCAACTCTGTCCGTAAGGCGTGAACATGGATCTAAAGTGACTTGGAATCGGCTGAGCGAGAGTAAATAGCTTTTTATTCTCTTCTTATTATATTCCATACACGAGGCTCAAAAATGAACACTATATAGGTCGGATAGTTGGCCGAGTAACTTTCACCAGTATATTATAATAATCAAAAGTTACTACAACTCGTATATGAACTTAACCCTTAACCGGACACGTGGTGTCTAAGAGGACTACTCAATATAAAAACCATTCAGATATTTCTGGCATGGAACCGCCAACAGTTTCCTTACTTTTGCGTAGTAATAAGCTTACTTGTAAGTGGATACTAGATATCAAATTAATTTTGTAAAAATTCGTATCGTCTCGTGATTCCTTAACACTCATCTGTCCCTCATTTTTTCAATTTAATCTATCTGTCGGTGTTATATTGACACATTGGTAAAAAATTAATATAATAAGGTTATAAATAGTTAAATTTGTAAATTCTTTAAATTAAAAGTCATGGAGCCTTAGATAAATTTACGTCTACATGGCAGAATAACATCATTTCTTAGAAGAAGAATGTGTCGAATTGACGTAAGGGATGGATGGGGGTTAAAAGAGAAGTACCTTCTCAGACGCCACATGACCATTTACGCACGAGCTTCTCACGTGTACGGTTAAGGGTTGCAAAATATAACGGTAGTTTCCCTGTTTTTGCGTCCCTGATGTAAACAGTAGATACACATTCCCGCCTACGGCATCAGAGTGACGTCCAATATGGCGTCAGCGGCGATTCACAACCGGTGCACGTATGACGCCAATGTAAAGGGGTCTAAAAGCTAAATTTAGTAGCTGAAATTAGTTCATGAAATATTTACTCTAGTTACTCTTAAGTGATCAGGTGTTGGCTCCATAACAGTTGTGTCATCGAAGAGAATCTCTAAAATTGCTAAAAAATCTTTTCATATATCTACAATAATATTACGAAGTACATATTAAAATATTCCTCGTCGACGGAATAAAATTATTAACGAAACGAGGCATTGTTTTAAGTAATCCGCGAATGAAGGCCACAGGGTTGAAATGGAACACACACATACAACGTGTTTCGTTCCGTTTCCGCGTTCCCGCCCGCCGTTAACGACGTCTCTCCTTTTTATTCCCGCAGAGAGACGAGGAAAAAGTTTATCGCCAGCACCGCCGCCGTCGTGACCCGACGCTGAATTAAAAACAAGGGAAAAATGTCGTCGGTAAAGGTGGCGGTGAGGGTACGGCCCTTCAACAATCGGGAGATCTCGCGGGAGGCACAATGCATCATCGACATGACCGGCAACACTACTTGTAAGTACAATTAATCCCCCCTAAACCTTTCTCCCTTTCAGTTCCACCTGGTTTCATATCTTCACAAGGATGTGCACCTGAAGGTATCCAGTCTTCCGTTCCCTTGCATTACCAATGCACCTTGCATTACGGTGCAATTAAAAATACCAGGTGTATGAGCGAGTATCTTTCGTTATTCTTTCATCGAAGCAACAATGTAGCCATAAATTATTACTATCAGGTCTACCGGAAAGTTCTATTCATAATGTAAGATACAGGAATTTCGAAACCTGGAGCTATTAAAAGCAGACATTTACCCTTCCGTGGGCAACCAAAATATTCACGGTTACCGAGCAATCGAAATACCCCTATTCTGATAGATTAGATAAATATAGATAATTTTACATTCATACTTTTCCGAAATTCTTAATGCTATTTTAAAGAAGAACATATAAAATTGTGAAAGGAAATTTAGAAATGGGTATCTAGGGTACCCGGTTGCTTATACAAGGGTTAAATACAAAGGGTTCCAATAAGAGGGGTGAAACGTGGTTCTAGACAATCAAAATTTCTGTCGTTTTTTCGATGATATATCAGGAAGTATACGTCGATGAGATGGTTCCAGAAATTTAGAGGTTCGAATATGAAAGATGAACCTTACTCGAGAAGACCTTGGCAACGGGACCTCGTCAAGTGTTCATGCTACGGAGAATACTACAATAGAAAAAAAGAGGCATTCTTAACTTTGAAAGCGGTTGGAAAGAAATTGGGTTCTTGCACAACAAACGATTTCGACCCGTATTCATCGTCTAGGATTCGTATACGTATTTGAAATTGAACAAAACATATTTCGGTAGACCGAATATTTGATTGATCCGTTACTTGGGCAAAAATGGTGCAGGGCGTTAGACAGCCAACATTAAGTGTTATTAAGGTAGCGGAGATTCTTAATGTCCTAGGAACTTAACACTGAATTTGTGAACGAGCAATAGATTTGGTGGTAATTGTAATATTTAACATTAGAAGATGTTTCAGCTGTTTAGGTCTTGTTAAAACATTTACCAATCACATTTGTTTATGAAAATAACAATTCAAGGGAGTATATGGATTACTGTTTATTTATCTCGACTAGTTTCTAAACTGAGAAAACTGAGTTTAAAGTTTACGAAATGTAACATTATAGTGAATGATTTAGATTACTTAATCCTATTGTTCTTGTTTCCGTGTTTCAGCGATATTGAACCCCAAAGCACCGCCGGGCACCAAAGATGCAGTCAAAAGTTTCAACTACGATTACTCCTATTTTTCCATGGATGTAAGTATCTGTCGCTAATGGAATCAATTCAGTCCACTTTCTCACTAATTATCTGGAAATTTATTGCTATACGTTTACTAGATTGAAATGACGCTATCGCAGAATTTCACTTTATTTTGATGTAAAACGGAAATTTAGTTTGTTTAAATGAATTTCATTTGAAGTAGCTTTTCAATTTTATTTGAGACACTAACAAATTGTTTATTGTCTCTGTTGCAGCCACATGACACAAACTACTCCTCCCAAGTCATGGTCTACAAAGACATTGGCGAGGAAATGCTGGAACACGCTTTCGAAGGTAAACATGCTCTAAAGTATAAAGAACAAACTGAAAGGTTTAGAATGTTCGTAGAGAAACGCGTCATCTAACCCTTTGAACAATTTACATTCGAATTGTAGCATACCGCGGAATTTCCATCCAGGAATTGACATACGTGTTCGCATACCGTCAGAGCAGGAATTGGGGTTCAAACTCTGTGGCATTCTTGACACATATTCACCCCTGTTACGTGGAAGACGTGGTCACGTGTACAAACATTTGCTCTTTACCCTTAGCAACGATAAGGAAGTTTCGCTTATCGTTGATATTAATCAATAGGATCGTGTTACGCTCTGTATACACTGAGTACTTTAAAAAGAGACGATAAAAGTTCATTGCTAAAGTGGTAGAAACGAAAAACTCTGACCTCCTTGATTCTTGTCAGTTCCCTTTGAGGCTAAAGTTTCTCTTTCCATTCTTAAGTAGTAAAGATTTCATATGTAAGAAACTATCCCCTAAATGGTGAACATTTCTACGCAACACGTTACATTAAATGGGAAATAAATTTCATGGATTTTAATTAAGTGGTATAATAAAATTTCGACGTGAAAACCTTTGTATTTTATATTGTCCATAGGCTACAATGTCTGCATATTCGCGTACGGACAGACCGGTGCCGGTAAATCGTACACCATGATGGGCAAACAAGAAGAAGGCCAAGAGGGTATAATCCCCCAAATTTGCAAAGACCTCTTCAGGAAAATCAGTCGCAATTCAAACGAGTGCCTGAAGTATTCCGTGGAAGTCAGTTACATGGAGATCTATTGCGAGAGGGTGCGGGATCTTTTGAACCCAAAGAACAAAGGGAACCTTCGTGTACGTGAGCATCCACTTCTGGGCCCGTACGTCGAGGACCTGTCTAAATTGGCCGTGATGTCCTTTCAAGATATTCACGACCTCATAGACGAGGGAAATAAAGCACGGTACATAGAAAATTCATTCCTTTACCTTTTCGTATCACAAATTTTGAAGACACTTTAATTTAGGAGAAAGGAAATTGTTCAGAGACACCATCAAGCATTAATACACAATATTTTTCATTTGATTTCAGAACCGTGGCGGCCACTAACATGAACGAGACGTCGAGCAGATCTCACGCTGTATTCACGATTTTCTTCACGCAACAGAAACAAGATTCTGCAACTGGATTGGTGACCGAGAAAGTCAGCAAAATCTCGCTGGTCGATTTAGCCGGTTCTGAACGAGCCGACTCTACTGGTGCAAAGGGCACACGGTTAAAGGAAGGAGCGAATATCAACAAAAGTTTGACCACCCTTGGAAAAGTCATCAGTGCCCTGGCTGAAATTGTAAGTTGATTTTTTTTTTACATTGAACGAATCCCCCGGAAAATGCAAATATAATTCAACAATAACAGGAACCTCTGAAAGTTAACGGAAAATACCTTTGGAAACTTGTGCGTGTTTTGTAAACATTTACGTTGGACAATACTCAAATAACTCTGTACGAAATGATGATGCACCCTTAACCTTTCGAATTCACATGGATATCAACTAAACTTTATGTTAACGTGACACGTGTCTTCTGTCTATTTCGCTGCTGTTTTACTATGGACCATTAGGCGGTAAGTTCATAGATCTATAACCACGCATTACCTCTAATTTTATTTTTAGTTTGAAACAAGTCCTGAAGTACACTCAATACTGAATGAAATACTAATACAATAAGAGAGTAATGTATTTTGATACAGACTTTAAGAGAAATTAAATCTTTCATTTTTATTCATTAATGTTGATATATATTTTTCACTTTCACCACAAGATAACTTGCTTTTGAGAAAAATAGCACTGATAACGTAAGCTTGTTTTTCATTTATCCAGGCAACTAAGAAAAAGAAGAAGGCTGACTTCATCCCCTACAGAGACTCTGTTCTAACGTGGTTGCTGCGTGAAAACCTGGGAGGCAACTCAAAAACTGCGATGATCGCGGCAGTAAGCCCCGCGGACATCAATTACGACGAAACCCTTTCCACTTTGAGGTATAATTTGTCTTTATAATTTACACTTTAAGATTATAGTTACATTACTATTTACAATGGAATTGCAATTTTTAGGAAATATTACAAAAGGTTAGATTTTATATCCGCATTTACCGGTTGGCGTCGCAGAGGCGTCAATGTTTCCTAGAAACTTATACGGTGACCTGGATAAGTCAGATGAAGGTGCCGTTTATAATTCAAAGCGCCGAGAACCAGCGGCGTTAAAACTTTCATGAATTATGAATGAATCTTCTCTGAACATCCCTTCTATAATGGAATAGACATTTACGTTCTATTTGTTGTCACAAGTTCTTTATTTTCTTGGAAGCAAACCTTGTAATTAAAGACTAAAAATAAACGTAGGTTTCTATAGAGAAAATGATAAAGAAAAGACGAGAACGTCTAATCAATAGACGCCATTAGTCTGTTTTCGCATCTTCAATTTGAGACGCCATTCGAAGTGTTTATGTCTGCAAAGTATATTTGAATTATATATCTATTCAATATATTTTTATTCAGCTTCTCTAATCTCCTGAAAGTTTGTTTTATTATTTCTATTTAGTATCAAGTCGTTCTCTGTCATTTAAATCCCATAATTGACTTTGAAATACAAATTCACCTTCTGATATTTTGTGTTGTCCGATTAATAACTGACTCATACCACTGCAACCTGAACAATGATCCATTCAGTCATTGCTTTAGTTAAATCTTTACATCAGTTTTTATTACTATAAATACTTCCTCTCATTAATAGAATGGGGAAGAATAAATCTCACTTCCTTTCCTATATTTTCAAGACAAACCGCAATCAATAATGCAACCACTGTTATCCGCGACTTGTACACATATATAATAATGAGTTCTTCGAATAATCATGAATGTTACACTAAGTTCCGTTGTTGTTCCTTCTTTTTGCCACAGATACGCGGACAGGGCGAAACAAATAGTGTGCAAAGCTGTCGTTAACGAGGACGCGAATGCGAAGCTTATTAGGGAGCTCAAGGAAGAGATCCAAAAGTTGCGGGAACTTCTCAAGCAAGAGGGTATTGACGTGCAAGAAGGTGAGTTGATTCTCTCCTTGTGCAAGGGGTTCGATGCCAGAGGGACTCCCTTTCTGTGCGCGTGCGGGTACGCCCGGTTCGATAACTGGAGGCATGTACGAATAACTTGAGCCAAGGGCAGTACATTTGATTACTAACCGTCGCTAAAAACATTATGTACAGTACCGGACAAATGAATTCCGATAACGACATTTTTCGTTGTATTTGTTGTTATAAGGTTTCAAAAAAAGTTTCCTGGACATCTAAGGATTTTTTTAAAATTAAGAAACATGTGCACTGATAACAATTTTATACATAGAAAAGGAACATGTCTTTAAGGAAATGAAAATATTTAATTACGAATCATATCTCTCTAACTAGCAAGTTCAGCTCTATTTTCATTCTTTAACAGACATGCAATATACCATTCAGCACAAAATATTATGTATAATATGAAAAGAATATTAAAGCCCAGGGTACATTAAATTTTCTCCTCGTTACATCGATTACGATTGCTCGGTTTTATTCGCTGTTGTAATACTCAAACGAAATGAAAAACCAACGTTTTCATAACATAGGTAGCAAAGTAATGATGAAAAAGTTACCGTGCAACGTCGCGTGTGGTATGCTTGTGCGCGTGAAAGAACGGATGAAGTGCAATGTAAACGAGATAATAGATATACAGAAAAAGGATAATAAAAAAAAAAGAGAGAGAGAGAGAGAGAGAGAGAGAGAGAGAGAGAGAGAGAGAGAGAGAGAGCAAAAGCAAAATGTAAACGAATGTGTTGCGAGCGCGCTGTAGGCAAGCCCCCCACCATTTACATAGTATATTTTTTTCTTTGTTTCCCTTGTGCTTGACGTAGGGCCAGATGGCAAAGTCACATATGAAAAGAAAGAATCTAGTAAGTAAAATCACGACAATCCAATAACAGCAGCGGCAAGAACAAAAACAAAACTGTATTATCCGACAAGCCGGGCATATTTTCCGATCACTCTTTTTGCGCCTGTGTTCCTATATTAAACGTCCGCTTTTCTATCTTTACACACACATGCCAAGCCGCGCGTATTTGCGTGTCGTCTGTGTTTTCTGTCGATTCCCGACGATTCTTTATTAACATTCTGCTTCGCCGCGCGTAATCGCATTTTGTTTACACCATTGTACACACACACACACATTCACGACGCATTCTTCCCCGGTTAAACGTGTTCGTGTACATTCCAGCTCATAAATATTAGGACACTTGTCGAATGTGCAGTAAATGTTACAAATCATTAACGAAATTGTCGAATGTGTGAAATAAAAATTATTTAGGGAATATTGAAACTTGATGGACTATGAAGTAATAAACGTGGCCTGAAACATAATACAGTAAATCATCGATGCGTGTTCGAAGGCTCCTCGGCACCAAATGTTCAAACATTATTCCCACCACTGGGGGTCCTTTCCCAGATAACACATGACCCTTTGAAGACGTCCACTTTACGGCTATTTTAGGTCTGAGGCGCCTTTAAGACGTCCTCAAGGCGTCCTTGGGCGTCATGTGCTATCTGGGTTGTAGAACCAGTCGCCCAGTGGTGGAGATGACGTCTGAACACTCAGTGGCGAGGAGACTTCAAACACTTATCGATGATTTACTGTATCATCACATTTTCTTCGTACAGATCAGGTGTTCTCATATTTATAAGCAATGGTGTACATCAGTGTTTTCGTCCAGTGTCTTGTATTCTGAGAAACTGTCCCATAACTAGACTGTGGATTTTGTACATTTATAACGTATACGGTTTTCTACAAATTAATACGGTTAAAGATTTAACCCTCATCCCCTTTTCTTACGTCAATTTGACAAATGTTTCTCCTGACGAAAATGTTGTATTATTGTGTCTAGGTCAATTTAGCTGAGGTTCCGTTGACTTTTATTTTTAACAATATACAAATTTCACTGTTTATCTCTCGTTATATTAATTTTTTACCACTCTGTCAATGAGACATCGAGGAACGAATTAAATTGGGAAAATGAGGGACGGATGAGGGTTAATGAAGTTCTAAAAGGCTTTTATTTTATTTGGACTTTAATAGAGCGAACAAAATTCTCCTTGATACCAATATCTATATACCAATAGTATATTCTATCCTACGCTTGCTTCCATTTCGTATTCCGTTTCTTCTAAACTACGTTCACTCTGGATGAAGTTTGATCAGAGTTGCTGAAAAACAAGTAGAAAGGATGATTGTGTAACACACCAATGCGGGGCAAATTCACAATATATACGTAACCGGGGTGGAATGTAACCATTTTTTCCCTTCCTATCGTAGGTGGCATAATTAGCAGGCTTTTAACATGCGCCGCGATTCTCCCCATTGCAAAAGAAACTAGCAGTAGAAACAGTCACGTGTCGAAATAGCAACAATCGCGTACTTAGAATGCCTTTATATTTCCTTCATTTGTAACTGTAAATGTAACTGCAAAAAACTGTAAAGCGCGTCTCGTCGTTGCATTCCTCTTCTACTTACCACCATGACGAATACACTCGTTTCAGATTAATTTTGAAATTCGATTTTCTCGTGAACTAAACCAACAGATTGACATATTTTTATTCCATATTTTTTTTTCTTATTTTTTCATAAAGAATCACGTAGTGCCCACTTTTACATATTATTCGGTCGGATCCTGTATACAATCATACCACAGATGGGCAACTTCATTATCTAGATAAAGAATTTCGAATAACGAATAAAAGATAAAAAAAAAGTACTTTATTTTTAATCGTTTAAACGTGGAAATTCCATTTCTTATAACAAAATAATACAAAACGAATCGACATTTGGCAAACAATTATTTAATCTAATTGACTGTTTAAAGCCCAGAATAATCTTAGATACTGCTGCTTTTGACTATCTATTATTCGAATAAAATTATGCCCAACTCTGAATCATAGTACCTAAACGCCAAATAAGACGATAACTGTTTCGCGTAGCTGGAATGAGCACCAAAGGTCTCTCTGTAACATGGGCGATAGAATTTGTCATACACCGGGTGACATAATGAAGTATTTCTCAAGACATGAATACTTATGAATTGGCACGTTTGCTCAATTGTTTAAGACATTGGTAACTAAGGTAACCGAGAGCAATATGCGCAAACAAGACTGAAATTCGTCATTTCGCAGTTAGTGTTTTATTTGGCGTTTAGTGTATACATACTATGGTGTACATTACTTTTCGTAAAAGCCTTAATATCTCTGAATATCGAGTAGTTTAATCGTTGTGCTCGGTTCTCTATCAATTACATCTCAGAAATCGTCATCACGAACGTTCTTATTTCCGTGGGCTTGGAAAAACCGCACGAACTTTCCGGGGTGGAAGCGTCCAAAGTGGTCACTGTTGTGTCGGAACTCTCCTGTCCAGTAAACACGTGTTGTTTGCCTCGCTTGATATCCACTTAGACCCACCATTCTGTCGCCAAATCCAGGCTGAAAGGTATTGCATGGCACTCGACAGTGAAGAATACTCGGACGCTATGATATGAGCGCGCGCAGCACCCGTTTCAATTAGAAACTGACATCGAACCGAGTCTTGATCGAGAATTCGGTCCGTGAACTGATATTTCCGATCGAGCCGTTACTACGCTTCGTTTGTACGACCAATAAAGATATCCTGGTTTATGATTTTTGTAATCGCCTGAGGTTGATTGTTTTCGCAAGATATCGCTGGCTTACAGACAACTCATATACATTGATCACTAGACTGTAGATTTTTATGCAACATCAAATTTTATAAAGTAATTCTTAAAGACAAGAACAAAAGTAGGAATTTCTATCTTCTCTTAAGTATGATATCGAGTTCAGAATAAAATAAAAAAGTCGTTGCATTCGATGAAAGTTTTGTCTTTTATTGTATTTCAGAGAACTCCAGAGCCTATAAATGCATAAAATCTACAGTCTATTGATCACTCATAGTATTAACCCCTTGCCTTACGATTTTCTTATATTATTTTCTGTATTATTTTGTTGTCAATAGTTTCCCAAAAACGAAAGGAACTCTACTTATCGTAACTGTACATTTACTGTATAAGTTAAATATTACAGTGATTCCTCGATGAATGCAACACGAGCAACGGCGTTATTCCCATCACTGGGGGAGTCCCCCTGTGGAATCAATCGAAACAGGGTAAACAGAAGCTAAGCAGAGGCTCAGCTTCGGACAAAAAAGAATTATGAGGGGCTGAAAACCTTTTCGCCTTGCCACGAATGCTCTGAAGTGGACCCGAGTACGTTGCACTCATCAAGACGTTACTGTAATATCATATATACATGGTATTTCACTTAGAATCAATGAAAACTAATAATGTTCATATTTGCTGTATCGATTTTAAAATCGTCGAAACGATTCTGACTCGATGTTATAAGGCAAGGGATTAAATTATCATTAAACTCGCAATATTAAATACTTGCGAAACGGTCACGGTACACAAGAAAAGGGACGAAGATTTATCGATTTTTGAACGAGACGTGGCAATATGTCGGAACAACCGTTCGTGTGTGTAGTTTCGTTTTTTCGTCATTTGGTTTTACGTTGGAACACAGACCACGAGATGATACCTTGGAAAAAAGAAACTTTCTTTTTCACTTACGCCACTGCTTTAGTTATGGCTTTCGATGTTTTTTTTCGAAACGCGTGTTACATCCCTGGCTGACTCGTCGATCTGAACTTTTTTTTTTGGGTTTTCTCTCTTGGATCCCTTCCGGTCGGTTGTGCTTCATTTTGCCTTGTTTGGCCCACAGGGGACGAAATCGTCAGAGCGAATAAACGCGAGGACGATGTCAAGGAGAGCCGATCGAGGATCCCGTCTCACACCACGTCGACCATCGCTGAGGAAGCGGTTGATCAGTTACAGGCCTCAGAAAAACTAATCGCCGGTGAGATTATATGAGTTGGTAACATTAGGTCACTTCCAGCCTAGATAGCACCTGACGCTCAATGACGCCTTGAGAACGGCTTAAAGACACCTTAGACCTAAAATAGCTGTAAAATGGGCGTCTTCAAGTATCATGTGTTATCTGGGAGTAGTCTGGGAAGCGTTGGTCGTGTAATTGAAACTAAGGAAACTCCTAACTACTTCCAATCCAACAGATTACATTGATTTTTTTTGTAGTTAAAAATTAGAAATTAAACCTTACTTAATTGCAGTATTGGAATAATATTAAAAGATGTGGAAAGTGCTATAAGTTAACTTCAGGCTACCGAGGACACCGAAAAAAGAATCGATAGTTGGCCAGTAAGCTACCAGAAGTACCGAAACCACACACAGTCACGTTTTTGTTCGTGTGATTCCAGAATTGAATGAGACGTGGGAAGAGAAATTGAAGCGCACCGAATTGATTCGTCTCCAACGGGAGGCGGTGTTCGCCGAAATGGGTGTCGCGGTGAAGGAAGATGGCGTCACGGTCGGCGTCTTCTCGCCGAAGAAAACTCCCCACTTGGTGAACCTGAACGAGGACCCTCTGATGTCCGAGTGTCTGATTTACTACATCAAGGATGGATTCACGCGTATTGGCAGCGCGGAGGCTAACATACCGCAGGACATTCAACTCTGCGGCCCGCACATATTGAGCGAGCACTGCGTCTTCGAGAACCACGAGAGCATCATCACGCTGATTCCGAAGAAAGGGGCATTGATTTACGTGAATGGACGGGAGATCGCTGAACCGATTGTTCTGAAGACTGGATCCCGCGTTATCTTAGGAAGGAACCACGTGTTCAGATTTAACCATCCGGATCAAGGTAGATTTTTCACCATGTACAGGGCAAGGCACCTAAAGCAGGCCACCTGAATATCCTCAGCTGTTACTAGTGATAGAAACAAATGTGACAGACAAAACTTACATGGTATCCAGAAGCACGTAATTTGATGTGAATTCGTTTGTTAAAATGGAAAGACGAGAGAAAAGTTTCGAGCAAATAGAAATATAAAATAAAAAACCATTTACATCAAATTATGTGCTCCTCGATATCGTGCAAGTTTGGTCTGACATATTTTTGTCTATCACCAGATTCACCAGTAACAACCAACATATTCAGATGGCTTGTTTTAAGTGTCTCACACTGTATAGGATATCGTTTAGTTGTCCGATTATAATGTTATGATTGCGATTCGTGAGATATATGTATTTCTTTTTTTTTTTTTTGCTTAATGTGCAGTTCGTGAACGAAGGGAGAAAAGCTCCCCTGCAGAAACACCTGGAAATGGAGAAACCGTTGACTGGAACTTCGCACAGATTGAGCTGTTGGAGAAGCAAGGGATTGACCTCAAGGTTGAAATGGAAAAGAGACTGTTAGTACTCGAAGAGCAATTCCGCAAAGAGAAGGAAGAAGCTGATCAGCTGTTCGAGGAACAAAGAAAGGTACATAGAAATGAGATATGCTTTTTTACTGAATTACTAATATGAGGTCATAGAAACTTACATATGAATACTATTATGCGTAGAGTTACGAGGCTCGGATAGACGCACTGCAAAGACAAGTGGAGGAACAAAGTATGACAATGTCTATGTACAGCAGTTACACTCCCGAAGACTTCAACAACATTGAGGAGGATATCTTTGGTGAGTAGACATTACGTATGTTCCCTGGTGTTCACAATATTCGACATAGCTATGTACAATGAATTGCATCTTTAATCCTTTATAATTAGTGAAATACACATGGGCAGAGCTGCTGCTATTGTTTTAACAATAATCTTTTTACACAGCTCTGCATGTGAGTAAGCTACGGTCTTTATAGATCGTACGACCTCTTCGTTAAAAGTATCAGAATTTGTAATGGATACTTTTGAATTTCCTATATACTATAATCGAGTAAATTTAGACAGGATTTAAAATGGATTTATATAGATTAGCTGAAACGAATGTAAGTAGTATCGTTACTCCACTACAAATTCGACAACTGTATGGATCTGTGTGACACACGATCAGATGGTGGTATGTAAATTTTCTATCTTTCTCCGATGCACGCATGCGATTATGTGGTTATGATATTTGAAAATATTCTTTCGAATCGTTTCGTATGTTCTTCTACAAGTCCCTAAAGTTTCATTTATCGACACGTACCGCGCATCATCTGATTGTGAACAGAAAGCAGTGGCTCCTTTTAACGAAGGAACGAATATCCACCAAATGCTTGGCTTTTCTGACTGTTTTGCCTGGTAATGGCTTGCATTTCAGTCAACCCCTTGTTTGACGCAGAGAGCAACTGGACCGAGAGAGAGTTCCAACTGGCCGCTTGGGCCTTCCGCAAGTGGAAGTATCATCAATTCACGAGTCTTCGGGATGATCTCTGGGGCAACGCGATATTCCTTAAAGAGGCTAACGCTATTTCTGTCGAACTCAAAAAGAAGGTACATCCGTGGTTCATTCCCTGGCAGTCAAATTCTGACCATGACTCTTCTTCATTTGCGAGTCATTAACATTTGCATCGTCCATCACACATTGCAACATTTCTTTCTTTACGAGCACTTAATCGGATCAAATATTTCTTCAATTGGTAATTCAGCAAAATCTTGAAACTTTCATGAAATTTTACGCGATGAAATAGTTCTTCTTTTACATTTTTCATGGTTCAGGAAAACGTTATACCTTATGAGATACATGTTTTAATTAAATTACTTTTCAACTTTCTGTAAAATCAATCTCGTGAACTGACTTAATAGGTACCCCCTTTTTGATGTTCAATGAATTAATAGATCATATATTACCACAGGCAGATTCATCCTTCCATTCTCCATACTTCTTATTGCATTCAATACATTGTAAATATTTTGTTAAATCAGTTTATTTAATTGCTTCATAGTCCATTAAAGCTTTCATCATTATTTATCATTCCATTGAATAAATCCATCTTTTGTTATTTTATAACTTATTTCTAAATTTTTCATTCATTTTAAACTTGTTTCAATTAGAATATAAAAATTTCTTGTAATATCTCCTTTTCTGCACATGAAACGTCTTTGTAGGTGCAATTCCAGTTCACTTTGCTCACGGATACGCTTTACTCGCCGCTTCCGTCGGATCTCCTGCCAGTTCTGGACGAAGAGGAAGAGGAAGACAGACCATTCCCTCGTACGATAGTTGCTGTGGAAGTGCAGGATACAAAGAATGGAGCCACTCATTATTGGACACTCGATAAACTCAGGTTTGTTGTCAAATACTATGCTCCATGCTGTAATGGTGCTTCATTTAATGTTCACATACATAGGGTGAGTTATATAATCAATCGCAAATCAATTTATTTAAAAGGCAACGAAATATGACAGAACTGTTTCTTGGTACTCTGATGGTTTTTTCAAGGGGCACGTTATAACAGCTAAAACTTCTTCAGATGTTCATCTCTTTCGTTTAACCAAGAGTATATTCTCATCCTCATATTTACGCAGGAGCATGATACATGTTGTATTGGAAAGTATTTTATCGATATTCGTTAGTATTGTATCTTCTCGGTACACGTAAAATAGTTGCATACGGAGAAAATATATTTAAGTCACAACCTCGATCGTACATACAGTACCGGACAAATGAATTCAGACAAAGACATTTCTCGTTGTATTTGTTGTTATGGTGACATTGAAGTTCTGCCCTCCGAAGTGTTTACTATTATTCCGACGCAAGCTTTCATACAAGTTACACGGAGCTACCTACGTGTCATAAAATATAAAATAAGTTTTATTTGCATTCAGCTAGACAAATGTATTCGGGCGTTTCATTCACAACCATAAATTGTAATCTGAGCCAAGAATTTCACGAAAACATTATATTATACCTTTATTTTATCCATTCTCGGATGGTACGAGGTAGAAATTCAGCAAATGTTTTAAAATAGAAAATCATAGACAGGGCTCAAATGGACCGTCGTCATCCATAGTTTCTCGATGCGTGGACATCCCCAAATCAACGGTATATTCAACAAAATAAACAATTACACAGGACAGGTGTTGATTAGTTAATGTAACATCAGTAGTATCCTTAATTCAAATAATACAGGAAACGGATTTTGTCCGAAAACATTTGTTTGGTAACTGTATTACTTAACTTTTGGTTTAATGTGTCAAAGAGCTGGCGTCTTGAAGTGCCTGAAAGCCTATCATGTAATTGAATCGATCGCGATAAAAATGCAGAAAGTAGGACCCTAGAATTGGCGCTTTTGAACAGATCGTGCTTAGATAAAAAAAAAAGAACAAAGTGCACAGAGATGCTCACGCAAGTAATACGTGTTAACTTATAGACAGCGCTTGGAGCTGATGCGACACGTGTACAACGAGGACTCGAGCCCCAGCACCCCGGAGGCCAAAGAGGATATTTTCCAATGCCTTACGGTCTACTCTTATCCGAAGTTCTCGCTCGCAAATCTTTTGCCTTCGAGGTTGGTGCTCGGACGCGCGAGGCTCTGTCCTTTCTATCACCACACACTTCATGCCCATCCCTCGAACTACAATCAACGCAAATCTGGAATTTATACAATTTTCTCACAGTTTTTCCACAGTCTAAATATATCTATATACACACTGACCAACAAAATTAAAGGAACGATCAACTTTCGCCGAAAAATTGTTGGTATTTAACTAAATGTTATAATTTCGTAACAAAAAAACGTACAACAATAATTCTGGGCTCATTTTAAAGCGCAAAGCTTCTACTTTCGTAACCCTTAGTTAGTTTTTCCTATAGAGATCCCTGCATCATGTGGCAGACTGAAAAGCAGAGGTGCTTTTTTGTTGCGAAAATTTTTCAAATTCAACCGATTCTACAGGTATTATAAAATTTTTGAACCTACTAAATTCACCACCAATTTGAAGATTGGAGGTTCCCCTTTACAACGACCTCTATAAAGTTGATGTACGATTTTTTGTCGCCGTGTTATTGAATTTTGAATGAAAAGTGTGCCGCTGGTATTAGAATAACTCAAGGTACACCACTTGGAGGTTGCAATTTAAGATTATATTATTAGACAATTCTTGTCACATCAATGATTGTTATATATTTTCTTATTACGAAGTTATAACAATTGAAATATCAGCACTTTTTCGGCGGAAAATGAGCGTTCCTTTAATTTTGCCGGCCCAGCGTATGTATACACTGTATCGATTCAGAATAACTTCCCTCCATAGAAACACATTGCTTTGCTGAATTTCAATGAGATATCGATGGAGGACTTCTTGCATGACCAAGACAATGTTTTCAGCCTTTGGCTTTAACAATGTCAGGACGGAATTAACCCTTCTCAGTTGAACGTTAGAAATAAAAATATAGAGAATCATTTTTCATAATATCTCAATAAATTTATATGAATTTCTTCCTTAGTCTTTATAGAATTATTCGAAGCAGAAATTGAAATTAGGCAGTCCTTGAAGGGTTTCATTCCTGTATATGTTACAACTTTCTCTCGCTGAACACGTGCGCTCCTAGCGGCTGAAATTCTGTCACATTCTTGCTTCGTGACTTCATCGTGCACATGCTACTTACATCCTGCCAAAGAATCACACAGATTATGATAAAATAACAAGTACAATGATCACGTAGACTATGTTCTCCAGCAGCTTTATTATGTACACTACTATATAACATATTCTTCGACAGTGTTTTGTATCCATCTTTCTATGAAAATACAGGGACAGAGAAAATGCTTTGACAATTAACTAACACTAGCAAAGTTTTATACTGTTAGAGGTACGATATAAATAAACTTTGTAAGCGAGGTTTTACTGACGACTAAATATTGTCCCTTTATTTGTGTGTACATGTTCTTTAAATATGTCCATTGGATTTTACGTATATATCTAAACACGTATCACGCACACAATGTTTTTGTTTTGGTTTGGAAAAGTGAATGTTTTGTACAGAGTATTCCTCACTGTGCTTTTCGACAATGTATAACTATGTCTTGATCAACAGTTTACATATTATACGATTTAAAATACATAATGGCCATTCTCGATGTTTGCGCAGGCAAAGACTCGAACTGATGCGGGAAATGTACCACAATGAAGCTGAACTGTCGCCTACATCTCCAGATTTTAATATTGACTCCATCACCGGAGGCGATCCGTTCTATGATCGTTTTCCATGGTTCCGAATGGTTGGAAGGTAAATTCAAGAATAATTAAATTGAAAGAAATTGAAAATTATTACAAGAATAATTCTAATTTACGAAGCGAAAAATGTTTCACCGAGTTCCTTAGAAAAATGAAACCTTAGTCACAATTTCAAATTCTTCGCCTAGTATTTATACACAGTTGAAAATAATATTTTAATCATAAATTTACCGATCTTCTTTAACCTTTTTTGACAATCTTCTGTATGATTACAGGTCCTTTGTATACTTGAGCAATCTCATGTATCCCGTGCCACTGATACATAAAGTAGCAATAGTCAACGAAAAGGGCGACGTGAAAGGCTATTTACGCGTAGCTGTGCAAGCTGTTGTTGGTACGTAATCGGTGTCTATATATTCTCCTCTATGTCTACATTCACTCTTCGATCGATACAATCAGTTGAAATACCGATTATATAACTGATTATACAATTTCGCATTAACTCTCAAAATAAGAACCGAAGAAATATATTTAGAGAGCATTACGTGACAGAATGATACGAAAAATAAAAGTACCATTATAATGGAATTATTCTTTGGTCGTTACGGTGCTCTCGTATCACTTTGAAAATATTCCGGCGTAGGATTTCCTTAACGAACCCTTGTTCCAGAAGAGGAAAACAGCGAGTACTCAAGTGGCGTTAGACAGTCAGCTAGAATTTCCTTCGAGGACGACCTGTTCGGCGGACACAAACAGAATAAACGTAACACTCTACTGACCCAAACCCTCGAAAAGAACCGACAAATTCTCCTGCACGAGGAACGCGTTGTGGAGGGCCACAACGAGCAAAAGGACGTGAAAGATGAGGAAGATATCGGCGATGCCGACAGTGGCAGAGGTGACAGTTCTGTTTCCAGCGACATGAAAGAAGAAGATCTACCGGATCATTTGCAGTCAGGCTCTGAGTTTACCTTCAGGGTAACCGTGCTGCAGGCAATGGGTATTTCTACCGAATACGCTGATATTTTCTGCCAATTCAAGTACGTATTAATATACAGAACGGGTGTATGGGAACGCATCGGGTACGATAGCAATTAACGTATCTAAAATTGTCCACTTGCAGTTTTCTGCACCGACACGACGAAGCGTTTTCAACGGAACCGGTCAAGAACACGGGAAAAGGAAATCCACCTGGATTTTATCATGTACAGAATGTAAGTTGAATAACGTGTACCGAAGACCGTAACCGAAGAGAATATCCGTACATGCTGCTATGCACAGTACCATTCAATCACATTTGCCTAATCATAATCGTTGATCGTTTAGATTACCGTTACGGTAACAAAATCATTCTTGGAGTACCTCAAGACACAGCCGATCGTGTTCGAGGTATTCGGACATTATCAACAGCATCCTCTGCACAAAGATGCCAAATTGGAATAGTAAGCATTAAATACTTTCGGTAACTGTTTTTATTCATATATATATTTTTTTTTCTATACGCTAAAAATTGTTACGAATATTAAATGAACCCTGTTTCCTTTTCTTTCCTTTCCTTTCTCTTTTTTATCGCCTGCATTGTGGCGCACACCTTTACTCTAGCATTCATCCTAACAGCGTAAGACAGCCACCGAAGAGGATGTTACCGCCATCTATACCGATCAGTCAACCGGTACGCTCGCCGAAGTTCGGGAGTGTGTTGCCGTCGCCCAGCACGTCGCACGTGCACGCGAAATACGACGTGTTGGTTTGGTTCGAGATCTGTGAACTAGCGCCGAACGGCGAATACGTGCCGTCGGTGGTCGATCACAGCGATGATTTACCATGTCGCGGGCTTTTCCTGCTTCATCAAGGAATTCAGCGTCGCATTCGAATCACCATTGTTCACGAAACGGCCTTTGAATTGCGTTGGAAGGACGTCAGGGAATTGGTGGTCGGCCGTATCAGAAACACACCGGAACCGGAGGAAGAGGACAACGATTCGTCTGTGCTTTCGTTGGGTCTTTTCCCTGGCGAGTACTTGGAAGTACCCGGGGACGACCGATACATGTTCCGATTCGAGGCAGCTTGGGATAGCTCTCTCCACAATTCGGCCTTGCTCAATAGAGTCACAGCTTACGGGGAACAAATCTTCATGACCATCTCTGCATACCTTGAAGTATGTTTCATGTGGTTCGTCTTCTCGATGGAATGGAATATCTTAATCGTTCGTATTGATTTTCGACTCTTTCCAGCTGGAGAACTGTGGACGACCGGCTATTATTACTAAGGATTTGAGCATGATCATTTACGGCAGAGATGCCAGAGTAGGACCACGTTCTCTGAAGCATTTGTTCAGTGGAAGCTATCGCAATCAGGAGGCTAATCGACTGAGTGGTGTCTACGAATTGGTGCTACGTCGTTCTTCGGAAGCAGGTAGCCCAGGTTTGTCTTGTCTACCCTTAGCATAGTCGCCCACCCCCCTCAATCCTTCTCCTTCTTATTAACATAATAGTCGCGTGTATACTTTGTGGATTGTGTAAATCACAAGGTACTTTATTATGTCACGACATCAAGGATCGGCTATTTCCTTAATCATACTTTAAGTTGCCCCCTTTAAAGTTACACAAAAATGTAATAGATACTTCATTCATAGGTACTTCATACTAGGTGTGTGATGTTTGATTTTTCTTTCGTTTCTTGCCTACTTCTTTTTCGCAATGATTTTCCAGGCGTTCAAAGGCGACAACGACGAGTGTTGGACACAAGCTCCACGTATGTTAGAGGAGAAGAGAATCTTCATGGATGGAGACCGCGAGGAGACAGTCTAATATTTGATCATCAATGGGAACTCGAGAAACTGACCAGATTAGAGGAAGTGGAGAGAGTAAGACACACGTTATTATTACGAGAAAAACTTGGCATCGACAAAGTTCCGTTCTGCAACAAAATATCGCACGATTTCACGAAGAGCGAGAAGGTAAAATCGTTGTTGGTACAATGGACACAATATGTGTAGTTTTCTTTAATACTGTGCCCGTAATATAATTCTTCGCTCGTTCAGGAGGTTTGCAACATGATGGCGAAAGCAACGAACGAGCCACACGCTAGTCCAGTTAAACTTAAACGTTCAACGAGTAAAGACGTTTACGAGCATTGCGAGATGACCGAAAGAGAAAAAGAATTAACCATGAAATACATAAAGCTAATTCAAGGTCGAATCCCAAGCAAAGAACCTATCCTACTTTCAGACGTTTCACCTGGCGAAGACACTATGGCTGATATGTCGGCATCCATGATGTCTTCGGTGATATCGTCCTCGTCCCAAGAGTCAGTATACGCGAGAACTAGTGATTTCTTAGAGCAGGTAACCCTCCCTGCATGCCTGAGTGCTCCTGCTAGTAGCGGTTGTCCACGCTTCGTCACATCGTATTACCTTGGTCGCAAAAAATAGATGTTATTTTCGAGATTCAATGAAACCGATACTCTCTTTCTTCATTCGTATCGCGTGGAATCGTTTAAAACATGAAATTAAGCCAATCGGCTTTGAATTTAAAACAAGTTATCTACTCGAAACATTTCGTTTCTATCGACATTTGATATATATTACAAATCAAAGAGTGAAGACAGCGAGAATTCGATTATATTTGAACGTCGAAATTTTTGTCAGTCAATCGATCAGAATCAGCTCACTTTTTTTCCATGCAAGCTGCAACAACTTTGATTTTTATCGATACAAATAAGAAAAAAATTCCAGGTCACTTTTGCTTTACGAATTGGTCAAATTTAATCATGCGATATTGTTCCGGTAGCTTCGCTGAGTGAAAGTCGCGCTTTTAACGCAGTTTGCTTCTATGAACTGCTTACTGTCTACTTGACGATGACTCGAGGTGATCGAGTCAATGACAACCGCCCCAGCACGATTGGACACACGATCAGGGTGATGCTGGAGTGTTACTTGCAGGCTGCTGGTATAATAGTATGGGGCAGGTCTAAGTCGTGCATCCTTAGGTTGAGTTCACCGGAGAGGGCTAGACTACAAGAACTGCAAGAGAGTATATTGGCAAGCGAGTCCACCAACCAAATATGTTCTGTCGCCCCGGCGCCTTTAGGGTCGTCCTCCCCGTCGAAGGAGAATTTGGTGCTGTACGTGCCGGAAGTTGAAGAAATACGTATTAGTCCGGTTATTGCGCGGAAAGGTTACCTAAATGTACTCGAGCACAAGACTCATGGTTGGAAGAAACGCTGGGTGGTACGTGCGTCTTGACTGAACTGTACATTTCGACAATGTCTGCGTATTTAATAGATAGATGAGAAATGTCGATATTGAAATCTAATTTCTAGATTATCTAGGTAACATGGATTTAATTTTGCTGAAATTATGTGCAGGCTGTACGACGACCGTATGTTTTAATATTCCGGGAAGAAAAAGATCCTGTGGAGAGGGCTCTCATCAATTTAGCTACTGCTCAAGTCGAATACTCTGAAGATCAATTAGCTATGGTGAAAGTACCAAATACTTTTAGGTAAAACGTCATTTACTAGAGATATGCTTATTAGTGTGCCATTTGTGAATTACAATTTTCTGTGAAAAATGATAATATTTATTACATATTAAGAAGGTTTTGGCATGACGTATCCATTATTAATTTCTTTCAGCGTTGTTACGAAACATCGAGGTTACTTACTGCAAACCTTAGGGGACAAAGAAGTCTACGACTGGTTATATGCTATTAATCCTCTTCTCGCTGGTCAGATCAGGTATATACATTAATTCTAAACTGTTACTAATAAACTAGAAGTTTCATTTTATTCTGATGTAAGTTAAAGAGTTCAAGCATCTTCGAACGCTGGGATAAAAATATCTTTTGAATGTTCAAGTCCATCGTTTATGTATAGTACAAGGTATTGTCTATCTTACTTGCTCTACCGTTTTCAGGTCAAAATTAGCACGCAAAGGGCCGACGGTCGCAAATTTAAATAACGCTTCGCCCGTCGGTCTGACCCCGTTGATAGATCAGCAGTCGAACCAAAACAAGTGAGTGGTCGAAACATTGGCCGAGGTAACAAGCGTCATTACGAAAGCCTCCGAGAAGATGCTGTATTGGTCGCACTCGGCCTTCGAGTCCCACGATCTCTGTAGCTTTCGATTTTCGGTAGTCTTCGATTATTAAGCGACTCGGAGAAAGCGTATCGATCGGCTACCAGCTTCGACAGCCACCGATTAATATCCCGGCCGTCTGATTTAAACGATCGTCAGTTTGTTCACGGCTGACGAACGGATAGAAAAGATGAGAATAAAAGAATCACTAACTATAAACGGAAGGTATTCGTCTTTCGAAGGAAATGTTACACACGTTCGAATTGTATTTAAAGAAGCAACAAACAAAAAAAAACATATTGTTTGGAATCGCTGGTTGCTGCATGGGGCGTCTCTCCGTTCGTTTCGGGAAACAAGGATCGAAACGCTGTTAACGTTGAAGAGATACCGCGAACCACGCGCGCCCAACCGATACCCTCTCTCATGTCGTATTTGAAATTCTCGATATTAGTCGGTCATACGAAGCGATTCTCTTTAAGCACCGGAACTCGCATAGGACGAAGAGGAACGTATTTATGCCTAAATAAAGCATTCCTAAGACGGTCGTAGAAACGAAGCAAGAGATATACACACACATGTAGGTATACTCGTGAGAGATGTGCGCGAGAGATAGCAAGAAAGAGAGGGAGAGAAAGGAAGAAAGCTAAGGGGACGATGTAGTGAGATTACGAATTTCTGCGTGTTCATGGTTGGAGAATATACACCTGGCAAACGGTGCGGATTATTTCGTACGGGTTGACACTGTGGGCGTTGAATAATTGATAATGTATCTGTTTAACGTATTAAGTTCGCGATTGTGACCGTCATCGAAATGACCCCCTCATTCCTCCATCTTACCTTGTTTCGCGTTGTAACCACGTAATATTTACGCCTCAGATAACGAACAATTAACAAAAAATTTCCCTTTAGTTCTTACCATAGACAAACATTCGATTTAAATAATATTTTGAATTTTTAATGTTCACTTCCAATGGTGAACAGTTCCCAGTATTAGTTGAATCATTTTGCATTTCGTAGAGTTTTAATGATGAAAATTCTGAGGCAGATTATTTGTATAAGCGACGGCGTACACGAAAGTTCGGCTCGCTTCTGTTACCGTTTTTGCTTGCTAACTGTTGTAGAGTCTGATAGTTTTATTTTGTTAACGATGACATATGTACGTATCGATGAAGAATGAAAGACCGTAAATCCAATAAGTTGTATGCACTTGACGCTTAACCCTTTGAAGCAAGATTCTAGGCGAAGTAAATTGATAGGATCATTAGTCATTTCTGTTGCCTTTCAGCGTGTAGATTCTCATTTTTAATATCCCTATATCATTGATCGAATTAGAGTCTATTATATGTATTCGCGATTACGTTACATCTTTTGTAATAGTGTAATCGCATTTACGCGTGTAATTTTGGTCCTCGTTATTGGGGACACTGTTACAGAACAGTTGATTATCTATACCTTGTAGATTGAATCTATCTACATCGTGAACTCGTTTTATGTTACAAGGTATAGCTACGATCACAAACTGTGCGTGTGTGATATTTAAATGTATTATTTGGCATTACTTTTTCTGAATAGAGTAATGTTGAGTCAACTTTAATTTATTTAAGTAAATTCTTTGAAAACCAAAGAGATTCAAATTTACTAGTTTAATTTATTTTAATTGTATTTTATTCGTAATTATTTGTTCGCAACAGCTCTCTGGGTTGAAAAAATAATTGCAGATTATATAAACAAACGTTGGATGGTACTACTGTGAAAAGATTAATTATCAGTTTATTAAAGTTTGTTACAAAATAACTCGGGAAATATAATTATACCAAACTTTTATCGACTTTATTTCATTAAGAAACGAAATAAAATTTAGTCGAAAAATTGGATAATGTTTTTCTTATACCAAAATTGAAAAAAAAATATATTACTGGCTAATCTTCCATCTTTCAAAGAAAAGCTATAAACTATTAAACTCTGTTTAAGTTTCATTGAAGAAAAAACTTTATGCTTTGTATTAATACATTGTTGCTCATATTTAATGTTGTACCAAAGAGATTCTGTATGCTATTGGTATGTAGTAAGAATGGGAAGAAACATGTAAGATAAATACTGTAAGGAACTAGAAATAGAAGACATAAGAAAAATTAAGCATTTTTCACGAATATTCATAACATCTCCAAATAAAACGCATTCAAATCTGAACTGAAGGATGTAAGCCGTTGACTATGTGTATTCCTATTTTCAAAAACAACTCATTGTACATCTACAGAATAAATATACTTTACAGTTATAAGGTTAAAGTCGAGAATTATAAGATGCGTTTTTACACAATAAGCCAAACGTAACGTGTGTATAGCCAATTCTTTTCCTTTTTTAATCTAGAAGAACGCGCCATAAAGTATACAAGGCTGTAATGCTTATGGACACATACAATATTTATAGATATTACTTACGATGTATAATAATTAAATTTTAATGTTATTATTTACGTATGACTTATTATAATGTATGTAACAAACTATGCGTGTAAGTAAGAGGAATAAGTTATGCACTGTATACTCACTATTGCTTCAGGGGGTTAGAGTCTTTATTTATAACGTTGCAAAAAACTAAAGAAATGGGAAAGTGCTTGTGGAAGACAAAAAAAGAAGGAAGATAACAAAATGGGTAAAGATAAAAGAAAGATGAAACGAGCGTTGCAAGTTAAAATACAAAACGCCGTTATTCAGGTTAATAATCATTGTTGTTATTAGGAGTCAAAATACGGAATTAAAGAGAATGAAATGGGAGAAAGAAGGAGCGCGAGAAAGAGGTAGGACGTAAAAAAGAGAGAATGAAGAAGTACGTGAGGGAGAGAGAGAGAGAGAGAGAGAGAGAGAGAGTGCGAAAGAATATGTTTGCTTATACATACATATATACCTTATACAGATAAAGTATATTATATAAATATATAAATAAATTTAATATTAACGTAAGCATTTTGGCAAATGTCAACGATCATCCGGAGACGTATGAAAGAAAAATTGACGGGGATCTGATCTGTACCAAGTATGTAAGTTCATATGCTTGTTTGTAAGGTGACTAAAAAAATCTATTGCAAAAACGTTTTCATTTCTGGTTGTTTGCTATGAGGAACATGCATCAATGCTGTAACTTGTATTTATGATTATTATTCGATTTTCGCTAGGCTCACTGTAAGTGGTAACGTGTAATAAATCGGTCAATAAAAAGCTTATATGCTTAACGAATTCTTTTCACGGCGTACCCGCCTTATTCAGTTCAGTAACTTCTTTCTTTAGGAAGACACAGTTTAGGTCTAAAACGAGAATATGGAAACTAAATTAGAAATCAATTTATTTTATTTAACCATTGAAATGGTTCCTTTCACACTGTCTACAAATTCTTTGAAACTTGTTTCGTATGTATGTTTATTGAAAGAACTCTTGCGACATAGTTTTAGACTCCTGGTTAGTTTCGCAAAGGCGTCCGCTAATCTCTGTGCAAGTTGTTGATCCAATTGAGAGGACAGGATATTCTGTACAAGTTGTTCATATTGTTCGTAATAGCAGAGTATCAAATAATAGAGGGGTGTCTCAACTTCCGAGATAAAATCTCTATCAACTTGTTGTGATAAAATTGTACTCAGTAGCAACTGAAAAAATACAATTTTATTAATGCTTAGATTGATATCGAGTCACAATGAAAGAAATATAGTAACAGTTACATTTAAAAATGGCGCCAATATCTGTTTTTGTGGATGCTCATATAATGTATAGTTGCCACAGATGTGTTCGGCTAAAGCTGAAAGTATTGTACAACATGACCGAGACGTTTCATGACCAATAGAAAACAGACCCCATTCTACAGATGCTAATAGTGGCCGCAACAATTCAGGTGACAAGGTGCACGCTCTCTCAGGATGATCAACACAAAAGTTTAACAGAATGTCGTAATACCTGTAATAAAGAAATAATACTTTAATTTAATCGTAATAGGTAAAATTAATAAAAACCATTATGTTAGTCTGATTAAGATAGTAACAAACATATTTTCACTTACTGCGAACACAAGAATGGAAACTTTAACAAATCTATAGTCACTATAGGCATAAGTATATTGAAACCGCATACAAAGACATCCGCTTTTATGTTTTTGTTGGAAAAGCGATGATTGTCCATTAAATTATTCAACAATTTCATTAATGATAGAATATCTTGAAAACTTCCTTCCGCGGCTGAATTTATTGATAGTCGATTACTATTGCAGCGCGCATAATTTTGCATTGCATTCAAACATATTTGGTACATCTGTTCAGCTTCAATCTAAGATTATAAAATGCAGCTGAAATAATGTTATTCTTTTTTGTAAAGTAAACAATGTATAATAAAATGTAGTAGCTAAAAATGGTTTTACATCAGACAATGAACTAAGAATCGCTGGTCCTGTGCATTCAGAAAGCAACTCCAAAATTAATTGTATTATTTCCTGATAATTATGATACAAAGATAGCAAATGTGGAAGTTTCTCTAATATGGGATACATGTATCGAAATAACGTTCTGGACCTTGAGCCTAATATATGCTGGATACCCTGAGCAGCCCCTGTTACATATTTAAACATTTCAATTATAATATATTTCTACTATCTAAAATTGCAGTCTATTCGAATAACTTACCAATAGCACATTCTAAAATATCTATAATTTGAATTTTAATTTCTTCTTGGTGATAGGACTTCAAGAACTTTTCATCCGTGGTAATTCGCTTGTATCTATCTTGGAGTGGTTGTAGTGCCTGCGACCAATAACCTCCTTCTGCGGTAGCATTTGGAGTTGCGATTCCACCTTGAATCACCGCTTGCATTAGTCCTCTTTTAACCTTCTGTGGGAAGTCATGTTGTCCATTTAGTGCTAGATTCCAAATACGAACATATCGTTCCGATTTTAATACAGAAGTTAGTCTGAAAAATGGGATAACGTTTTTTACAATCTCTTGATCAAGCTTAACTGTAGCTTAAGTTAAGTTTAACCGTACTACATATAATATTATATCAATATGAGACATAATATTCTTTTTCCTTACTGAATGTTATACACAACAATGAAATATGCGAATTTGAAAGTTAAAAAGAAAAATTACAGATCCTATAGAGTAAACACTAGGCAAAACGTATGAGACACGTACTTTCCTGGTGGCATGTAACATCAAAAATTAACTTAAGAACACATTATGGTTGTAAAGAAACTACTCAATCTTCACGAACTTATAATAAAAACTTTGCGCATTTCTTATGTTAAGAAAAAGTACATTATATAAGACTTTATTCTAACTTTTCGACTTAAAATTTTAGTGATTAAAAAAAATGAAATGAACTCATCTAAAAATAATAGAGATATCATTAAATTTACCAATCACGTGCCACGAAAAACGTGTCCCATGAGCTATAGTTATCCAGGAAAACCTTAAAGAAATCCAAAATCCGTGGATTCCATCCGGGGACTATACAGGAAAGTGTTGTTACTTTCAGTCAAAGTATTCTTATAGACTTTACACTTACTTCTTCGGTGAATTAAGAAGAGATGTTAATAACTTTATAGTTTCCTGCATTAACGCCGGCTCACTTTTAAAAGTATTAATACTGTATTCTATTCTCTCTAAAAGCATGTTTATAGCCCACGACGTACCGGGCGCATCTTCGCCAAAAACTTGTAAAAATGTAGTGCTTATCTCGGAGTAATACTTTTCTATGGGTAAGAGGTAACTGAGCGCCCATCTGTGTAAAAACCACATTATAGTACAGCTTAATACGGGGCTTAGTATGCTGTCCAGATGGACAGATATTGCAGTCTTTTCTATAGCACACAGCCGAAAAATATCTGTGACAAAATGAATGACGTGATCCACTGATTCTATAGCAACATTAATGTCTGACGAAACATTCTCTGAAAATGCTAGAAGTTGTGTAGTAAGGTGCACATCGACCTTTCCCTGGCGTACCTAAAACATACATTCATTTATGATATGTAAAATACGTATCTTTTGATTTACATTTATTATTTATTTAATAATCAGATGTAGTAGACATAAACTAGTAGACAACGGCTAAGGGTGACCGTGTTGTATTTGTAATGACAATACTCTCAAGTTTACAATGTCCTTGTCAGTCATGCATTTCGGTTTACATCTACTACTTGTTTAAATCATACGTATGTGTTTTTAATACAGTTTGTTCACGGACCTGTTCCATACTGTATTTCATTATTTCTGTAGGTATTAAAGCAGTCTCACCATGAGACTCCAAGCAAAGCACATGGCCCGTTATAAGTAATAGCCAGTGTATGTCCTCGTATAATCTGACCATAGAAATATCCTTTATTGTACTTAAAGATTCAGTCCGTCCCACTAATCTATTGAGAATTTCTCGCAGTTTAGATGTACGGTCCTTTATTAATTGTGACAATATTGAAAAAGAATGACATAAATCTTGTCTTCCAAAAGAGCCTGTAATAAGAGACTTTTTACAGTGATAGCATGTATGTACCACAGTGTCCAGTAACGAATGGTGCACAAATGAAGAATACATTTTTCACACGCAAAGTTTCATTTTTGGGGAAAATAAGTCCAAATATTAGTCATCTTCACAGTGAGAAAAGTAACAGATTTTATTTCTCATTTTCAATTTGTTTTTACACAAAACGACGTATCCCCCAGTTGGAAAAGAATTGGAAAGTGAAGCACAGGAAACAAAGAAAAATACAGTAACTTCAATAGAGGACATACCAATTGTTTGTAACTGTGACTCAAATCTAACTTTATCGTCTTCTTCGGTGTCTGCTTCTTCTCTGTTAAGGTCCTTCTCTTCCAGACTTCTTACACCTTCTGGTGAAGTTAAGTGACACTGAAGATACACATCAAATATTTGTACAGTACTTCTTTTACGAAATTCATCAGGAAACACATTCTTTCTCTGACAAGTTTTTGTTTCCATGTTTATAGTACATCTTTCACTAGGTCCTTCCCTTGGTAGAATATACAACCACGTCCGAAACAAAATACCTAAACCTTCTGAATACGGGGATTCATCGACACATAACTGCAATGTATACAAGAATTTCATAACAATTTTATAGTTACAAAACAGCTCTCTTTACTGCCATCTTGATAATCTTCAAATATTAAGTGACATTACTTACGAATTCTTCTTTAGCTGCATTTTCTATGAATAGACAAGTTAATCGACACATCTGTTCCAACAATGTATTCAACATATCTTTAGGTAGAATTACTGAATTTGTATGAAGTAATGTAATCAATTTTATTGTAATCTGAGCAATTCCAATGGCTTCATGGTCAATGATATCAATATTTGTGACAAACTCCAGAAATCTCCGTGTGTAATTAGAGAAGTATTGTGTTTTAATTTCTTCAGATGACAGTACCGAACCATTTAAGGTTACCAGCTTCACCAAACAAGTCCTTGCTAAATGAGCTAACTGTGGATTGCCCCGTATTTTCCAATAGAGTGTGAAAAATAAATCCAGTACACCTGGAGGCAATAATACATCTTGCCAGCTTTCATCCACCTTTAATGTTAAATCAATCATACAAAAGTTAGATACATATGCGTACAAGTAATCTTGTACAGCAAAGTTAAGGAATTAACTCAGTTTTCAAAAGTATAAAAAACTAAATTGCAAATATATACAGGAAGGACAATTATAAAAAGGATACTTTCACGTTTTGCTGCAGTAAAAGGCCAAGTAAGTATGCATTCTACAATCGGAAGCAAATGTTTGAGAAGTGCCAGTGTATCCTCTTGAATGTCTTTCTTCAATAATTCGTCGAGTATTCTGAGACAAAACTTCAAAATTCTTTTTAAAATAACACCTTCAAACAATTTAATAAATTCCTGTTCTACTGATATATTCTTGATGGTAGTGTTCGCATCAAATCTATATTCTTGCATGATAGCTAATATGAGATTACATCCTATAATTTTCTAGAAACATTAAAGAATGTATTATGAGGAGATATTTTCTGTGTATACAACAGTAACATAAATGTACTATTATGACTATAATATACTATATGTCTTAGTTACCTTTTGTAAGTCACCGGTCATTATTAAGTTTTCAATTTCTCCTAAGAACTGTTGTTGTTCTTGTATAGAATTATTGACACTGTCTGCCTTTATTATGATTGCAATCACTTGCAATATATTTCCTTGAATATATGTTGCCAAATATGATTTGTTTATTATATACTGGAGAAGGTATTGTTTTAAAGATAAAATATCTTGTTTTGGTAAACTTGACCATTCTCGTACCAATGCTAACTTTAATAAACCGGCTGCTTCAAAAAGGATATAATCATTTGTGTTGGTTTCTAAAATTTGCTGACAGAGCTGGTAAGGAAATTTGGTTTTACGAAAATTTAGAAAAACTTCTTCTGCAGCTTGTCTTTGTTCTACTGAAATTAAATTTGGTGGTGCCTGAAAATATAAACAAAAAAGTTGAAAATTTGAGAAGTTTTCAAAGACATTATTTCACTTGTTACAAATAACAATTACTTGATTCAAAATGACATTGCATATATCATACAAATAAAGCATTATAGAATTTTACAATAATAAAGAAAAATCATATTATAGTCATACTTACTTTGGAAAAGTAAATATTTAATTACACAAAAGAACTATTTATGTCTCAAAGTTTTTTTTTTCTATAACATTAAAAAACAAACAAAAAAGATAAAACTTCATTAAATACAATATATACTATGTAATATTTACTTAATATCGATGTATAGATATTATTTAATGCAATTCAATAGTAAAACAAGTTTATTATAACCTGCACAAAGGTATGAAATTACTTGAAAAAGAATGTAGACTTACTAAAATCACTTGTGCAGCTTTTTCCAATTCGCTGATTACTTGTTCTGCCATTTGTTTGAAATTATTCGCGCTTTTAAGTAAAACGGTCGTCTATTAGTGTTTTAGCGTTTGTTTAATGGCGTGTCCTGCAAGAGTTACAGATGTTATGATTGATTTATAGTAGTATAGTCGGGCATAATAGTTGTTCACCCCCACCATTGCAGTACCGACGATCTCATATTTTCCAAAATGACACTTGATTGAACCTGTTAACCAGAGAAGACGAGTTAATTCGTCATGTTCCAGTCATATTCGTCATATATATTCAACTATATCTGACTATATCTTTCGAAAATGATTAGTTTCCTTATTTATTTATCCAAAGAGGTTTACATTCGATTGCATTATGTTTATAGTAGCATGATTACGTCGTACTTACATACATATATGTATAATATGTTTACTGCGTATTCTAAATCACTTCCAATCGCTATTATATTCATCTTTAATTTTGTTCATATAGATATTATAGTGGTAAAAAAATCGTCCACTTAACAGATTAACAGTATAATTGACTTGTTACGTATTGTTATATGTATAAAATGATATAAATTTTACGATTATATACATATATTGTTAAGAAACCGTACTATATACATATTATGCTACTTTATTGCAAAATACAGCTGTTGTTATAACTTAAATAGCTTAAAATCATTTTAATATTTTTGTTATACTTTCAAATAGCAGTAGAAATATGGTCAAAGGAGAAATATTTTTTTAAATTTAATCAATTCTGATTCGTTTATTTTAATTCTGCAGTCTTAAATTTATGATAGATTGCCGCACGCGTAGTAAGTCCCGCTCAGGTGATGAGGAAGAACGGGGAGAACCAAAGGAGAACAGAGAGAGGATTGAATCATTGACCAATATAATACTTACTCTTGTTAGTTGTTTAGTTGTACCAGATGTACTATAAATGATAAAAACAGTGAAACAAGATAGCACTGACATGAAATCATAGTAGTGGTATTGTAACCTAGTCCTAGTCAATTGCAGTTAATCGTGACACTTGCGCGACTAAATTTTTCAGACAACTAAAAAGGAAAAAAGTGATATTCTATCAACAGTAATTTGTCATGACTTAAATTATATAGACAATAGCCCGAGACTTATGAAATTTGCGAGGACGTATGAGTTCGTACAAAATTATTCTAAATGATAGGTGCTTCTGTCACAGACAAATGCACCGATAAATGCAAGTGCATGCAAATGACAGCAATCGACAATTAAACAGTTGTATCATACATGCCTCGCAAACGAAGGAAAAAGTCAGATACGTAAAATATGATGGTAGAAACGCGTAAATTAAAGCGATAAAGTGATACGTTTATCGAGCTTATGTTTTGTAGTTTACTTGTGTAAACGATGGCACCCACGAGAGACAAATGGGTGAGGCGTTTTATTATTCCTGAAACGACACGGCATAAAAAAGGTTTTACTATCTACAAAATCACATCTGTGGTAAGATATACAGTGGAGACTGTCTTTTTGAATATAATTTTTCTTAATAAACCGTGTAGTCGCAAGAACATTTATAATAAATGAAAATAATTGAAAAATTAATACAGTCAATATTTTCTTTTAATATTTGGTTTGAATTCTTTCGAATTTAACTAAACAAAATCAAGTGATGCTTAGTTCATAGTTTTATCACAAGTAGTTGTAGCTTTTGTCATGTAACAAGACAAGTTTTTAATAGTACCTAACCATAGTCTATCTTTTAGGTATTTTTAAAATCTTCTCATGAAGAAATATCTAAGGTGTCTGTCTGGAAACGCTACAATGATTTTAAGAAGCTCCACTCAGAATTAAATATTTTGTTTTCAAGATCTCAAATTAAAGAGAGCTATCCGTCATTCCCAAAGCCAAAATTTTTTGGCAGGTTTGAGGCAGAAGTTATAGAAGAACGACGGGAATGTGCATTGAAGTTTTTAGAATTCATAGGAAGACATTCGTATTTATATTCTAGTGATATTTTCATAAAGTTTTTTGAGACTAGTCATGTAGATTTTTCCTTAAACGATTGTTCACAATCTCTTAGTTCTGACACATCAGCAGAAGATGATCGTCATATGTACATAAATTCTCCACCCACTGCTGATGTTGTTTCTCATAGTATTTTTGAACCTAAGGTAGTTCACAATTCTATATCGCCTATTTCCACCTCTGAAAATGAAACAAATCAATCTCAAGAAGCTTGTAAATCTAAGGAACTACAGTTTGCACAGTTGAATAACTCAAATTCTAAAACTGAAAATAAAAAGGCATCCATGACAAAAAGTGCAGCTGATAATTTGCTTGTTCAAGATAACAATTTAGATAAAATTATATCCAGCTTAGAAGATAATCCATTAATTTGCAATAAAAATAATAATTATTATGAAGATTCAAATCATAATATTCAAAATGACAAAGATTGCATGTTTGTACAAACATCAAGTGGTAATGTGAACACTAATGCAATTGCTGCAAATGTGAATTCATCAGTAATAACACATGATGGTTCTGACCTACCTCAAACATGGTCTGACTCTTCGCAATATATTTTAGTTGCGGCTGCACATATGAATGCAGCCTTTAAACATGAAGATCTTACAGAATATGAAGAAGCATTTACCCAGTACAAAATGGGAATCTCTAGCTTACGATCTGGTGTTGAAATGGATTCAAATAAAATAAGAGCAGAAATAATAAAGGATAAAATATCAAAATATTTGGAACGTGCTGAAAAGCTTTACAATAGATATCTAAATTGTAATATTTCTTTGTTGAATAAACCCATTTCGGAACTTCAATATTACAAAGTATTAAAGATCATGGAATCAGTGATGCTTGTGAAAGATATCCGCAGAAACTGCCTCAACATTGTAAAAGTATGAACAATTAATAATTTATTTTGCTTACAATTTAGACTTTTTCATTGAGTCTTAATTATGTATTGCAAAACATCTTTAAAAAATTAAAATACTATTTTTTTTTATTTCAGACTGTAAAAAAGTCACCGACAAATAAAGAAAATATAAGTAATTACATACTACGTGGGCAGGTACCATATATGGTACAATTAAATGCATGTATTGAGACAGAAACAACAACATTCTTAATTTTACAGCATCTCGGGTAAGCGCTAGATAACTACTATTATATACTATTGTCATTTATGCATATTATTCGAAATATAATTTTGTACTTGCAGTCGTGGAAAATTGTGGAACTTTATAATGTCACATTATAATTCCAACAATAATATATCATGTGACCGAACAATTGTGGAAAATAGTATTGAAAAATCAGTCAATAATATTAATATTATTTTAAAGAAGGAAAGTATCCAAAATGGGGGAAGTGCATCAGTAGATAATTTAAACTTTACTAGTACAAATTCTAAAGTACAAATGGAGATAGATCCAATGGCAGTAAAAAAAAAGTATGAAATATGTAGAGATGTATCTACTACGCGATTATTAGAAAAAGCGCAAATACTGCTACAATCGGTTAATGCAACATTAAAAGAAAGTAATACAGTTGCCAATCGATTACGTGAATCCGATCATTTTATAAACCATGAAAGTGATACTAAATTATTAAATATAAAAAATAATATAAACCAGTCTAAAAATTGGACTGAAGTATCAGTGGATATTAATGAAATATCTTTAGAAATCGGGGGCATAAGCGAAAATACTACAATTGAAAAACTACCTGAAAAGAATGTGATAGTCTCGAATTATTTAACAGTAAATAATAATAAAAAAGTGAAGAGTCAATGTAGTACTGACAATTCATCCCTAAGCGATAGTTTTAGAGACCTTAGTTTTGATGAAAAAGAGTCAAGTTCTTCATCGGATAATTTGAAAGGTGCTGACACATACCTTACAATTGATCGTGCCGGTAGTATTAAAGCTGATAATCTCATAAATAGTTTTGAAACAAAAATATTCACAAAATCTTATGATAAAACGAAAAGAAGTGATAATCATACATCAGTGGATCAACAATTACAGTATATCACTACCACACAGTTGATGGAATCCATAAAAAACGACACCACAGATTTGGAACAGGACTTATGGACGATACCCGAAAATGTAGTTCGTCTTTGGGCTGCTGAAATACTTTTAGCATTAGAAGCACTACACCAACAAGAAGTTATAGTTTTCGATTTAAAACCAGATAACATACTACTCGATGACAGTGGGCACGTTCGATTAACATACGTTGTACCTACTCGCGACATAGATTTATTGAAGTATAAGTACCCTTATGCTTCTCCCGAATTATGTATGTTTTCGCCTATGATACCCCTTACTTCAGCTTCAGATATCTGGAGCTTTGGTGTTATCTTGTATGAATTAATAGTAGGCAATGTATGTTAAAATAAAATAGCAATTTTTACTAAGATAACTATATGCAATAAACATACTATATATGTTACATTTATATTTCAGAAGTTTCAGGACAAGCATCCGAGCGTATTTCAATCACATTCCATTCTTAACATTCCTAGTAAGTTATCAGAGAATGCAAAGTCCTTACTACTTAATGTAAGTTTTCTAAATAGTTCTTTAATTGCAAGTGTGTTTAATAGCAAAACAGTATATAAAATAAGTTTTACAAATTTGCAGATCGTAAAATACCAACCCCATGAAAGGTTGACAATACTTGAGATAAAACAACATCCTTTCTTTAAAGAGATTAATTGGTCAAGTTTGGCAAATACACTGTGAAGCTAGTATAGCATACAGTACTACTTAAAAGAATGCTTGGTAACGAATTTTCGTTGACATTCGTGAAAATCACAGAAAACAATTCAGAAAATATTTTCTTTAAAAAATACATATATTTAAATACGTTCCGTACTACAAACACGTACTTAAAAACTTAAATAATGAACATTTCATGTGAAATAGATGACACGCGTGTATAAACATTTTATGTTTAATGTTTAATTTTTTCTCAAAATTCCGTAAGGAATTCTATGTACAGATTATCTTTGATAATCACAACACATTGTAAGAATATTTAACGTGTATAGAGACTGTTACTTTAAAAATATTTATTACGTATGTATTTATTTATAAAAGTAAATTTATGCCATCTTAAACCTGTATTTACCTATTTCTTACTCTTTCACTTCTAGATATTGTTGACATTCCATCGACAAATCTAGTTGTATATATTACATTAGCATTGTTGAACATTCCATCTTTCAGTGATACAACAATAAATTGTGAATGTTTAAAATGCCGTTTTAACATGATACCAATATTCTCTGTATGCGAAAGATCCAAAGCGGCATCAACTTCGTCCAAAATATAAAGTGGCGCCGGTTTAAACAAAAGCATAGCTAAAATTAAAGATAAAGCTACTAAAGACCTCTGTCCTCCAGACAATTCGCCTAGTGATTCTTTCCAAATGCCGGAAAATGCAATCTTCACTTCTAAACCCTCGGTGACTGTTTGATTTTCAGGGGGTTGTAATTTTGCATCAGCTCCTGGTAACAAACTACTGAATATCGACCCAAAATCTTTATTTACCTGAAATTAATATTCATCAATTATACAATATAATTTAAATATTAGTATATAATCTTAATTCAATGAAGTTAAGTTAATCGTACTTGTTCCCAAGCTTTAAGTAATGTTTCTTTCTTCTTTTCGTCCAAATGTTTAATTGTTTCTAATATTTTTCTTTTATCATTTTCAACTATTTTCTTTTTTTTCATCATTTCATGATATTGTTCTTCTTCTTTATCAAACAGACTGATGGCACGTGTATTAATGCTCCGACTTAATTTTTCACGTAATGTTTGTAGTCTATGCACTTTAGCTTCCATTTCATCAGGCTTATTAACTTCAAAATCATAAATACCACCTATAAAAACAAACAAACTTAATAAGTTCTTTGCTTAAAATCAGATATTGAAATATAAAAAAATAATATATTAGTTGAATATAAACTACAAGTCGGTCACCTGCTTTTCCAAAGTAAATCTTATCTTGTTCAATCCAATCATATTTGCGTAGAAGTTCGGAAACCTTCTGTTTACAATCTGTGGCACACTTTTTAATTGAATTAATTTCATGGTTCAGTTTTTTAATATCTAACTCTGCGTCTTTGTTTTGTTTTATAATATCTTCTTTTCTTGCTAAAAGTTTTCGCATATGAACGTCTTGCTTGTTAATAATGTCGTTCTGTTTTTTTACTTCGCATTGCAACTGCTTCACGTTAGCCTGTGTTTCACTTAATTCTTCTTCTAATTTATTTGTTTCTTCTTGTTGTGAATTCAATTTTTTTTCTGACGTCAATAACTGTTCTTTTCCAGTGTCAATACTTTTTTGTAATTCTTTAATTTCTAGTTCAAGTGTTTTTGCCTTTTGTTCCCGTTTTTGCCATTCTTTGCGACTAGTTTCAGCCTTCTTCTTTAGATTTTCCAGTTCCTGTTTTGCGTCTTTCAATTGTTTCTCACGAATATTCGTTGAGTCCTTTAACAGATGCTCCAATTCTTCGGCACGTTTAGTATTCACTTTCTCATTTTCCTCTGCCGTTGCCATCTTCTGTAAAAGTTCTTCAATGCTTTTCTCTAATTCATCAATCTGCAAAATAAAACGATACCTATAGATAAGTATTTTATTTTATCACGCCAAACGTGTTGAACATACCTCTTCTTTCATTTTATAATAGACTGTTTGTTCTAACTTTTGTTTCATCAAACCGATTTCATAATTTTGCAAATCCAACTTTTGTTTCAACGACATATACCTTTCCGCAACCTTCGCCAGACTCGCCAAAGTGGCCTCAATCTTTTGGAGCGTTTGTTGTTTAATGTTTAATTCATTCTGAATAGCTTTCAATTCTTCTAACTTTAACAAAACAGATCCAGACTTTGATGGTGCACCACCAGACAAAGTACCAGCTGGATCGACAACATCCCCTTCTAAGGTAACACACTTTTTCCTGATGTTGTCATGAAACGCAATCTTTTTAGCAGTTTCAATATCTTTACAAACAAAGATTTGTCCGAAAATCCATGTCATAGCTGATCGAGTTTCTTCTGGAAAATCTATCAGTGACAACGCCAGATGTACATTCTCCACACCACCTATCTTTTGTGCCAAATGAATCATTTGATTATCCATTGCTCTACCATTTACTTTATTCAAAGGAATAATAGTAACGCGTTGTTGTAGCTGTCCTCGTTGAAGTAACTGTTTACTTGTTTTTTCCGTATCTACTATTACATTATACAGCTGAAATGCAATAATTTAATTAAAATTTAGGTTTGATATATTAAGTTCGATTAAGCAAGAATACTAAATACTTTGCCTCCTGCAGCAATGTCTAAGGCATATGCTGCTCTGTTATCCTTAACTGTTACTAATTTGCATACAACTCCTTTCACGGAGTTTGTGTTGAAATTTGCTTCAGGCTTTTGATACTCGAACCTAATTTGAGGATATCTGGATTCAAAATGATCCACTTTTTCGTCTAATGCTCTTATTTCATTTTTTAGCACATGCCGTTGCTGCTTTAATTGTTCTATAGTTCCATCTTCATAATTCAGTTTCTTCAGCTCATTTTCAAAATTTTTTACATCTTTCTCTTTATTCTCAAGATCTTTAGTATATTTTTTATACTCATCTCCAGTGTTTTTCAGGTCTTTCTTTTTTATTTTTAGTTGTTCTTTATTGTGGTTCAATGTCATTTCACACTGTTTACGTTGCGTTTGTGCCTCCGTTGCTGTCTGTTTAGCTGTTATCAATTGTTGTTCCAATGTTGCATTTTCACCATCTTGGCTCTCCAATAAACCAGACATTATTTTTTGATACTTCTCTTGTGCAACCAGTACAGCATTAGAATCTTGTTCATCCATCTCTTTTAATTGCTTAAAAAGTCCTTCGACTTTAGCATATTCTAATTGTTTTGATGTGCAAACATTTTCATCGTCTTTTATGTTAGTCTTTAACTGTTCAATACCTTTTATAGCAGCTTTAATGTTTTCTTTACTACTATTAACTTCAGCTGATAACTTGTACTGCTTCTTTTCTACATTTTTTAAATCTGTCTGTAAAGATTGTAATTGACCTCCTGCTTCCTAAAAGAAACAAGTGTTAAAAACAGAATAAAAACATATTGTACTTTTGTAATCAAAATACACACTGCATCTCTTTGTTTGACAATTTCGTCATATTCTATGTCTATATTTTCAAGTTCTTTTTCACCGTTAGTAATGGTTTCTGTTTTTTCATTTATTTTATCTTTAACAGCTTGTACATTTTCTTCTGCTTTTTGATTTTCATTTATAGCTTTGACATACTTCCAAGCAAGGCAAATTCTTTTACAGTGTTCCAGTTCTCTTTCTATACGTTGAAATTCCACATACTGCATTTTTTCTTCTTTGAGTTTTGCTAGTCTTGGACCTATCTCTTCTTTTAAAATCTAAAATAAAAGTACACTCTTCTTAAATTCATTAAACATAAACTAAACAGATTTATGCACTAAATCATACATCATTTATTTCTTTCAATTTACTGTCTTTCTTCTCTATAGTTTTCAAAGCAGCCTCCTTCTTATTTTCATACATTCGTGTGCCTGCAGCTTCTTCTATCATAGACAAAATTTCTAAAGGTTTCATGTTAAGAACTTTAGTAATTCTTCCTTGCATAATCAAAAAGTGTGGATTATTTACATTCAATTGAACAGAACAAAACATGTCCTGCACACGTTTGTTTGGTACATTAGATCCATTGATCAAATATTTGTTTTTACCACCAATCACAACTTGTCTTGTGACTGTTATTTCTTCATGATGTTCATATCCCATTGGAGAAGAATTTCTATCACGATTGTCGAATGTTATTGTAACACTAGCTTTCTTAATGCCTGCTTGACCAGATTTGTAAACTAAATCTTGTAATGATGCTGCTCGCACCTATAAATAGAATATAAAGGATATAAAACCATATTGCTATTTATTTATTAGATAATTAAAATTGATTTATAAAGGACAGAATCTTACAAGTAATCTTATATATGATAAAATTTGTATGTAAAATAATTTTATAAGATAATTAATTCTATATATAGTGCACTTGAAAAAAACATAAAACACTGTAGTATACCTGGCCAAGATTTGAAATACCCAAAACAAAGCATATTGCATCCAAAATGTTTGATTTCCCAGTACCATTAAATCCTGTGATCGCATTAAACTGCGTGTCAAAACCATTTATTTCGATTCTTTTTCCATATGATTTGAACCCTTCTAACACCATGCATTTTATATGCATTTTAAAGAAATACTAAATCATATATATACGACAATACGACAGAAAATCTTGACTTAGTCTAGTTCCGACACAGTAAACAAAACTGTAAGCAAAACTGTAAATTCAAATTGTAGCAGTGACCGGTACAATAGGTATGTACATTTATTTCGAAGAACACAGATGGCGAACAAGTATTAAGCGACGAGAACGCATTTTTTTTCTCATTCTCGACAATTTTTTTTACGTCTTTTTAACATTTTCACTCATTGCTCAGAAAATTAAAGATAACGTTTAGTTATATCTATATGGCAAAATGATGTAAATTTAAATATATTATACTAAAATGCCACTATATAGGTTTCTGAAAGTGATCATATAGTGCTCTAGGAAGATCATTAGGACATAGTTCCTATATTGATGCATGTGTGACAGAATAAGAGGATTAAGAGGTAAAGAAGAATGAATTTGCAAAAAAATTACATTTAAAATTATAAGAGATTTTGCCTTATACGAGGGATTTTTTGAAAAATCTTGATACGAAAATTTGTAAGATTCAGTTGTCATGTGAAGCCCTCTGTTGGCCTATTCCTGAAAACGTCACTATAATTTCAATGACTATGTGACCATCATTGGCATTATTTACTCTCAGCTTTCAGTCGAAATCAAAACATATCGAATGCAGTGAAATGTTTTACGTATTCTGCAGTTAATTTATAAGAAAATAGGTGAAGTTCTACTTGCATTAATCATTCTTTCAGATGAAAGCAAAAGATATTTTGGAATTTACAAAAATACATTCAATAATAAAAGGAAGTGACGTATTTAATTAATTGAATTTTAAAGTTATATTTGAACTGTCACAACACGTTTTATAAGAATAACTGTTTGTTAGATAAAATCCGAAGTAGTAAAATTATTTGTATAATTCTTAAACGCACAATGTATTTGTAATAAAATTTATCTGTACAAGTAATGCAATAAAATTTCTTTTATTGTTGTATGCAGTTATATTTTTAGGTTCATAATGAATATTCCTCCTATTCAACAACCAGGAGCTATTGGGGTAGGACAAATGACTCAGCCTGTAAATCCTCAAATTCCCCAAAATCCGCAGCAAGCACAACCGCAACAGGTTCAACAGCAACAACAACAGCAACAGCAACAACAAACACAAGAGAAACTTGACAACATTTCTAAAGTGAAATCATTAATTGGGCCTCTGCGAGATTCACTAGCTATAGCTCTTAAAACTGCAGCTCATACATTGCATCAAAATAGTTTGGTGGATGTTGGATCCCTTAAGGGTATCGATCAACCTGACCACCGTTTCAATAAGAATATGGAAGAATTTTATTCTATCTGTGATCAAATAGAATTACATTTAAAGACTTCTATAGAATGTTTGTCACAGAATTCTAGTTCCGCGCGATATCTACCAGTATCTGTTATACCAACACGCACTGATACTGTTGGAGCACAAGAGGGACCAGCCTTAACATATCCTCAGTTCTTAATGACAGTGAGGGCACAAGTTGCATATGCTCGTGAAGTACATGATACTTTAATATCTGCAGCACATACAATAGCATCTGGTGAATAATTTATTTTTCAGTATAAATAAAATTAATTGTAAGACATTAACTTTAATAGAAGTAATACATAATTTTTTAACTTACAAAATATAAGTTCTACTGAATGTAATTTTTACTTGGCATATAGTTTAGAAATATATAATTATATTATTTTCATAAAATACATGTTAAACACTGTCTTCTCTGGATGCTTTTTTTAATCAAATTGTTACCAAACCTCTATATATCAAAATTGATGTCCAAACTGTTAATAATTCGGTTTTTACTAATCCTGTCCATACACTCTCACAGTTTTGTTTCTAGAAAACATTAATCATGCAATTTTATATTTCACATATATTGAATATAATTCTTAGTCCCTTATTTTTATATAGGTTACTGTGACAATATGTTACTATATAAGAATAATTATATTCGATTTACATAAATCATCGTTGTTTATGATTATCAGGTTTGTATGCAAAAAGAGGAAGCAATGTGGGAATACTTAATATACATGTACAGAAAGAAATTTGAATCCCTTGGTAGAAATCACTATGTTTGAATCCGTAAAACTCTCAGTTTTATTTCACCCAAACTACAGTAATTTCTGTATACACTCGGTTACAAATATTAAACGTGATTCGTGTCAAGACTATGCGGTCTACGCTGTAAATTTCATCGGAGCATTCACCGTAATATATAGTATCATCTTAATGTTTCGATTTAAACGTAAACGATATGCTGTTGCGGAGGGATGATTAGTTCTTCACGTGTTGCTAGTACACGTTGACTCTTATTATTATTCTGACAGTATTTCGCAGCCTGAAAGAAACGCGGCACAATCGGTCGAACTAAACGTAAATAAAGATTGATAAAACCACGAAAGCTGGGAGATCCGACAAGAAACAGCGGCCCTACACAGAGAGCCGCTTATCAGCTTTATGTTTAGTAAGCACGTAGAAATAGGAAGGACATACCGGTAAAAGAGAGGAGGGGGAGGAGAGGCGTGCAGGAAGCGCTACTGTCAGTTGGATTGGTGTTTTGTCGCGGCGCGCCGAGTGATCATTTGAAAAGGAAGGACCACCTCTGTTCACCATATTTGGCAAACTTTCCCTAATATGGTAACGTCTACTTCTAAATATGGCAGCCGGGGACGCCCTCTCGTCGATTCTTGTACAACTCCGCGCGAACTTTCCGTGTCGAATTTTATATAATCGGAGACCCGCCCGAGGTATTCGTCAGCGGATCGAGGACCTTCGTGATTCACTTGATTTTTCCATAAAAGAATTTTTCGAAATCTTCATCGACGAAGGCCTGTCTCGAATGGGAGGACTAGTTTTTAACCGCGTTGTTGGACGTTGGTGGGGGTAGAAGCTGCGCAGGAACGCACGCAGGCACCGCGCTAGCACGTAGGTCAAGTTACGATACTCAGCGCGCATTCAGTTCGCGGGGAGCGCTCGTGCAGTGCGCGTTGTTGTCCCGTGTTCCTCTAGATGGTTGATCACGTGGGAGACATTGCGCCGACTTTTCGCGATTCCGTGGCGGAGAAGGGCCGAGGGAAAGGGAATAAATGTGTGCGAGTCCGTAATGGACAACCCTAGCGGCGGAAGAGATAGTCGGTACGCAAGTCTTGGGTACAGCATGGGGATGATAGGCAGCGACGCTGGCTCCGAAATGTACGGCCGACCGTCCACCTCCCAGCTTACAACTTCTCAAATAAGCCGCGGTGGCGCCACCATGATGGCCGTGGCGGCTGCTGCAGGCGGACCGAACGCCGGCGTGGGACCTGTACAGAGGGGTATCAAGAGGACCACTTCGGACGTCTGTTACGATGACAGTAATGCACGGCAGGCGCTTTCCCAACAGCAGGGGATGGGGATGTCCGGGGAGTGTGTGCCCGACAATTTGGAGGAATCCTTTACCAGTTTGGGTCAACCGAAAAAGTCACCCCCATCGAATGGCAAGAAGACCAAGGGACGGGTCAAGATTAAAATGGAGTACATCGACAATAAGCTCCGGAGGTATACCACCTTCTCCAAAAGGAAAACCGGAATCATGAAGAAGGTTTGTATTGGGCAAACCTGTTGACCTATATTCATATAAAGAATGCAGAGAGTGTTGAACGACGGCGGCACCGACGATCAATCGTTGTGATCGATTCCGTGTGATCGTAAAGTGTCTTCACGCAGCCGAATCGTGTTGCAGTGTGTTCGAATTTACATACGATAGAATCGAAAAGCCGGTTTCCAAATGTGATTATATATATATATATATATATATATATATAGTAGGTTGGTGCGCTCGAAACGTCACGGTTTTTCCCAGATGAAACTTTCATGGCATGTCATATTTTTAAAAGTCGTGTATTTAATTGATGTAGGTGTCGGTGTGACATGTTGCTCTTTCGTCGTTTCAATTGGATAAAAATAAAAAGTTCTCGGGACCTAAAATTTTTCAAATACTATTTAGACTTGTTCATCATGAAAAAGTGTTTAAAGTGAAGCTTTGGGACTAGGAGGGATGTAGTAATACTTCGATACTAAGTCTTGTGCTACGATCTTATTAAGATCGGTTTACAAGTGCTTATCTTCAAATCTTTTGTAATATACTACCACGAGTATTATTGTCGTTCCGTTCGAACGTAAATTTAAACAAGTTGCCACGCGTAGAAATCCTGTGTATGACCACCAAACGGTAACCATTATCCTTCGCGTTCTGTCCGTTCTTCTTTATCCAATCATCGTCCTGACTGTTTCCAATTGTTGATAAGGTACATTTACATCGTAAGCGAAGAATCAGCTATCTACACTCGCTTAATATTTCGAATGTAGATTTTCACGATAGACGGATAAATAAGAAATAATAACACTTAATTATTATCTAAGCAGAACATAGTTATCAATAATCAATTAAGATCGTATTTAATGGTTATCACACGATGACAGTTGGTCGATTAAATCGCAACTCATCTATGTACATAATAGTTTTTCACGAAGTTCTTTCTAGTAGATCTGAATATTGATAACCAACTTTTACAGCAGAATATTGTTAAGAACTATAACGATACCTTGTTATTGTTTAAGTAAACACCATCTAAAGTTTATCAATTTGTACTTGAACTATATTAATAAATAACAATAAATTCCAGAGAACACTCAGGTTTCCTAAGAAGTACCACCAGAGGGCCACTAGCATAAATCCCTATCAAACGGGTATTAAATTTTTTAAGCAATTGTTAACGATAAATTTCAAATTGTGTATAAATATGTCCTTTTATTGTCGGTTTGCGTGGAGCGTAGGCGGATAAACGATTACTTTTCTCTAATACAGTATTATTGAAATCGATAATAAATAAAATCTTCAGTATTTCGATTATAAACTTAATATAGTCCAATTCAAATACCAAACTGAAAGTCTCTCTTAATTATTGTTACACGCTTAAGAAATACCAACAGTCGTTTTATACGAACGTTGGGAGAATTGAAATTTCAAAAGTTGAAAAACGAAAAGTATAACTTCTGTATGTCATTATTGGATAACGAATTGAATTATATGACAGAAATTAAAAAGTGTGATGCACAACAACCTAAACGGAAGGGAAGAGTCGCGTGTACGAAGATTGCGCGCGGTGAACGCGTGCCAATGACTTCTGCGAGCGCGCAATTTATGAGTGGCAACTGTGACTTCGCAGGCCACTAACTTCTTCGTGTATTTTCGATGAAAATACACCGAGGAAAACCAAGTGGTACGCTGGAAATCATGACGAATATGTGGTACAAATATTGATGATTACGACACGGTTATGTTTCCTATAAATTCTGCCAACATTTTAGAGATAAGTAGCATCGTCAGCTACAGTCGACTATAATTGATCCAATTAAAGTCAAATATATCATTGATCATAGTCGTCAAGGCTCCAATTAGTATTGAGTGATATTCTTCGTTATAATCGTCGAAAGATAAATTAGAAAGCTTAATATTGTTGATTATAGTCATCAAGAATCCATCTAGAATTAGGAGGTTTTCCTAGTGTGATGGCCTGATAGGAAGGCGATTTTTAAGAATCTTTTAAGAAGAAAACTAAATCGTATTTATTCTTAATTAGAATCCATACATCCTTATTTGTACATCTAATTTAATATTTAGAGAATATTTAAAAAATTTGTTTAATTCAAAATCTAACTGCAGGTCCGGACATATCGGCCAATAACCAGAGCGCTTAAAAAATAGCGTATCCATGGCCACCACGATTGCAGCTGTTGCTGTTGGCTGAATTGAAAAATTCAAGAAGATTTTTAATCTATATTTGTGTAGCCATCGTTTGACCTACGGAGACCAAGAAATATCGGTAAATAACAAAATGGCGACAGTTTAAAGAAAAAATCCTGATTTCTGCGAAAAATTGTAGTTTTTTCAGTGCCAAACTTTTATTTTTGCAAATATTAACTTGGCCGTAAGTCAAACGAAAGTACGGCATCCTACAAATATATCCTACTGACCACAAGGAGATTGGTCCATGAGTTGTTTTAGGAATCGTGGTCGCCAGCTTTAAAAATGCAGTTTCGGGAAAAACGCGTTTAATGTTTTAGGTACTGTTTTAGGGTGTATAAAGAAACGTTAGTTATACTTGACAATTAATCACTATTCCAGGACCATAAAGGACACCTTCTTCCTCTGGGATATTGTATATGTTTCGGAGCAAAGTTCCACAGAAAGCCTATAGTTATAGTTTTGGTTGCTATTTTGTAAATGTATCTCAAATCAATTTTCAAATGTTAAATCGTCAGAAATAGGTTTTATTATTTCTTAAGCTAGCGGAAGAAGTGGTGGGTCGTGTTAAAACTGTTTCAATGCTTGTTTTCCTTCAGCTTCAGCACGATGATACGCACATCACACTAGTTGCCCGCTCGCTCTGCCTCAAGGCCTATAACTTCGGTAGTTTTTCGACTAAATCCAGGTTGGGAGTCCTCAAAGTTCCTTTGAAAAAAAGCTACGAATATAAAATCGATTTTTTCAAGACTTCATTTAAGCTTGATATTTTGGATACCTAAGTCTGATTTGTAATTGTGGACAATAGTCTTCAATACTCCTAGAACCGGGAAAAAATCTGAAGCTGGGTAATAGTGTACACTTCGGTCGGCGTTTCTGATTTCCTTTAAACTTTAATATGTTGAAAGGGGCTCTTTTAAAAGGCAAAATATCATTTTAAAAAATGTCACAAACAATTATAAGTACCTTTAATTACCAAGTATATATAATCATTACAGTCTGTTTTTTTTATTAAACTAGCTCTAACCAACTCTGATTACTACTAATGCTTTGAAAATAAACAATTAAACCTCTTTTTTTACTGTTTAAAGCTTACGTTCTTTCACGGTAATCTGCAATTATAGTGACGGTTAGATTAGGTTTCGGTTGCAAATTTAACTTGAAATTAAAGGTATTTATAATTGTTTGCGACATTTTTAAAAATGATATTTTGCCTTTCTAAAAAGCCCCTTTCAACATATTGAAGTTTGAAGAAAATCGGAGATGCCGATCGAATTGTACACTATTACCTAAAGCTGTTTATCATTTATTATAGTCTCTAAGAATCCATTAAGGATCGATTGGTATCGTATTGGTCGTCGACTACAGGCACGATTTCATTTAGGGTCGAATAATATCGTTGACTAAAGTAGTCGAGAATGTATCGAAAGAATTTTAATGAAAGATCTATCCAAGTAGTATCGTCTATTATAGTGAAAAGAAATTAACACGGAGTGAATGATGATCAGTGAATGCAGTCTTAAAATGCACACAGTGTTGCTGACTGTAATTTCTAAACATGTATCTGCTGAGTAACACTTGTCGGACTTAGTAATCAAGTATTTAGCGAGGGTTGGGGTCTATCGTGGTTTATAATTACCAACTGTTCACCTGAGGCGAGTAGGTTCTCTATTACAGTCGCCAAGCAGTTACATAGGATCGAGAAGTTTATAAATGACTTCATAAATACTCTTGAAAGTAGAAGCTTCTGAAGGGTACACAAGTCGTTCGAAAATTGCTCTTATGTATTCAGTAGTGCTATGAAAAGTATTTCTGCTTGTGAAGACTGATTTCATCTGAAATTGAAAACTACCAAATCATAGTTACAAATATTCATCTGAAACTCTTTTCAATTATTCTATGTAAGATTTCAAAAATCAACACTTTTGTAAATCGTATGTTACCGATTGTTGTTGCAGATAACACGAAAAGTGATTCCGTCCGATTATTCGCAAGAGAATCTTTTTAAAAAAATAATGAAGAATCATGTACAGTTTAAAATAATTTCAATTTTATTTATTAAGTTTAATGTCCATTGTGTTTTTTTTACGTTCACACTAACCAGAAAAGTACTGCTTATTGTTTTAATTCAATCAACAAAAGCTGCATATTCGTAATGCAGGATTAGACGTTCGAAAATGTGACCTTTTTCGTTTTGAAAATAGATCTTTCATTTTTAAACTGCGGTTTTCATCGTGTTGCAGATGTTTATTTGATCCGGTACGTGTAACGCGGCTAAATCCGTAGAAGAACCTAAAGCAAATTGCATCTTTCATACGAATTTAGAAAACCAAAGATAGATTGTTCCCCTTTTCTAAAGACGGATCCTCTATAATTAGCCGTGTTTTGACACGAAACTGACATAATTGCCGAACAACGCCAGTGGGGAAAAAAACCGAATATTATCATTAAAAACGAAATAAACATCGTATAAAACAAATATACACTATACGCAAATATTCGTATCGGGCATTCGCGTTCAAATAATTATGTCCAATAATGGATATTAATAGTAAAAATGTATACAACGAAATCATAAAAATTTAAACTCTGTCGAAGAAAACACACAAGAATTGAAATTACATATCCAAGTGTGCAATTCAACTTTCCTCTAGCATTTGACTCTCGTTGTCTCGCTTTTTCCGTCGGTAAATTTTGAAAAATATTTTATCACCTTAGAAAACAATATTTACAATGTGGTATCGAATATGCAAACGAACCTTAAACGTTAAAGTATCGATCTTGAAATCTCGAAAGATCCATTTTCCTAGGAAGTTTCGCGCACGAAATTCCCCTAGGCGTGTTGCCGCGATTCAAGGATCGAGATAACGATTTTTATGACGTTTCATAATGTTTATTCATCTTTCGTGTCACGGATGCGTTGTTACCCACCGTGCGGTGCAGCTGGTTTCTTGTTAACGAGTTGAACAACATAGGCTCTAATTGAATATACAATGTATTTTCATATAAATGACTGCAAAAACTACGAATTCCATCCATATAGGGCGTACTCATGTAGACTGTTTGAACAGACCTTGATAATTGTCTCTTCTGTCATTAAAGTGTACGATCTCGAGAACGAAAAATGCAAACGCAGTTGTTTTCCTCTTCTCTACCCCGCGCTAGAGCGATTCCGAATTAATTATAATATCAAAATGGCGGCGTCGATGGCTGCGCAGGCGGTAACGGATTTGCATAAATCCGCTCTATAAAGACCGGAATAAATCAGGTGTTCCTAATACACGTTAAACGGTTTGTCAAGCAGTGCACTTTCGTTCTTCAAGGATCTAACTTTCCGCTTACGTTTCAGTAATAAGGACTTCTTTTTTTTTTTTTGTCCCCAAGGAAATAATTTTCAGAAATGATTCGAAATGTTTCTGTAATATTTTCGTTGTACGACCGTAAAATTCAACATCGGTTCATATTGTTTCGTTGCATTTCATAACGCACTTAAGTATATTTCCATTATTTTTTTGGTTCTCATCCTTTAAACGGTAAAATAAAAAGTAACACAAAAGTCACGAAGAATTTAGTAATCGTACCGATACCTTTGTACAAATTCGGTGCTGTAATTTAATTCTGTTTCATTTGTTTTTCGAGACGTGCAATCGAAGCTCTGAATTTTTAGAGAATATGGAACATGTTAGATCGAGTCAGTTGTAGAACTTGAAAATGTCAAAGAAATTTCGTAATTTTCTTAATATGCTTCGTAAATTTAAGGTACATTGTCAAGCTCCAAGATTAAATGTTTAGAAATTTCACCTGTCTGATTTATCACAGTAGGTAAATTTCAAAAGATTTCATTCTTGAAGGTATACTAGTTTTTGATATAATTATTTATGTTAAATGCCCAAAATTTTTAGGTTTTGTGTAAATTGAGAAGGACTAACTGGAGATTAGACTGCAGTCCTAAGAGCTTGTTTACAAGGAGCTTGCCGCCCAGACCTCTGTGTATTTATGTGATCCACTTCGCATGAATCTCCTTATATCATTAGAGTTTGTCTATATTTGTCTACACCCTCTCATCACAGTATCAAATTTCAAGGCTTCTGTTTGCACTTTCAACAAGAGTTCCCTTTATATGCTCTTCTATTATTTTAGTTCCCTTGTCGATCCTAGATATATTTTTACAATTTTTTAGCTCCTTCGAATGTGCTGTTCGGTTTTTCTCTTTTTTTTTTTGTTTTTATAGTATATTGTCTGGTAATTTTTTTTTAATTTTTCAAAATCGACATTATTATCGTTACATTGTAGTAGCAAGTTAATTGTCGTTACTTTTTCAGTAGAAATTCGCAGTTACTTCTCTGTTCGCCATTTTTTTAAACTATTTGAATGATGGCGAAGTGCGTGGAAGTATCTGCGTTACATCTCTCGAAATGTTCGGATGTAGAAAACTCTTGACTTACGGGTGTAAATTCAACTTGTGAAAAGAAACACGGAGGTTTTAGGAAACGTAAACCTTTTATTCGATATTTTTTTAAGTGAAAAGGATAAAATCAATGTCTGAGGTCGGTTCTTTTTCAGTAAATACAAAGAGCTGTCGATAATAATTGTTTGGAAACACTACAATAACTTAGGGTAAATCTCTATCGAGATTTACTCTATAACAAAATAGATGCGCCTAGAGATGTTATAATAACTTATATTGCTTTCTCAAAGTGTCAATTACTCGACAGTAAATGTACTTATACGAATCAAGAGATTGAACGTACTGAAGTAGTTTATAGAGTTAAGTTTACTGAACTATCTTTACGTCCTAGCACAATTTTTATTAATAAAGTATGTTTATGATTTATGGCTTGCTTACTTAGAACATAGAATATAAGTGTAGCAAAGACGTGAAAATAATAATAACGGCAAAAATAATGATTAAAATCATATGGACGAATTACGTAGATTTAGATTTTGGATTGAAAAAGATAAACTTAGCAGCTATGTAACAATTATTTATCACTTTTTCATTTATTACCATTGAATTTCTCAAAGAAATTGTACCTTAACAAACATGTTACGAGTTCTATTTCCTTTTATTCTCTTTAAGTTATCTCTCAAATTTCCCGTACATTTTGTCACTACAGAGGGGACTTTGATTGCAGTAGTAGCAATATTTATTAATTTCAGCCAGAAGGCCAAGAAATGAGCTTGGTTTACAATATTATCTCATTCGCTTATTCTACATTCTTTTCATCCGAATAAATCCTAATATCGAATAATTTGAATTTGAAGATCACCCCCCTAAAATTACAGGATATACACCTAACCCTAATAATCTTAATAAAAACAAGATTCCTAACTCCATAAAATATAAATTAATATAAAAACGAATTAAAACTCATATTATCAATGATAAAACCAAAATTATTATTGCCATATAATGACAATAATAAAATCTTAACTCATCAACTAAAAAATATTTCTTTACTTTCTAATTTAAATAACATCTCTAAAAGGTTGTAAATAACCTAAAATTTTTCGTTCCAATAAAGTTAGAAAAAAAGACCGAACTTATAACTGTAATTAATAATAAAATACAAAATAAAACATTAAATATAATCATTATCCTAGTGGCAGGACCGTTCCACGATTAATAATCGCGACCCCTTGCTTCCAGGCGTACGAGCTGTCCACGTTGACGGGGACGCAGGTGATGTTGCTGGTGGCCAGCGAGACCGGTCACGTGTACACGTTCGCGACGCGCAAGCTCCAACCGATGATCACCAGCGAGGCCGGCAAAGCGTTGATCCAGACCTGTCTGAACAGCCCGGACCCGCCGGCGTCCGGTTCGTCCGGCGATCAGAGGATGTCCGCGACCGGGTTCGAGGAGACCGAACTGACCTACAACATAGCCGACGACGAGCAGAAAGTAAGGCAACTGGTGTATGGCTCGCCGCACGGTGGCTCGCTGCACGGCGGTTATCCAGGTGGCGGACCGACCGGAGGCCCGCCAGGCCATCCGCCACCGCCGCCGCCGGGTTCGCAGCACGCGCCACCCTCGCACGCGCAGCACGCGCACCTGATTGCGCATGCACACGCGGCCTCGCCGAGCTCGCACCTTGTACCGTGCTCGAGTCCCGGCCCGATGCTGGCCGGCGGACCCTATCAGCAGTCCTGTCCCTCGCCGCTACCGCCCCATCACACCGCCTATCATCCACACATGTCGCACTCGCATCCCCAACGGTAGTACTATCCCCCCAATATAGATGAACGGTTCACCAATATCCATTCCCAACGGTAGTACTGCCCCCTATAGCTGAAAGGGCGCTATGATTGTTCTAGGATCCAAATCCAAATGGTTCACCGATATCCAGACCCAACGGTAGTACTACCCTCTATAGATGAAAGGGCGCTATGCTTGTCCTAGGATCCAAATCCAAATGGTTCACCGATATCCGGATCCAAACGGTAGTACTACCCTTATTTTGTTGAACTGGCTCTATGCTTGTCCTACAATCCAAATCCAAATGGTTCACCGATATCCGGACCCAAGCGGTAGTACTACACCTATTTTGTTGAACTGGCCCTATGCTTGTCCTACGATCCAAATCAAAATGGTTTACCGATATCTAAACCCAGCGGTAGTACTACCCCTATAGCTGAACGGTCACTATAATTGTCCTACGATCCACATCCGAATGGTTCACCAATATCTAGCCATTCCCAACGGTAGTACTACCCCCTATATAGCTTAACGGGTGCTAATGCTTGTCCTATGGATCCGAATCCAAACGGTTCACTGATGTACGTTCTCAACGGTAGTGCTATCACCGACAAGGTATAGGAGTAGACTTGGCGGCCCATCTAATCGATAGTACTGACACCTTAAAAAATCTGTGATCTTAGTGACCACTACGTTTCGAGAACGGTGAATGTACGTTATGAAAACGGTAGGTAGTGACACTAAAAAAATGGGCCGTGAAAATACATTAGATGTTAGGTCTACTCCTCTACAGTATATCCTCGATGAGTCTTGGAAGACTCCTCGGCACTGAACATTAAATATTTTATAAATTGATGGAGACATGCGGCTGGAATAAATATCATTAACTTCAGAATTTCAAGCCCTATCACTGTGCTAAACTTCATTAAAAAGTCAGTGTTACACCTGGAGGCCTCTCCTTGTCAGTGTCGAGGAGCTTTCGAACACTCATGGAGGATTCACTGTACCTTGTCAGTGATACTACCCCTATATAGCTGAACGGACGCTATGCTTGTCCTACGATCCAAATCGAAACGCTTCATCCATCTTCTCGATGATCGATCAGGGGGAATAATGTATTGAAATACGTCTCTAGATATCTACGTATTGGAGATACCTGATTACTGCAGGTGGTCCTGCTCTTGACACTGTCACCGACACGGGTTGCTTGGGGAATATTATGTTTGCTATCGCTCGTCGATGACTCTGGGAGTAGAATTGTTGAGCCATCAGGGACGGCGTCTGTGCACCTTATAGATTCCTAGCAGCCAAAGTCCGTGCATTGTACACCTGTGCGGTTAGTTGAATGGACTATTAACCCATTTGCATCATTTCAAACAAATCAAAAATAGGCCCTTAACACGAAATTTTGTTTTAAATAAATTTAATTACAAATATCTCAGAGAATATAAAAAACTTTATATTTCATCGATTTGAGCTGGCTAAACTAATTCTTTAGTATAGTGTGATGCGCGTACATATATGCTTCCGTGATAGTGACCAGGAAAATTGCGCGTATACGCTAATGATGCAAATGGATTAAATTTAATATGCAGTACCGCTCAGAATAATTCGAACAATATGACTTTTGAGGTTTATGATAATGTTTAGACTCAGGTATACCTATATACCTTTATGACCCTTAGCCGAGGGTACGTATTATTTAGGCAACAGGGCCTACGGTTTTTGTCAATTGCTTGTCGTAAATCCATAATAAAACAGGAATATTCATGTGCCACTAATAGACCGTCCTTTGACTAGTACGAACAGTTTGTGTTTTTTCGGTAATTTCGTACTCGCTAACCATAATATATCAGAGAAAATATTTTCTATTTTTATGTCTCCACCGTGAGTCTTATAAACACGAAATTCACCTTTTTCTTAATCAGTTCTTGTTCGTCCCTTGGCGAGACAAGTATCGCTCTAACGTACTGAAAATGCTAAGAGTTATAGAGATTTCAATTGAAAAATATTCTGCAGTGTGTGTTCTTCGTGGTGAAAGCTATTCGGTGTATATTGAAAATAAGTTGAAAATACCGAAGAGTAGTGTGTGGAATATTATCAAGAAGAAAGAAACCATCGGTAGTGTAATGTACAGAAAGTTTTCTGTGTTTTATTAAACCGATCCAGTCGTTCGAATACTTTTGAGTGGTACTGTAACTATAAAAAATATCTAAAAATTTGAACCATTAATAGATTATAATAACGTATGTGACGCCGCGTACTGTTTGGAATAAACGAGAGACTTGCGTCGTCTCTGAGGGGTCAAAGAGGTGTCTCTGGAGAACGCCTGGCAACCCGTGTCGAACCTCTAACGGTGTCGCGACGGGTTTTGAACGGGGACTTTAGAAACGGGTAGATTGCCCTCGGTGAATTCGTTTGATTGAACCAATGATATCGAAGGGATCGATTGGTTCAGCGATGTTATCAAAAAGAAAAGTGAAGAATCATTAACCTCTCAGCGCCATGGACCCATATATGAGTTTCGAAACATTGTTCGCCACGTGCTGTGAATCCACTTACGTGTCACGTGCAATCATTCCATGCAACCAAAAGTGAAAACTTATTTAGCCAAGTGCACGTTTTATCGCAATAAGTAAGTTCTAGAATGCGGATATTTATACAAAATAATGTTTTACACCATAATTTACACAGGCAGAATTAAAAACAAAGACTTTTTAACCCTTGTGTGGACAACCAAAATATTCTCGGTTATTTAGCAATCGGAAGACCACTATTCCGACAGATTACATGAATATAGATAATTTTACTTTCATACTTTGCCGAAACTCTTAGTTTTCCCTTCCTATAATATACCGAGTGCTGTTTTAGACAAGAAAATAAGAAACTGTGAAAAGAAATTTAGAACTGGATACCCAGTTGTCTAGACAAGAGTTAATCCTCCTAGGGGGTTTATTGCATTAAGAATAAAATGAAAAATATATTAAACCTGATAGAAGTTTTGTCTTCTATTACTTTTCACATGCCCCTTTATGCATTTATACCCTACAGGGGTTTGTAAAATACAATAAAGGACAAAACTTTCATAGAATCCAATAAGTTTTTTGGTTTATTCAAAACCGAATAACTTGAGAAAAGAAAGAAATTCTTACATTTGCTCTTTTCTGTATGAATTGTTTTAGAAAATATAATTTTGCATAAAAATCCGCAGTCTACTTCTAATACAGGACATCTTAGCGCTGAGAGGGTTTTGATTCGTGGTCTTTTTTCTCTGGTCGTATCGGTTCGATTTTTAGGGGATGTCCGACGGACGTGTTTCAGCGTCCGTGTAATTCCGTCCAAAACGCGGAGGGAGGGTCTTCGAACGCGTTAATTTTGTGAACGGTGCTATAGTTGGTGTTGTTACTTTGTCGACGAATCACAGTCGGGGATCAGAATTTCGAGATGTCTCGATATCGGGAACGTGTCGTTCTTGCGGGCGTAAAACCGTGTCTTCGCGCTGACTGAATAACGAATCAGCGCGGAGGAAGTTCCGGGCGACATCCGACTTTCTTTTCCGGACGACGAGTGTATCGAAATTCTCGATGAGGCGCCGTGCATCCGGTCATTGATGAAAATACGGTTATTTTGTTTGACGATTTACAGTGGCAACGTTCCGCCAGGACTCGTAATTAATATGCCTGTCGGTCACCCCGCATTAACGTTTAATTCGAAGCGATCGTGGAACTGAATTAAGCATAAACTTCCTTTGTGAGTCTCGAAATATTTAATATTTATTAAAATTCGTTCGGGTAGAATCGCTATCGAGAATATATCAGAGTTGTTTTTAACACTGGAACTACCGACAATAAACGTGTATCTTGTACGTCTGTTACATTGATAAACGTGACAAACTTTTGAAAATGGGGTAAACGCATCAATGATTGAAGAGAAGAGAGTTTGGAATTATTACAGTCGAATTTTAAATGGTAATAGTATTAACAAATATTTGGCATATTAAAGTTAGATTTTTTGATATGTATATCTTGTTATAACGTATAGATTTTGATCCGAGAAAATTGAAACAGATACCACATAATTATTAAAAAGATACGTGTAAAAGATTTTTTTTACATCTTTTATCATGGATACAAGTAGTTCAGTTTTCTGTAGTAAAAAAATATATATTAAATTATTAGGATTATACATTAAATATACATTTTGTTTACCACAAGTCGTAATTTTATTCGACTGTTAATGGGTTAATTAAATTAAAAAGAAAAAATACATATTTCACCAGTGAATGAACATTAACCAGTGCCGCGAAAATTGAATATGAAACAAGTAATTGAAAAAACTCAATATTTAATCATTTGCTCATTTTAATAACTGAATTTACTCGTTTCTACATACAATTCGCCCTATACAAATTTATAAAGTAACTAATTTCTTCATTTTGATATTGCAATAAAAGTTGTAAAAGATCTGTTAAAAGTGTATTGTTGTAACGTCTTAATCATCTGTTTTGGTGGTTCTAGTGTTAAAATTGAAGAAGCACGAAATTAATCCCGGACTAAATCAGATATTAATCAATTTCAGACATCAATCACAAATCCCAGTGTTCAAACGTTGATATTTATTAAAATTCAGTAACTTATTCGCAGAGATTAACGTTCTTCAGCCTCCGAGGAAAGGGATCGTTACTCATTTTTTTGACGGAACGTCGC